CCACGGTTTAGACGCCATCCATCGGTCTAACCATTTCGGTCTCTCTTCTTCTTCCTCGTCTCCCACAGATTGACTACCTCTGGTTCTCCGAATCTTTCATCAAAACCAAAACGAAATTAGACATGTAATTACCGGTTTAAACCAACAATTTCCGGTTATTTAAATTACCTTTTGAGAGAAAGCTTGTGATAAACTGCTATTACTCTCTCGTCTCAAAGCATTGTCTCGTCTCTGTTGCAGCATTGCTTTCACTTCTTCAATCGTGTGTGGTCGCTCATCCCAATCTTCTGCAATGCTGCTTCCTTCTCTTGACTGTAACAAACATCTAAAAATGTTAGCTTTGTCTATAGCTAATTGGTGAAAACAGAGCAATAATGATCTCACCATGGATCTTCTGTCTGAAACATCTTGGAGATAACGAGATTCGAGGACGCTGTGAGTGTCGCTGAAGGCAGATTTGCGACTACCGTCGTGGGACAAGCGTTTGCGTTGGTCAAGGACACGTGACTGGACTCGGACTAGAGCTTGCATACACCGTAGTGTCATCTTCGCTTGCTTCCTAACATTGTGACCTCTCACTAATGCTTGTAGCTTCACTAATCCTCTTAACGCTCTTAATGCTCTTCTTGCCTAAGCCAAATCCTAATTACTGTTAATTACTTGTATTAAACATAATTAAGGAATTTGATAATTTGAAGAGAGATTTTTGCTCACCAGATAACCTCTGAAACCAGTTTGGATGACGATAGCTGAGTAATTTTCTCTTGCTGTATAAGTCCGTCTTGAGAGATTTGGTAGCTCCGTCGTCTTCGGAGGGGCTTCTGGTGCGGCGGAGACGGTGGCGAAAGGTGTTGATGCGGCGGATTTCTGTTCTGTAACAGAGGATGAGACGGTTGTGTTGTTTGTCTCCGTTTCCGTGGATTTCGGTGCAGGGACGTCTTTTCCGACGACGGAGGTCTTCGCCGGAGAGTCGTGATTCGTCGATTTTCTGAATAACCACCGTCTCTTCTCTCTCTTCTACAGAAACAGAGTTTATAAATTATAAAAAGATTAAAAAAAAACCTTTGAAGAGAATGAATGATGCAAGAGCTGGACTAGAATATCGAACCTTGTCTTCGTCTTCCTCAGCTTCATTACCATGAGCATTGTTGTTGTTATGTTCTTTCTTGGTCGGAGATCGGAAAGCTCGTTTAACGGCGGTGAGCCAAGAAGAAGAAGAACCACTCTTCTTCCCCATGTTTGGTACGGATTAAGATTCTTCAGTCAACACATTGCAATCATCTTCCTGTTTCCGGACATAAGAGGATGAGATTTGGTTTAGATTCTTGCGCAGAAGAGGAAGAAGAAGATGAAGAGAGAGAGAGAGAGAGAGAGAGAGGGAGGAGGAGGAGTAGTGGTGGGTGGATCTTGGGAAACAGAAAGTAACAATAAATTTGGAAGGTTGCTTAAGAAAGAGTTCTGACTCTGACCGCCTCTTTAACTACGACCATGACAGCGATGACTCTTCATTTAACTAGTCTACTCCCACTTCATTTATTTTATTTTTTTTTCTCATTTCGCCAAACTAATAATTTCTCATTATGTCATGTACCTGCTTACATTTGTCAAGTGTCTTACATTTAATTCGATCATAATTGAGTTTTGATGTATTGTGAATTTTTTTTGTCATAGTCGTTTTGCTTTGTTAACTCTGACCATTAGTTATCATCTACATACATAAATTGACATTTTTTTTATTGTACAATGCTACCGGACGAGAAACTATCACTCCAATTGTATAGTTTACTTGAGATCTTTGATGCGCCATGTTATTAGTAGTTGTCTTTTAAGCTGTAACGAACAAACTAGCTAGGAAGAAAATTAAAAATTTGATAATGTCATGAACAAGACAACAATCATTTGATTGTAAAAAAAAAGAACAATCATTTGGTTTTAGATGAACACGTTTGCTTTCACGACCTTCCTATGGATTCCATGTTAATCGTAAATATAGACGAACAACGTAGATAGACCTATGCATACGCACGAACCTATAGGCTATAGCCATATGCATGGTTAACGAATATACACACAGCTACAAATTTTTAACTCGTGACTTGTGAGCATACACACAGCTACAATTTTGTGACTCGTGAGTATATTACGGATAGAATTCGAAAGTACTTAAAAATTCCGACGACTGTGTATTCATGTTTTCAAGATAAATCCATGGAATACATAAATCAATACATAATTCAACTTGATACATATTAAACCAAACCAGCTATTTATAGTAGAAAATGACAGCTTTCAAGATGAGCTTATTGGCCAAATCTTTAAAACGAGCTAAGAGAAAAGAAGAAGATATTTAAAACGAACTGGTGGAAGTCTCGTGCTATCACGTGCATGGAGCCAGATATAAAGGACAGAGCCATCATCAGGTGCGTGATGGACCAGGGTGGTCTTCCCCTACAACCATACACGTGGCCTTCTACATTTAATCAGTCAAACATCTGGTCAAACACTTTCTTCATCTTGGCTCTGGGCTTCCTCTCATCAAATCCCACTTTGCCCAATGCATAAAACCAGGCCCAATTCAATCAAAAGTGTAAACGCTTTTAATGGGCCTTTTAAGAGATCCCTAACCTTAATTTCTGGAGAGTCGCTGTATTTATAAGGCAACGATTTCCCACTTTGCAGCATTGCAACCCTAATTTTGTCTTTCGAGCGGCGCCACCAAAGAATTTGCCGAGGCTTCCCAATCGCTGCCTGAGGTATTTCTTCACCTTCTCTTCCTTTCCGATTCCCTTAGGGTTTTTGTTTCAGATTTCTCGCGAATCCACTGTCTAAACTGTACACCTATTAGTTGTTCCCGTCAGATTTTGGTTGGTTTTCAGTTAATTTAGGAGTTTTCTTCTTTTGATTCATAATCGTTGGCTACTGTTGCTGTTGTGGAGATCTAATTGTTTGCTGGTTATCACGTGGTTGCAGAGACAATGTCGACAGTTGGAGAACTTGCTTGCAGCTACGCTGTTATGATCCTTGAGGACGAGGGCATTTCCATCACTGTATCCTTATATCTCATGCTTTAAGCTATTTTACCTTTTTGTTTTATCGTTTGTCTGGTTGGTTCATCACTGTGACTTGATAGTACTCATTTCTAGGTTATGTACTCATTGAGCTGTCGGTAATGTGCGTTTTAGGGTTTATGCAGCTCTTGTTTGATTCTCTACCCATTACCCCGAATCTGAGAAAGCTTATGTGTTCTGGCTATATCTTGAATGCTATGTTAATAGTGTTTATAGCGTTTTGTTATTGTGGAATCATTTTGATCATATCTGTGACATGTGTTGAATCACCCACTTTGTAAATTGTTTGTTAGAGTTAGGGTTCTTGTGTGCAAGGTCATCAACTTGAAATCTAGTAACATATTTTGGTTTGGTTCATATCCTTAACTCTCTTTTCAATAGTCTGAGAAGATTGCCACCGTGGTCAAAGCTGCTGGTCTCGAGATTGAGGGTTACTGGCCAATGCTCTTCGCCAAGATGGCTGAGAAGCGTAACGTCACCGACCTCATCATGAACGTCGGTGCTGGTGGCGGTGGAGGTGGTGCACCAGTCACCGCAGCTGCACCAGCTGCTGGAGGTGGTGGTGCTGCCGCTGCTGCTCCCGCTAAGGAGGAGAAGAAGGTACATACTTGAGCAAAAGCATTTTATTTGAAATGTTTTGGTTTATGTTCTTGCCAGTTTTGGTTACTGATTCTCGTTGTTGGTTTTGATTGTTTTGTAGGATGAGCCAGCAGAAGAGAGTGATGGAGATCTTGGATTCGGCTTGTTCGATTAGATGTCTCCTTGTTTTTCACTCTTTGCTATGTTTTATTGCTTTTTAGTTTATTTGAGATTTTTCAGTTTTGATATTTCGACACTACATCTACCATTTGTTATATCATGTACTCAATTTATCATTAGCTCACGACCTTCTTAGTAGTTTATGAGAGATCTTATGTATAAATTACATTAGTTTCTCTCATGTCTATGTTTCTAAGGAAAAAATTGATTCTTATACTACAAATTTGATCTTGAAAAAGTAAAAATTATAGCAAAGAAAATTACTATCAACGCTGATACAACCTAACTCGAAAAGTGAAAAGTTAATCCAATATCAAGTTTGTATAAGGGTTTTTACTTTAAATTTTCCAGATCAAAGTATACAAAGTTGATCTTGAAGACGACTTTGATTTCTCTCACACAAATTTGTATCCGATTCTTTGCCCATAAACCTTTTTTTTGGGTCAAAACTTAATCATCTCTCAAGACTCAAGTTAATCAATAACGAACCTTCTGTCTCTGCCAGAGGGTTTCCTTTTTAATTATTTCGTTTAAGCTGAATTAGAACGTCGGCTACTGCCGGCGGAGAATGTTCGGAGTCGAGTACGTCGGAAAGTTCGATGAACCAAACGGCTCTAATCTCTCTATTTTGAAGTCATAGGAACGAAGGACTTGAAGTTCACCGATATGAAGAATTCGCAAATGGAACTTGATCTCGATTCGTTTCTGGTATCGGACTCGGACTCCGAATCCGATTTGGACTCTTCTTCGGTTCCTCACCGTACAGTCGACGAAATTCTCAACGCCTCCAGTTCTTCATCTGCGTCGTCTTCTCCCCCGTCATCTCCGCCTCCAGTTAGAGACCAAGTTAGCCGGCGGAATCAAAACGATCCGACTCGCCGCCTATCTGAAGCTCTGTTAAACGTCCCGGTGAGACCTGAATCCGTCGAATCTGAAATACATCGCGGATTTCCTCGTGTAAGCGATCCGGCGCGGCCAAATTCGGCTTCTTCTTCTTCTCTGAGACAGTTGCCTTTGCCGTCGCTATTTGCAGGTTTGCGGTCGAATGTGAAGCCCGGCGCGGCGCTTGCAGCGGCTGTGGCTGCTTCCAGATTGGTTCCTACGCCACACGCTGCGATCATCAAGTCACGGAGAGCTAGCAGTGCGAGTAGCGAGTTGCTGCAGCAGGTTTTGGGCGATGAAGAATCCGTTTCAAATCAAGATGAAGACGATCAGGAAATTTTATCGTCAAATGGCCATTCTGCTGGAGTTGCTTCTGGGTTCGATTCGGTGGATAATTTTCGTCCTCTCGGTGGAGAATCTCGTCTACACGATGAGGATAATCGAGTAGCTAGTGATAACACTGAGACCTTAGCTGATGAGGCAAACTTAGAGCCTGAGTTAGTCAATGCCTCCTGTAATTTTGATCCTGAAGGAGACTTCTCTGCAGAACAAGAGGTGCTGAGCACAGCGGAAGCCGGAAATGCTGCTGCTGATGGCGTCAGAGATGACACAATGTCTGCCGCTTCTTTGGTGGAGCCTGAAGAGACGTCAGAACAAAAGTCTCAACTTTTGAACGATTCTGATGAGAATGACGATGTTAAGGTAAGAAATGATGATGACTCAAGTGTTGGCGATGATAAGCATGATGATTCGGATATAATTATACTGGATTCTAAAGAAGAGGGAGGTGATGCTTTTATTCCTGATGATGGAAGCTCGATGTCTGGCATTTCAGAGCTTGTAGAAGAGAGGATTGGGGAGTTGGAAAAGGAAAGGATAAGCAAAAGAGAGAAACTAAAATCGCGATCTTTTAGGAAGCAGCTTGTCTTGGCTGAAGAGTTTGAGAAGAAACAAGCGTATACTGGTTTGCATTGGGAAGAAGGTGCTGCTGCTCAGCCAATGAGACTCGAAGGTGTTAAGATCGGTTCGACGAACTTAGGTTACTTTGATGTTGATGTTGACAATATCATCAGTCGAACCATTTCGTCGCAGGCATTCAAGCGAGACCATGGTTCTCCTCAGGTTTTGGCTGTTCATTTGAACTTTATCGCAGTGGGTATGTCCAAGGGGGTAATCGTCGTTGTACCGAGTAAATATTCTTCTGATACTGCAGATCAAATGGAATCAAAGGTTGTCTTCTACGTTCTTATTTGTTCAAGCGAAATTTGTTATAATCTGGGTAGATATATTCTCAAACTATACACATTTGTGTTTACAAAATTGTAGATGATTTGGCTTGGTTTACAAGGAGAAAGATCCCACTCCCCAGTTACTTCAGTCTGCTTTAATCAGCAAGGGGGTCTCCTGCTAGCTGGTTATGGTGATGGGCATGTTACAGTCTGGGACGTGCGGAGAGCTTCGGTAGCAAAAGTGATAACTGAGCACACTGCACCAGTAGTATATGCGTTTTTTCTAGGCCGGGATTCTCAAGGTTCTCGTCAATTTAAAGCAATTACAAGTGATACCAAGGGTGTTGTTTTTAAACATACTTTCTCTTGGACTATGCTATTGAACATGTATTCAGTCACAACACAGGTAAGATTTAGTATTTTATGAAGTTATGCTGGCTTGTGATTTTGTGTCTGTTTTCTTCTGGTGTCTTGTTTCGGCCTTACTAACTGTGAGGAATGGGTTTGTTGGCCTTGTTTTGATTGCATCAGTGTCTTCTCGATGGACAAAAAAATGGAACGGTCCTCTCTGCGTCACCTCTGCCTGATGAAAATTTTGGAAGCTCCTTGGTCTCTTCTAAGGGGGGTAACGCTGCAGTTCCATCCAGCAGTATATCTAGCATGATGGGAGGTGTGGTTGGTGTTGATTCGAGCTGGAAGCTCTTTAATGAGGAATCATCTGCGGTGGAAGAAGGGGTTGTCATATTTGCCACCTATCAAACTGGACTGGTGGTATGGATTCAAATTCGTTTTCATATTCAATTTACCGATCTCGTTCTGGAAATGATCCTCTCCTGTTTTCTTCAGGTAAAGCTTATTCCAAATTTGGAGGTGTATGCACACCTTCCTAGGCCTGAAGGGGTTCGGGAGGGTTCCATGCCATACACTGCCTGGAAATCCTCAATGGGTAATCATATGATTCTTCTCCCAGTAAAATTGTGTATTTTGTTTGTACTGTTTTACTTAACCTTGTTTAACTGAAATTATGCAGAAAATTCTTCCAAGGAGGCGGAAGATAGGGTTTCTTTTCTTGCCATTGCCTGGGATCGTAGAGTTCAGATTGCCAAGTTGGTCAAATCAGACCTAAAGGACTATGCGAAATGGTCACTTGAAAGTGCAGCTATTGGTGTGGTTTGGCTGGATGACCAGGTGTGTATACGAGTTTAAATATATTTCTAAGCAAATGCATGTTCATGATTTCTCTGCTTTTCTCTGCATATGCAGTTGCTGGTGATCCCAACTGTGACGGGCCATTTGTATCTGTTCACAAGAGATGGTGTGGCAATTCACCAGACAAACTTTTCTCTGAATGGTTCTTCAGGGAATGACCTGATTTCCTATCATACGTACTTTACCAATGTCTTTGGAAATCCTGAGAAAGCTTATCACAACTCTGTGGGTGTCAGAGGGGCTTCTGTATACATTCTTGGCACTGGGCATCTTATTATCTCTAGACTTTTGCCATGGAAGGAGCGGGTTGATGTTTTAAGGAGAGGAGGTGATTGGATGGGTGCATTTAACATGGCAATGTCACTTTTTAATGGGCAAGCCCATGGGGTTGTTGACCTTCCCAAAACTGTGGACGCCATAAGGGAAGCCATAGCACCCAGTTTAGCAGAGTTGCTACTTTCCTATGTAGATGAAGTATTTTCTTATATCTCAATAGCATTTTCCAATCAGACTGAAAAAAATGGAGCAACTCATGAGCCAAACAGTGGAACCAAGAATGCCGATTTAGAGATAGAAGAACAATACAATCGTGTTGGTGGTGTTGCTGTTGAATTCTGTGTTCATATTAACAGGATGGATTTGCTTTTCGATGAAATATTTTCCAGATTTGTGGCTGTACAACAAAGAGGTATATATTTCAGCTCTCTGTGTATATCCATCAACTTTCTTATTTAGTGCTACATTTTATTAAGGAACGGGATTCAGTATCATCCCAACTAGTAAAAATGTTCACCACATTTGGACTGTGACTAGTTCCTTATAGGTTGCTTGTTGCTAGCTTCTAATTCTTGCTTTGCTTAAATCCTTAGAGAGCTTTGGTCTACCGATCTTGGAATAACTTATGTTAGTAGCTCCTTTATGTTACTGCTTTTCGTACCTATGCCATTTTTCATAATACATACACATAGATGTTTAGCTGCGTTGCAGCATAATATCCATTACTTTTACTTTATGTCTTCTATTAACGCTTTAGATTAATTGTATTATTTGTTAAATGAAAGGGCATTATACTTTTTTAATTGATAGAGTGCAATGCTAATTCTTATACTTTGATACTCAAGGTTAATTGGTGAGATATTCTATTAGGGGACGATAGTGCAGCATACATGTGCTTTGGAATCTGCTGTTCATTTCTACATGTGTTTGACCTCATTTAGTGGCTTGATGACTATTAATTCCTTGTGTATGATGAGACATTATGATTTCTCCTTATTCATTTCGGCAACTACTTATGGTTTTTCTAGATACATTTTTGGAGCTTCTGGAGCCTTATATTTTGAAGGACATGCTTGGATCTCTTCCTCCAGAGGTAACTTTTATGCAATTATAAGATATTTCCTCAAGGGTGTTGTGCTATTTATTTTATGATATATATATTTATATATATATATATATATTTTTTTTTTATCATCTCAGATTATGCAAGCGCTGGTAGAACATTATAGTAGGAAAGGATGGCTACAAAGAATTGAGCAGTGTGTTCTTCACATGGATATTTCTTCCTTAGATTTCAATCAGGTCACAGTTTGCAGACAATTTCACGTGTCCTGTTTGGTCTTTTACTTCAGCAAGTTGATGTAGTATTATCGTTGAATATTGACATTTTCCTCACTGGTTAGGTTGTCAGAATTTGCCGTGAGCATGGGCTTTATGGGGCCTTGCTCTATCTCTTTAACAAAGGGTTGGATGATTTCCGGTCCCCTCTGGAGGAGCTCTTGATTGTCTTACGGAACAGTGAGAGGCAACGGGCTACAGCCATTGGGTATGTATGTTAATTCGTAACACTTTGTTCTGGTTAATAAAACTTTGTGCAAAACTGAACTTGAAAGCCCCCTCCTCGCTTGTTTCAGTTATGGACTAGAGGTAAACCTATAATTCAAAAGGCCCAGTTCGTTCCATCTAACATGACAAATCCTATAGACCACCTATGCATATAGCTAATTGCAATATTTGCTGCATGACCCCAATGTAATATTTGCACCCACAGCAGTGATGAGTTTTTTGAACTCTATTTCTTTTTCAGGTACCGGATGCTTGTTTATCTAAAGTACTGCTTTCTTGGTTTAGCTTTTCCCCCAGGTAGGATTGTACTTTGGTTCCACTGCATGTTACGATCTACAACCGGCCGAGTATAGTATCCGGTGATAATACACATTTTCCTCTCTAGAGCTTAATCTTATGATGAGTTTTATTTGCAGGACATGGAACTCTGGTTCCTACACGCTTGCCAGCCCTTAGGACCGAGCTGATTCAGTGTCTATTGGAGAAATCAAACGCCCATGATTTTAATACATGCGTAACATCTCAACGGATTTACTTGAACCTCTACCATCTGCTAGAGATGGATACTGAAGCTACTTTAGAAGTCCTAAGATATGCATTTGCAGAAGATGAAATGGTGAATCATGAAAATCATTTACTGGAGTCCGGTGAAGTAAGTTTAGAGTCCAAGACTGATGGCAGTATCCCTGAAGTTAGGTGCAAGGATATGTTAATCCAGAACCTGATAGATGCTCTAGTTCATGTTCTTGATGGGGGCTTAAGTCAACCTGATGAATCTGGCGATCCAGATGGTTCAAAATCAGATAAAAATTGGCCCTCCAAGGACGATACAAGTCATCTGTTCGAGTTTGTTGCATATTATGCAGCACGTGGTAGAGTTAGTATTCCTAAGAGCGTATTGGCACAGATTTTAGACTACTTAACATCGGATCGCATTCTTCCGACTTACGACCTGTCTCCTAAAATGAGAGAAAACCAATTACTAAACCTTCTGAAAGCTGTACCGGAGACTGATTGGGATGTAGCTTATGTATCCCAGCTTTGTGAGAAGGCACATTTTTATCAGGTATCCTCTTGGTAGACGTTCCCAATTCCTCAGCTATAGCGTGCTTGCAGTACTCACTTTGGGATATTCTGCCTGATCTCTGTTTATGGTTTTCAATTTCCAGGTCTGTGGCTATATTCATACTATCGGTCGACGATACGTTGCTGCTTTAGAAAGCTACATGAAAGAGGCAGATGAACCCATACATTCCTTTTGCTATGTGAACAAAATGCTCTCACAGTTGACTGGGGATGAAGTCACTGCTTTTCAATCTGCAATAATTTCTAGGATTCCCGAGCTCCTGGAATTGAGCAGGTAACTGTAGGTTGATTTTATTCTGTCTATTGATTAGGTCTAGTGGACTCAATTAATGTTGAATGTCTGGCATTTTGCAGAGAGGGAACGTTCTTCCTTATCATTGATAATTTGAAAGACAGCATTACTCGCATTCAAGAGCAGCTCCATTCTCATCCAAGAAGCATGTTCCTTTATCTCAAGACTGTCATTGAGGTTCACTTGTCTGGCAGTCTTGACTTTTCCCGTCTAAGAAAACATGAAGCTGTGGATAGTTTGGGTGAAAACATCACAATGGGTATACCCAAAGAGGCTGAGATTTATTTGGAAGGACTTGATGGTTTCCCCAAATTCATCCAAGATAATCCAGTCAATGCGACCGATGACATGATTGAGCTTTACTTGGAGGTATAGCACTTATGAAAACTTGTTCAACTGAATCTCTCTTGCAGTCTCGAAAAAACTTATTTGGCCTCATCCAATTGTTTCAGTGCTGATGATTCCATGTGTGATTTTACAGCTGTTATGTAAGTACGAACCGAAGTCAGTACTGAGATTCCTGGAGACCTTTGATAGCTACAGGGTGGAACACTGTCTACGCCTCTGCCAGGAATATGGAATTATAGACGCAGCAGCATTTCTCTTGGAGAGGGTTGGTGACGCAGCAAGTGCTTTGTCACTTACACTCTCTGGACTCAACGAAAAATTTGTCGAGCTTGAAAATGCAGTGGTATACCTAATCTCAGAAGTCAAGTTGGGTTCAAGCGAAGGAGCCACCTCGGAACAATTCAGTAGTGCTCTAGAGTTAAAAGAGGTCCGATTACATATCCTTACACTAAGAAAATCTGCTCTATATGGCTCTCTCATGCTGTTTCTGATCCTTCAGGTACATGACATACAAGGCGTTCTGCAAGCCTGTATAGGATTGTGTCAACGCAACACTCCTCGCCTTAATCCTGAGGAGTCGGAGATTCTTTGGTTTCGCTTTCTTGACACGTAAGCCTGATCATAAATCTAATCAATTTCCTTAACAAACCTGAGCGCTCCTAGCTATTAGTTTAGGCATATGATGATCATAATTTTGTCACGCAGTTTCTCTGAACCTTTGATGGATTCATATCGTGAGCGGACAAAGGTCGATGAAATAAACAAAGGTCCTGCCAGTGTTAAATCATTGGAACCGCCTGTAGATGAAGCAGCCGACACAATCAAGTGGAGGATTCCAGGATCTGATACGGCGGGTACACACATCCTGAAGAAGCTCATATCTCAGATTATCAAAGAGATTGTTGAAGGGATGATAGGATATGTTCGTCTTCCAACAATCATGTCAAAGCTTCTCTCTGACAACGGTACTCAAGAGTTTGGTGACTTCAAACTTACAATACTGGGAATGCTTGGAACGTATGGCTTCGAACGGAGAATACTGGTACGTAACCGCCTCTTTTTAGGATCAGATGATCTAATCTCTCTTCAAATGTTATTATTAAACTTTCCTCTTACTCACGACAGGATACTGCAAAGTCCTTAATTGAAGATGATACATTCTACACGATGAACTTACTCAAGAAAGGTGCTTCTCACGGCTATGCACCAAGAAGTTTGCTTTGTTGTATATGCAACTGTCCTCTCACCAAGACATTCGCTAGTCTTCGTGTACGTGTTTTCAACTGTGGCCACGCAACACATATTCAATGTGAGCCCTCAGAGAACGAGGTGTCATCATCATCATCATCGATTCACGTCTCGTCATCAGGTGGTTGTCCTGTGTGTATGACAAAGAAGACCACACAAAGTTCTTCTAAAGGTAAATCATTTTACCTAGATTATGGACTGATAAGCACAGTTTCGTCAAGCACCGGGACTTCACAACGCGCTTCCCCTTACTCACACGAGAATGAAACAACCGATCATTCTCATAGCCAGCAGATATCTCGGGTAAGATGACTACTATACATAATAATTCATGACCTGAAACCTTGTTCGCAGTTATCTGAAAACGGTTTGCATTGGCTTAACGTTGCAGTTTGAAATCCTAAGCAACCTTCAGAAAGATCAGAGATTGGTACGGATAGAGAGCTTGCCACGGTTAAGGCTTGCTCCTCCAGCTGTGTACCATGAAAAGGTGAGCAGGTTGTCGGGTTTTACCCCGGGAGAGAGTAGCGGTAAAGAAATTAAATCTGTAAAACCATCCCAAAGTGGACTCAGTAAGAAACTGAAAGCGAAAGGATCGATTTTCCGGCCAAGACTTGGTAAGTGATATTTTTTTTTGTTGGCTAAAGAGTTTGTAAATGGGGATTATGATTAGTACCTAACAGTGATACATTGATGTTTTTATCCTGAATTTTTTTTTAAATAATTGTTTTAGGTTTAGGAAAGGAAAAGACGAGCAGAAGATAAGGAGAGCTTCATTGTGACGAACTGATTTTGGTAGTGAAAGAGTTTTGTCGTGGGACTTTTTGTTTTGTGTTGTGTGTGTAATTAGGAAAATTAGTGACCAGTATTAACTTTATCGACTTTGATGTATAGTACCTGAAAAAAAGTAATAAAAAATAACCAATGTTGCAAACTTGGTTGACACGTCATTATTAATTAGATTACATTCTGACGTGTTGATTGTACTTTGGAACCATCTAGATTACGCGGGTATTAATTATTAATATAAATAAAACACGAGTTTATTTAATACAACACGAGTTTCAGTTTGTTTTGTGTTGTTTATATTCGTTTTAGTTTATTATTACAGAAACAAAAGTACAAAACCATCGTTATTAGGTTTTCATTTTGATTTTGGTTTACTTTATGCAAATAAAGGAATTACCAACTACTGTTTTTTAGCTAATGTTGTACCAATGACATTCACACACATATATTTTTATATTATATCCTCGCTTGTAAATGTGAGAAGGTGGCGATTAATATATAGAGATATCAATTATGAATCCACGTACCCACTAATTTGATAAAAAAAAAAAAAATTGTAGGCAATGTAGGACTAATATCAATACAATTTGTTAGCATATTCTGTTGACTATATATTAGTAGGCATGGGTGTGGAAGCATAACACACTCTACAGGCTTTCAGAAAAATATTATCCTCTTTTGAAGATCAACTAATTGATCAATGGCCATACTTCAAGTTGCTAATGTGCTTCTTCTCCTCGCATCACTCTTCTCCTTACCTGCATTGCACGCCGTCGATTTCCAGTACTGCAACGGTAAGTATCGAGTTGTTAATCTTGTCTTAATTGCAAACCTTAAAAGTTTTATGTGTGTTACTGTAATAACATACAGAAGACCTATATATTTTTGTGTGTTTTGATTTGCTAATGTTTTTTTTTTTTTAGAAATCTTTTCGACTGATGGAGACATTGGATACAAATACGGCAACATCAGTCGCGTCGAGATCTATCCGAACCCGGTTGGGCCTCAAGATGACCTAGCCTTTTGGATATTAGGTTCTTCAAATAGTGAAAGTACGTCATAATGTTTTTTTCTTCATCTTCGGTTTTCTCAAGTTTCAACTTCCGTCCTTGTCCTTTTTTTTTTTCTTTTTCTTCATAGTAAAATCTTGGATATGTATACAGGCAGTAGAATTGAAATAGGGCTTGTATCAGTAAGAGACGCCGATGGACCTCTAAGACTGTACACCTTTGAAGAAACCGGTGTAGGGCCTGCAGGCTCAACTATTATTGAACCTGGCACAACCTTTGCGTTGACTCTTCTCAAAGTTCCTCATCGTAGACCCGAGGTAACTCTCCCAACACTTTGATTTTGATTACTTAATCACTACTTGTTTGTGATTAAATATCTGTCTCTCTATGCAGTCTAAGATTGATGATCAATCACACACTGAAATCGAACCGGACAAAATTAAATTAATTTCCGTTTTTTTTTTCTTTCTTTTACTTAGATATCTATATTATAAAACCAAGAAAAATATAATAATCTTCGCATTTCACAGCTTGGTTTGCTTCCCTGACAGTCAACTTTTTTTATATATTTTTTTTACATGTGAAGATGATTAGCAGGTTGTATGTCGTACTTATAGTTGATGCGACTAGAGAGAGGTATGGAGATTATAAAGAAGCAATTTGTGTCGCCTTCTACGTACCAACTTCAGCTCCAACATCGGCTTCTGCTTAGTCAAGTTAGTGGCGGAAAATATGTTTTCAGTCTCTCTAGCTACTTGCAGTGTGTTTCCTTTCTATATGTTGTCCAACGAATAAAAGAAAAGATCCTTCCGGTATAAATAGATTCTCTCTGTTGTAATGTTGCCTTGCTTTGTATGGATTGCGACGTCGTTTGGTATTTGATATTTGATTGAGTGCAACCTAGTTTATTATGAAATCTACTTGCAAACATATCCAAGGAAGTATATTGCAAAGCTATCCAAGCAAAAGAGCATATCAAGAACTATGAGGTTTCTTGGATCTCCAACGAGGTGACTGAGGCCACCTTTTCTATGGTCAACTTGTCCTCATAATGTGATTTTAGCCTTCATTATTTAGATCTTATAGTGTTTTTTTAGCTAAAGTTGTATTGTATAGAATAAATATCGCACAATCTACTTCATGAAAAGAATACCTTTATTAAATAAAAGAAGAAGTCTTAAGTTTACATAAGTGACAATAAGACTATAAAGAAACGAAACAGGAGTAAGAAAAGAAAGTCTTAAATAGCTAATCTCTCAAAACCAAATCGGAAAAGAAAGTAGCATAAGCTTGAGTAATTGATCCGAATGCTTAGTGAGACGGTCCAACGGTGACAACTTTGGAAGAACATTGGGTGTTGGTCCGACCACGACACGAAGCTTAAGCCCAGCCTCACAGTGACCTGTCTTGGAGCTAATGAAATAGTGGACTCCTGGTTTGGTGAGCGTGATGCGATCATGTCCCGTCTTGTACACGGCAGCAGGAGAAGTAGGGTCGCAGTATTTGAATTCAAGATCGCCGCTGATCTCTAAGACGTCGTTGACTTCCTCGTTGTATTCGAAAACAAGATTGTCTCCAACAAGAAACTGTTTCTCGTCGCTCCACTTGTTATAGAACTCACTTTCTTCAGGAACACTCCATCCTTTAGCGTCACCACCGACTTTGTAGGTTTTTCCGAAAGGAAGGATCTTGCTCGGTGGTGGTGGAGGAACCGGACGCGACGGGTCGTGGACGACAAGAACGTCGAGTCTCTGTCCCAACGAGCACTGAACATGGTTTGAGCTGATGAAGTAATAAAACCCTGGTTCCGTGAGGGTTACGACATCGTGCCCTGTGTTGTAGACGGCTTTGGGAGAAGAAGAGTCGCAGAATTGGTACTCCAAAGCGCCGGAGACTTGTGTGACGTCGTTCAAGCTACGGTCGTATTCGAAGACCAAAGAATCTCCGACGTGGAATTCTTTACCTTCAGCCCAACTGTAATAGACATCATCCTTGGTCGTCCATCCGTCGGCGTCTCCGACTTTGTAGACCTTCGCAGAGCATGAAGCCAAGAGAGCCGTTGTTGTCACGAGCAAGAAGGTCATGAAGATCTTCTTCGTTGTTGTTGCGGCCATGATGTTGATGGTATACACGAACACGAAGGAGAATAAGAAAAGATGGAAGGACAAATCGAGAAGCGAACAAGAAAGATGATAAGTGAGAGTTGATCTGTGTTTGATGTTTATTGTGTAAGTGAGAAAACAAAGAGGAACCTATATTGCTCTTTTATAATGGTGTTACGATTCCTAATCCTTTCCTCTTTAGGATTTTATTTTTCAAGACTAACCCAAATCTGTTATATTATCTTTTTCCTTTTTTTTTTACCTCTTTTTATAAATAAAACAAACTACTTAAAGTATATTTATTTTGTATCTTAACAAATTAGTTTGATTGAATCATATCCTAACTGATTGCATCGAAATAGATCTCACTCTATAAAGATACAACAAGTCAACGACAACAAAAAAACATACAATTTCCTTTTCCTTTCACTTCTTGTTTCCTTTGTTACAACTTACAACACTCAAGATAACTTCAAAATCCTGTGTAATTATTTAATTGTATAAAGTTTTTATGGCCAGATAACTATAAAGATTGAGACTGTACCACAAAAATGGAAAATTTTAAGACCGATAACTTAAGGATAGATAAGATTCGTTGACCTGCTTAATGTTTATTTCTAGAAAATAGACTAATTCAATTTTCGATCAAATATCATATATGTGTATTTTCAGCATAACTATTGAATCAAATCAGTTTATGATGATAAGATTCCGACTCAAGCATATAAACACAAATAGTGAATCTATAATCCCGCTCTAACCATAAAACTTTCTCTTTCTATAATCAATGCTTGACATGGATTTTTTGTTCAATTGTCATCTTTGTGCGTCCAAAGAAGATGATAATTTTGATCCGAACTTAAAAAATCACCATAAAGCTATGGTTAGTTTTTTAACAGGAACATGAACAATTGATACATCATTTCAATATATGTGGAGACAAGAGACTATATAGACAAATACACATTACAGACGACACACAAATCTATGTGTCTTTTGCTAATATGATTAAAGAAGAGCCAGAAGAAATTTGATACATACTATTCTTCAGCATCTTGTTCACACATCATATCATTTCTCGATAGTTTAATTCGATAATATAAGTCTTATAAAATCCCAAACAAGTGAAGCTAACAATAACTAGACGTAGAAATGACTTCAAAAGCAATTCCCACATATAACACATCGTTCATCAAATAAGGTAGATTAAGTTTCTTCAGAGGCATGAAATCCGCAAAACCATAGTGGTCAACATATTCTGCACCAATCCAGTCCGAATCTATACGTACAAAACAAAAGAATAATTTAATGTTTTAATTATTATCAAAAGACATTGATAAGTCAGGAAATTCAAAAAAAAAAATATTCAAAGAAAATAGCCATACATGTTTTCTCAAGATGATCTTTATTAACTTGATCCAATACCCTCAGCTTAAATTTGGCGAAAGTATTTGTCTTTAGGGCATTGTCGATAAACCCTTGTCCCAATAGATACACAGAAAGTGATTTGTCTTCTTCCCAATCAAACCCTTTTGGATGAACCTCAATTCTCCTGATCAGATAAACATTCACACACAACATGCAACTTCGTTAACGTAATGCATTGTGTTATTAAAATAGGAAAATAAGTGAGTTAGAATTGATCACCATTTCCGATTTCCAACGAAAAATTCAATGGAATGATGAACCTTTACACCAAACGTTAAAATCGAGTACGAGGCCATCTCAAAAGTGACTTTGTTATTAGGAGGCTTCTCAGTTTTGTTTTTTGGAACAACTAGAGGCTTCTCAATTAAGCTAAAACATTCCGCCGTTCCTGATTTAGCATTTTCAGTCCCAAAAAGCTTGACACCAAATATACAACAATCTTCAATAAGATACCCTTTTTTCTCAAGATCAGCAAGTGATATGAAATATGAAGCTCCTCTCTTTTGCGATATTGAATATATACCAAAGTCTTCTTTTCCTACACATATGTATAACACAACAACATGGATGAGAGAGAGAGAGAGAGAGAGAGAGAGAGAGAGAGAGAGAGAGAGAGAGAGAGAGAGAGAGAGAGAGAGAGAGAGAGACCAGTAGAGTGCCATATTTTCTGTATCTGCTTGATGAGAAAGAGCTGAAATTGGAGCTTCACATTTATTGGAACTTGATTCACTAAGAAGATTGAGACATAACCATTTTCATTTGGGTACAAAATAAGTTTCCTGTTTTCATGCAAAGTCAAGAAATATGAATTAAGAGAATAAAGAAAAAAAGTTTCACATTTTATCCCCAAAAAAGAAAAAAACATGAATAAAAGCTCACCATTTGTGACTACCGAGATCGAAAACAGAAGATTCAACCATTTTGAGGTTATACTTTTTGAGTAAAGAGAAGTTATCTATCTTCAACAAGTGAGATGTTTTGTGAACTGATTTGAACTCTTTCAACATTTCTGTGAAGAGGAAAAAAAAGAAAAGTCTTAAATTTAGGACTGATAATACAGAGAGACTCAAAGCTACATGTTCTTACGTTCAACAGGTATTGGTCGCGACATTGTAGCAAGCGGCAACATTTTTCAAAGAGAGCTTTATGAAACTGATTCTTTATAATTGAGACTGCTAGCTAGATCTGTTGGGGCTGCATAGCTTATATATAAAGACATTACACGACAAGAGCCAAATGAATGTTTCTGTTTGGACCCAAACATTATTGAAACGAATCGTGGATTTCATGATATGGTAAAAGATTTGAGATTGATAAGTATTATATACATCGCATCTTTTGGGAATATAACTAGTTTGTACAACCGACCTTATCTTGATACCATGCAACAAAGATTCATCATTTTTTAATACGTGTTTGGTAAATAAAAAAGGAAATACTATAGATAACATAAAGTTGAAGTGTACTATAATTATAGTAACAAACGCATCAAAAGAACAATCTTTTGTTTAACCGGCTTTCAAATCAAATACTAAGCTCAAAACATATATTCGCTCAAAGGAATCAAGTTTGTGAACTGAGATTTGGTAACCAGCTTGTGATTTTGGTATTGGTCCGACCACGAGTCGGACCAGCCTCACAGTGACCAGTCTTCGAGCTTATGAAATAGTGGGACTCCAAAAGGATCCCAAGTTTTTCTAAATGTTTCTGTTGTAGCCCCAACAGTTATCGAATCGAACAAAAACACACGCCGTGGATTACACGCTACAGTGAGATTCGAAAATTGATAAGCATTATATACACGTCACCTTTTTTGGCATATACTACAACTCTAAACGCATTATAACTAAAGTAGAAAGAGAGAAAAAGGTTTATAACTTTAATTCTGTTTTCATTCAATTTAAATTTATATAGAACAAAAAATTCGGTTTTGAGTATATTTAGATGACATAAACAAGACAAGTAAACATTCAAAGCTTGAGAGCAGCAATGGACTCGGGTTTAAACTCGACCCGCAAACCCAAGATCCGTCTAACTTCAGCCGGCGTGAGTCTCCAAGTCATGGGTCCAGCGTTCTCTCCCCAAAAGTCCAAAATCTCTGAGACTTTCTCCAAGTTGAGTATCGTCGCCATTTGAGTTAACCGAGCGAACTTATCCCTCACTGTGATCTGAGTCATACCGGAGAAATGGCTAACCAAAGCCCTCATGTCTCGGTCAAGCTGAAGCCCACCAAGCTGGCTAAACCGTTTCTGCATCATTATCACTTCAAGTCTCCTCACAATGAAATCAATTATAAGATGCAGAAACGAGTCGTAGTTGTTTGATGTCATCAAAGGTTGTAGCCACGCAGCGTTCGTTTCCACCGAGTGGAGAAGCCGTTGCACCCACGGATCGTTCACTTCGTTCTCTGCGTACTCGGTTTCCGTCAGCTCGTAGCTTATGGTAGCTACAGTGTCTAGAACCGGACGGATCCTTGGCGTCACTGTTGCTACTAGCTGCTCCATTCCCGAGTTGAGTAATTGCTTGAACGTATTGCTCAACTCTCCTAACTCTGATAGACACGACTTTATCCTCTCTCGGTCTGCTGGTGCAGGAAACACCTGTGACTACCACAAGAGATGGTTCATGGTTCGTTCTAAAAAGCATTTTCTATGTTAAAAACTATGTTCCTTAAGTTACCACTAACCTTAGCACATTGCTCCTCGATTTCATGTTTGAGTTTGAGAACATACTCGCAGCTCACATCCATGTTGTTCAAAGCAGTTGCAATCTCAGTGCCAGTGTTCTCCACACCGATACCACCCAGAAACAACCTAGCACCGAGATTCGGCTCTCTAATCTTCTGCTGCAACGCTTCGTGGTAATCGTTACCCAGCAAACTACCAGCATTACTCAGCACAGCAATCGCAGAGCTGATGTTTGAAGTCGCAATCGCTCTGCTAAGACATTTCTGCAAAACGTAGAACACATCTTCCACCATTGAAGTGGTGAAGCTGTCTAGTACATGCTCATCGATCCTTATAGCTTTCCTCACATTCTCAACCATGAAGAACCCTTCTAGTATCACATAGAATCCAGTCACGTCCTGAATCACTTTGCTGAAACTTCCGTTTCTAAACGCCTTTGTAGCTCTCGGCAACAGCTCAGGATCTACAGACGTCAAAGACTTGATCTTCGACACCATGTACTCGGTGTAACCCTCACCCATGTTCATCAGTTTATCGATCTCCTCAACATATAATTCAACTTCTTTCGGGTCTGGTCCTTCAGATGCACCACCAGCGAGGAGATTCAAATGGGGAGAGTTGTTGATATCAGAAGCCAATCTTGCTAACTTCCTATACTCCATGTACTTCTTCAATATCAAAGAGCCTCGAGAGTCACATTCCTCTTGCAATTCGCAAATCGCATACACAACACCATCTTCTCCGCAGAGACCTCTCAAGATCTCATCGTTCTCTTCAATAGCCATGATAATGTCTCTAAACAAATTGGTCAAGCACTCGACGAAATCTACCTGACCATGTCCTTGCTCCATGATTTCAACCGCGTTTTCGTATTCCATCCTCCCTCTCATCGCAATCACCTTCTTCAGGTAAACGACGTAGAGCTGTAGACCTTCTTCCTCCATTCCCAGTGGAGAATACAATCGCACGAATCTCAGAATCGTGGGGTGATCCCTCTGATCTATCGCCGCCATGAGCTTCTTCTTCGCGATCCCTTCGAGCTGCTTCTTCGACGCCAGAAGCTGCTCTCTCTGATCGGAACCAGAATCCTTATACTGCGAATCGATCTGGAGAAACCGCTGCACGAATTTCGCGGCGGATTCGTAATCCTCCGATTCCAACGCCGTCTTCACGCCTTCGATGCAGTTCCCTCGCTCGACGATCGCGTCTATGCGGGAGAGAGTTACATTCACGCGCGACTGAGCTAGATCGAGCTCACGTACCTTGCCACTGACCTGATCCGCGAGATCACAGGTCGATCGAACATTCCCGAACATGTGATCTGCATCCGCTTTCACGATATCGAGAATCTTCGCGGATCCCTGAAGCTGAACGAGGTTTCCGTCTAGCTCCGTCCGCTGCGATAGAAGCGTCTCGAGATCTGAATCTAAGCTTCGCTGGTAAGCGATACACTCGTGGAGAAGCCGCGTCATCGCGCCAACGTCCGTCAGCGAGCGCACGTACTCCAACGCTTCCGGTGTACCGAATTTGACGGTGGATGAATCCACCGAGTCCACCGCCGCATCGTCTTGATCGAAATCCGACTGCCTCGCTACCGCCATCGATCTAATCGGAGTAGATGGCATTTCCGTCAATATATTATATGATTTCCTGAGTACTCGACGAAACTCAGATCTGATCAAAAATTGTCACAAATGCTTCTGATAAACTTCTCGCAAGAACACAGAACAATCAAATGGAGAAGACGAATCCACTCTGTTCAAAATCTGATAGTTCATTTACAAAAGAAGAACCGAATCTATGAAATAAAACCAAATGGGCCTGAGGTAATAATAAAAACTCAAATCAGGCCCAATTAGTAATAGGAACCTAAAAATGTCTCCTTTCTCTAACATTTTTCCGTTTCATCTGACGCTTACTAGAAAGGTAAGCTCCTAAACCAATACCAGCATCAACGATTCTGGTATCACCGGTTATCTCTACTTTAACAGCATCTTCAAGAAACTGTTTGATCTTCTCAGACTCATCTTCTTTACAGATCATAGGAACAATCATTTCCCAAGTCTCTGAATGCAATCTTTCCCCATTCTCAACCACAAGCTCCACAACATCACACGCTTCTTCGACTTTGCCAAATCCGCAAAACCCTTTAACCAAACTATTAGAAACAGAGAAATGAGGAGAAAACCCTTTCGATATCATCTCTCCTAGATACTTCTTCCCTTCATCAAACATCCCTTGACCACACAACCCTCCAATCAGTGTCCTATACGTGACCAAATCAGGCGCACAACCGTTCGTCACCATATCATCAAGAACCTTCCTAGCATCCATGGCACGACCTTCTCTAACAAACCCGAGAACGATCGTGTTGTAGTGAACAAGATCAGGATTACAACCTTTCAACTTCATCCTACACAGAAGCTTATACGCCTCTCTAAGCTGTGTCTTCCTACACAGACTATTCAACAGCGTCGTGTAACTCAACCTATCAGGCACAAATCCTTTATTCAACATATCTTCAAGCAATTCCATAGCACCATTCGCTTGCCCTCTCCTGCAAAACCCTTTTATCAGAATCTTATAAGACTCCACATCAGGAACAACATCTCTCTCAAGCATTTTGCCAAACAGTTTGTATGCAATACTCAAGTCATCGTTTAAACAAAACGCTTGCATTAAGATATTGTAGGTTCTCGTGTTAGCTATGACTCCGTGAAGCCGTGCGTTTTTGAAAAGCTCGAAAGCTTTTCGGAGATAGCCTCTGTGGCTGACGAGAACCTCGAGGATTCGATTCAGGTGTTTTGGCTGCGGCGTGAAATTGAACTGCTGCAGCATTTTGTGAAACGTTCTTAACGCTTTCTCCGGTAAATTTGCTTCTGCGTAGATTTTGATCAGATATGTGAATGTTTCTCCGGTTAACGGATAACCACTCGATCTATGCTTGGCGAGAACGTCGTCGATGAGATTGAAATGTTTGGAACGGCCGAGTTTGAGGATGAGGACGAGGTGAGAAGATTGAGAGTGGCGGAAATTGGGCTGCTGAGAGGCGTAATCGAAGATCTCTTTGGCGAGGAGAGGATCCGATTGCGAAGCTATGAGCTTTTGAACCCGAGTCGGAGACCCGAATGAAGACTTATTCGATACCAACTCGTGTTCGGGTGAACAGGATGAAAGATAACGCGAGGATGTCGACGTCGGAGAAGTGATGCGGCGGGCGACGGAAATGAAGACGGCGGAGGAGTCGCAGATCTGCCGGCGAATCATTGGTCTGAGTTTTGAGTTTTGATTACTATGCCGTTGGACTTGAGAGATGATGAATCAGTTAGTCAAAAATCGAACACGATGGTTAAAAGCTACGTAGGCCCAATTTTAAATGGGCTTTTTATTACTGTAAGCCCAATAAGGAAACAAAAGGTCCCGTCTGCTCTTTGACTTATTATCATTGTCGGTGCGGTACCTCGGTTGGTGTGTATATATGTAAGCAGATTCTCTTATGTGATTAATGAATTATTATTGTTTTGGAAGTTTACTAGTACAAATTTTAAATGCATTTTTAATCATAATAGGATAAATTTAACAAATATACATAAATAACATCAAAATTAAGAACGTGGTGTATAATAAACATAAATTAGATTGATACAAAAAGAGAAATTAGTTTTAACCAAAGATGCTCTTTATTTTTAAAATAAATTACGAAAATGCTATTGGTAATAATTCATTACACTGTTCATTAATCACACAAAATACACTATTTATCAGGAAATCAGTTACATTATTCATCATCATCAGATTGTATGCAATTTTAGTGGTAACTATTTAGTTATCAAGCTAACAAAAATGATATTATGATAACTTTTTAATTACCATGCTAACTGATATATTATCATTAATATCTATCCAATTACTATGTTAACTTTATTTAATTATCATGTTTATTAAATTAATATATAGAGTTAAACCAATTATCATATAATAAAAATCTGAAACTATTCATCACCTGATTCTATGCAGTTTTAGTTACCATGCTAACTAAAATATAACCTTTTAGTTATCGTGTTAACTCGATATATTATCATTAATATTTATCCAATTACTATGCTAACACTATTTAATTATTATGTTAACTAAATTAACATATAAAACTAAGCCAATTATCATATAATAAAAGTCTGAAATTATCATGTTAATTAATACAATTAACACGTTGTTTAAATCTTAAAATACACAAAATCAATTAGTATTACATATTTTTTTTCTTTCAATAAAATAAAAAGGGCATATAGTAATTTTCTCAGACAAAATACTGTACAAAATTATGTTAGAAAACCTAATCTAATTTTCCTATTATCCATAGGTATATCTTACAATTTCCCTAAAAAATCTTATAATTGTTCAGAAAATCTGTAGAAGATGTGAACATAAAAAGGCTGTTGTACTTTTCTAAACCTATGAACAAACTCTACACATGTAGTGGTACCCAACTCATTTTTTTTTAAGTGGTACCCAATTCATTTACTGTACCTTCGATGGATCTAATTGTTTTATAATTTATTTATACAGTTGAAAAATAATTGAGAAATACGATACTCCAGATCTCTTTAACTTTGTCAATGAGACCGAATTAAAGCACAGTCTATAATACGTTGACATTTGACATGCAGATAAATATTCTTACGGCATGCAAACAAGTATTTATACTGCTAACTTTTTCAAGCCATATCCGTAATTTTACAGTTTACTGTTTTCATTGTAAAAAAAAAAAAAAAAAAAAAACTCACCACGTTTATAGTTATCGTCTTTCACGAATACCCAAAGCAGTCATTAAATAAGTCAATCATAGGCAATAAAATATTCAACAGTGTATAGCCATATACATTACACGATACATTACACGAGAGCATTTTCTTTTCAATATTGAGACAGATATTCAGATCCGTCACGTGAAAGGTTTGCACTGAGATGTGGACTCTTTTGAAAGTACTTCTGTATCAATAATATTTTAAAAAAAAAACACAAACAATACAGTCATCCGAATCAATATTTACGGCTACTTTACAAAAAAGATTAGCCTTTCAAAAGTAATACCAACACATAATTACAGTTCCAAGCTTTCTAAGTAATAAATAATTAATAAAATGTGCTCTAAAAAAGACTAAAGAGTGTTTCACTGTTACTAACTAGAAAACAACAAATCCAAGACAAGACAAAAACTTGGATCTACTTGAGTTCTTCTCATCTCCTCCTTTTATATCTTCACTCTTTACCAAAACCTAAATTCTCTGATTCTCGTATATACATATACCTATACATACACACACATATATACATAGCTATGGGAGAAGGAGAAGCAAAAGCAGATCACGCAGCCAAAGCAGATCACAAGCGTGCTCACTCCGCCTCTTCGACGCCAGAATCTTACTCCAAAGACGACGGCGGAGGCGGCGGAGGAAGCGCCGTCCGCGCAATCTGCGGCGCCATCTTCACCATCCTCATCTTACTAGGGATCATCGCTCTAATCCTCTGGCTCGTCTACCGTCCACACAGACCACGTCTCACCGTCGTCGGAGCCGCGATCTACGACTTTAACTTCACTGCGCCGCCGTTGATCTCGACCTCCGTTCAGTTCTCCGTTTTGGCGCGAAACCCGAACCGGAGAGTCTCCATTCACTACGACAAGCTCTCCATGTACGTGACTTACCGAGATCAGATCATTACGCCGCCGCTTCCGCTTCCGCCGCTTCGTTTGGGACATAAATCTACGGTGGTGATAGCTCCGGTTTTGGGCGGCCACGGAATACCTGTGTCGCCGGAAGTGGCTAACGGGTTGAAGAGCGACGAAGCTTACGGCGCCGTTTTGATGAGAGTGGTGGTTTTGGGGAAGCTCCGATGGAAAGCCGGTGCGATTAAGACTGGACGGTACGGATTTTATGCCACGTGTGATGTATGGTTGAGATTTAATATATCTTCAAATGGACAAGTCCCACTTCTCGCTCCTTCAACTTGTAAAGTTGATGTCTAAATTTTATTTTTGTTTTTGTAATGTTTTTTTTTTAATTATCTTTGTGTTTAAACGCCAAAAAAGAAATGTTTAAAAGTTAAGAAAAATAGAACTTGTATCTCTTTTTTTCTTTTTGTCTTCTATTTTATGGCTCGACTATCTCGAGTCTCGAGTCTAGTGTAATTGTGTAAGCTTTTATGTTGATAATTAATAAAGAGGCATTAGCCTGAAGTTATATCTCATAATCTACGATATTTTTTCGCTTAATCATAATACTGTCGGTGATAATGTATCCTCAATGGCATATGGCCTATATAGAAACATACAGCTCATTACATTGGTCTCAAGACATATGGCATCTTCATGCAGATTTTATTTGGTTTTAATATCATTACGTATTATTATGTTGTTAAACTCCAGGTTTACGTCTAACGAACAGTCTTCTTTTAAAAATATTTTCTTGCATAAAACCTGACACATTGCATAAATGTATATTTTACACTCCCTAATACTTTAGAAGATACATTTAAAAATTCAAACGGGATAACATATTACCTAATGCATCGATAACTCATCATCATCAGTCAATATCTGATCAATGTCTAGGAAATGTCCTTGGTATATCCCTGGAAAAAAGAAAGACTTAATTTTAGAAAAAGATGTTTCTTCACTTCTGACATACAAATAAATAATCAATGAATAAAATACTGAAAATGCACTCATCAGCGAATATTAAGAAAATGGTTTCATCTTTATGGGACAGGACACTCTAGAATCAGTTTCATAGTCGTTTACGAAATTACTTCAAAAAAGGGATGGTCATGTTCTTGAGCGTCAAAGGATAGGTGGCCACAAATTTCTCCCATTCTTCCAAATCTATTTTCCCATCTTTTTTCCAATCCGCCTCTTCAAATGTCTGCCAAAACAAATTAAAGAAAAAAATGTTAAATCCGTAACATGAACTTTTAACCGTTAGCTACAAGCCTACATACCTTAGACACAATAGAGTCGATGGTACTCTCTGCTAGCATAAGTTCTGATTCTTCAAGAACATCTACTATCATCTCTTTCACCTTTAATTTTCTCCAAAGTATTACATAATTAATAATAACAATTTACGCTATATACTTGATTTTTTGTTTTTTTGTGAAACGACGATGATTACCTCTTCCGGTTCAATGAATCCATTCTGACGAGTATCGTATAATCGAAATGCAACTGGTTATAAAAAAAAATTGATTATGCATGGTCTTAGCTGAACACATGGAGCCGTATAATTTTTCTTAATAACATGGAAAGTAAGAGTGATTGAATAATATACTGTACATATGGCTTTATCTCTCTGTGACGAGTTTGGGTGAAAAATGTTGAGAGAGTGTACAAACTCTCCAAAATCTATAGCCCCATCGTTTCTCATATCGAACAATCCGAAAATCTGCGTATTTCAGACATGTTTATCTTTATAAAATAAATAAACAAACTTACGTATAAAAAAAAGGTTAAAAAAAGTACATATATCACTTGATTAATATATAAGATTCATTAGAAATTTTACCCGTTCTGCAGAAAGACTACGTCTCTCGTTGTCTTTGACTAAGATGAGTTGAAAGTCTTCCTGAAACCAACCAAATCGACATAACACAATCACATATTTTCTATGATTAGTGTAATCAATGTAGATGTAATGATATTCACACTGGGGAAAGAGTATTTAGTTCTTGTGGTGTCTAACTTTGGTCACAAACTTGTCGTTGTTGAGACAAGAAGTGAGTTTGATGAACAATTCATGCAGAGCTTCAACCTCAGCCTCACTAACTGCAAACACAAAACAGTTAAGATGTTGCTACGATCTCTACAAACTCGTATACTCGTATTAAATAATTATTTGTCCATGCAATATAATAAACACTTTAATGTTATTGTGTCTATATATATATATATATATATATATATATAGACTTACAAAAGGTTTGAGAAGCAAGAAGCGAAATGTCTTCATGCCTTGTTGCTCCTAACTGCTTACTGCAAACACATCCCATTTTACAATATCAAATATAAATGTTCCAGTTTCACATGCGGCTCTATACGTTAAGTGTGTGTCTAATGTCTATGTATATATATACGGGCATATCATCGAATCTGCGAGATTGTGGAATATATATATATCTATTTCTGACCGAACAAATTCGAAAGTGGAGGGATACATACATTTCCGGTTGAGGAAGCTGGAGACAAATGGTATACTTTTTTATACCGGAATTTGATACTAATTCTTCTTCATGTAACGTGATTTTATGAGCTATTATATTCTTTTTCTATGGTGTCAAGTTTTTTGTTATGCCAAATTTTTATTTTTATATTTGTGACCAGGAGTTTTGCTGTTTCGATTATTGACCAAGCATATAGAACCAGAACCAAAAAAGTTGATCACTGAGTAGTTATATTCTTATACATATCAAATTGAATCCCTAGCAACAAAAGTTTCCTATATACTATGATCGAATCTAGGCTAGTTCAATTCACTATATTGTTAATGTTACATTTAAAGCTCATATAACAAGAAACGAGCTCGAGGTTAAGAAAGAAATATATGGATTATACACGCTAATGAAGAAGAAACATGGTACTTACGCAGCTCAAAGTCTAGTTTACCTTAACAACCTAGCCTCTAAAAGACTAAAACTATAACCAGAACGATAACAAACCATCAAACGGCCATAAAATGAAAACCCACGTAGAGTAAGCCCACTGCTTTATAATAGGCCTCATAGGTACAATAGTTGGCAGGTTTAGCTGTCGTCGAGATAAGGCTCAAGTGTAATTAAGTAGGCTACTTTGATTATTTTCCCATTAAATTAGTAAACTATTCATATTTGTTCATTAAATACAAATATTTAATCTTATAGTTTAACTTAAAGGAGTTACTAATAAGTTATCTAGTGCGGTATCAAATTTCTGGTGGAGTAACAATGGGCAAACGAGAGGGATGCATTGGTTGGCTTGGAAAAAACTCTGTCGTCATAAGAGCGACGGAGGCTTGGGTTTTAGGGTTCTTGAGGATTTTAACACAGGCTGTTGGCAAAACAACTTGGCATCTGATGGATAATCCAGAATCGCTTTTCTCACGGGTCTTTAAAGGACGTTATTACCGGAATGCACACTCCTTTGGACCCCATCAAATCCTACTCTCCTTCCTATGGGTGGCAGAGTATTGTATCGGCTCGACCTCTGGTTAACAAAGGGCTTATCAAAAGAGTTGGTTCGGGATCGTCTATCTCAGTTTGGGATGATCCTTGGATTCCAGCATCTCGCCCGAGGTCAGCAAAAGGAAACGGGATACATTTTTACCCGCACCTCCGCGTGCGGGATATTATGACACCCGAAAATCAACGTGGAATCTTCCACTATTAAAACAACTTTTTGACAGAACGGATGTATCCCTTATAATGGGGATCCAACCTCACAGCGGATAGACCGGACTCGTGGGGATGGTTTATACGAAGACAGGGCGATACACAGTCAAATCAGGGTATACGATTGCCCAAGAAGCTATGGATGCTGACAACATGATACAGTTTGGTCCAGACGTGCGTCGTCTTCAGGCACAAGCATGGAAAATTCCTTGCACCCAAAAACTTCAACATTTCCTATGGCAAATCTTAACGGGGTGTATATCAGTGGGAGCACGTTAAGGAGTCGTGGTATACAGACAGATCCACAATGTATGCGCTGTGGTATGGCGGCGGAAACGATTAACCATATGGTTTTGAATGTCCTCCGGCCTTACAGGTTTGGGCTTATCCCCAATCCCAACAGCTGTCAACCGGTTTCCAACAGAAGGTCTCTTCACGAATATGGCACACCTATTCTGGAATTTACCGGACGATGATAGGATGAGGATGTATCCTTGGTTAATTTGGTTCATATGGAAAGCCCGTAACGATAAGGTTTTCTCTAACGGGGATTGGGACCCATATGAGATCATCAATCATGCGGCGGCAGAGGCATCGGCATGGGCTAGCTCAGACACGTCAGGGCGCCGTAGGGCTGCCTTCGGCAGATACGGTGAACTCAGGTTTTCGGGGGATCGATGCCAGGTAGATGGCGCATGGAAAGAAACGGACCCTCGAGCGGGATTAGGATGGTACAATTACAATATGGAGACAGGGGAAGTACTTTGGGAACATGTAATCTGTGGAGGGGAGTTTCTTCTCTCCAAACAGAGGTGGAGGCCCTGTTATGGGCAATGCAATGTATGTTACGTCACAACAAGCTTGTAATGGTATTTGAAACAGATTGCTCTGACGTGGTACAGATGGTGTCTAAACCAGAGGAGTGGCCAGTTTTTGCGGTACTATTGAAGAAATAGATATTTGCAGAAGACGTTTTTCTTCGTTCTCCATCACGCAGGTCCACGAACAAACAACACGAAGGCAGACAAGTTAGCACGGAGTGCTCGAGCTCTACCTACTAGTGTGTATTATGTAAACTCTGTTCTTCCAACTTGGATTTCTGAGTTGTAGAAACAGAGGCTGTCGACAAAAAAAAAAAAAAAAATGAAACAGAAAGTTTTAATAAAAACTCATAACATTATTTCTAATTCATCCAAAATATCTAAACTCATTAAAACTCAAACTCTACCATATATCTGTCTAGATACACTCCTTACCCTAACTCTATCATCATTAATGTATTGAACAATAGATATTACAATCAAAGCTTTTGCAATCCTTAAACAAAGTTTTATGGTCACCCATCTAGCTAATAAAAGAATGAAATAAAACAAAACAAAATATATCACACACCAGCTAGCGCATTAGTGTCATAGTGGTGTTTGTCTAGTGGCAACGTCAATTCTCTCGTTCAGTTCGATTCTTATACTAAATAACTTCATAGATAAGTCAAGAACTGTGCCTCGGTTCAGTTATCTACCCAGTGAACCGGTTTTATCGGCGAGCCTATTCATCTTTTGGAACTCGTCGAGCTCGCTTTGTGTTATCGGATAGTTTGCAGTTGCACTTTTTTGGTTTTGGCAAAGTAAAATGACATTCGCTCCCTCTAAACCGATGTCGAAACCGAATCACCCAAGACTATTAAACAAGAAAAATACATTAAACTAAAAAAGCTGGTCTTTGTTTATTGTTATATATTCGAAATACTATCTACAAAAAGCTGGTCTTTGTTTATTGTTATATATGTTCGAAATACTATCTACAAAAAGTTGTATTAAGCACCCTAATATTGAATGGTACAAGGGTTTATATAAATGAAATGGCATTCGTTTTCTTGGATTAAAATGTTCTGAAAATGAGGCGTTGTTCTCATCCGTAAAGTGTCTACTTGAGAAGGATTGTCGATATATAGCATTTAGAACCTGTTGTTCGGAGTTGTTGCGATGATCAAGAAGAATGACCATATTACATGCGAGAATACTATAGAAGATAAAGTGTCTACTTGATCAAGTGTCTCGCATGTAAGCTTTTTGAAGAGCGTCCCAAAATCATTAGTTTATTGTTTACAGATTATATAGTAATGTACGTAGTAGATAAAAAGTAAACCCTTTTAACAAAAACAAAAGTACTAGTAGATGAAAAGTACCAGGTTTTTAGTTTCGACGGCATGGCTGACCAATCAGATCCGCAATGACCCGATGTGGCCATTGTAGTATTGTAGTATAGTGATATACATGTCGACGACCCACTACTCTGTATCTCTCTTCTATTTAATATTTTGTGTACCTTAAATCAATTATTACTTTTTTACTTAATGGTCACTGACTCATTTTACTTTGTCGTCATTAGTCACTCGCATAGTCTCACTACACTAGTTGTTTGTTTTATACCTGGGAATAATCCTATTTAACTCTTATTACAAGAAAATAATAAACCTGTATATGGTGGGATGAAAGCATTACCACTAAATCAGATTAATCAATGTCTCTAACTTTACCGTTCATATATTACTCTCATTATACTATTTGTTTAGGTAGGTGTCACTAGATTAGAGTATTAGACTAATCAACTAATCGTAATATCTATTTTTACCGTTCATATTTTAGTTTTTCTTGAATATATATAGACACGATGAAAAAAAAATAGATATATGAATTCACCCTTTAAAATACATCATTTTTTTGTGTTCGTCAGTTCCATTTTTCTTTTTCAAATTTGTAACATGTTATAGGTTGAATCTTACGATGATTTGTGTGCTGCAAATTGAATTTTACTTAATTCAGGATTAACTTTATCTAATTTCATGCAATGTAGCAGTAGACACATCCATGTCAATTAACTCATACTGTATTGAAAAAATTGCCGTAGTAGAATTCCCAACCTTTATATAACCTGATGTGTTAATTTGAACGAAACATGGGTATTGTTATAATAGTTAACCAAACTTAGATAAACGTTTTGAGAGAAAACGGTTTTAGGGTAATTAAACGAACAAATCGTGAGAAGCAATAATTAAATTGTGTCTTACAGACTTTACAGTACGTAAAATGAGTATTTTGTTTTGTTTTTTTTTTTTTGATAAAGGGTTGTCTTTAATTTTAAAAATGAGTATGAGTATTTTGTTTCACCAAATATTTGACAACATTTTCACAACATGACATTTTGTCTCGACAAACAAAAAAAAGAAAAAAATTCAATGAGATGTTAGCTAGCCTCCGACTAAAATATCTATTTTAACTTTGTGAGTTTCTGATTCTGATAAAAACAAAACTTCGTCCGTTTTTTTTTTGCCTTATTTAACTGCATGCATGTCCATGAACTAAATGTGGATCCGGATTTGACTGAATCACTGAAAGATGTCTTCGAAAATGATCGCCCATCACCAAACTAAAAAATCTTTCAACATAAGTCACATATTTTAACAATCAGATATTTATATACTTCTATAAAACTTTATAAATTATATTAAGGTTAATTAACAAGAAAGGGATATCCAATGTGGCAACCGCCCACAAACTCTATTATAAGTATACGTAGATGGGAAGGCGTGTGGTAGTCAAATGCAAAGAAAAACTATAGAAACCCTAAAAAATATAGAAAACACGAGGGAGAGAGAAGATGAAGGAAGAACAGTGGGCACCAGTGATAGTAATGTTAATATCAAGTGCTGCAATGGGATCAGTGAATGCTCTCGTTAAGAAAGCACTTGATTTTGGTGTTAATCATATGATATTTGCTGCTTATAGAATGGCGATTTCTGCTGTAATCTTGGTTCCGTTTTGTTATATTTGGGAGAGGTATGAACGTGATTTTGAATTTTGATACTTAAATGCGTTGAAACTCAGATTTTGAAACTCGATCGTCATTAACTCAATACTTTTTTTGTTTTAAGTTTTTTTGTTTTTTTCTGTTTTTCTGTTTTTTTTTCTTTGCTAAAACAAGTAAATTTATATAGTTATGTTCTCGTCTGAAACATGTGTATGATTTGATTTTCAAACGTCGAAGTTTTAACAAACCATATATTTTAAATATTTTCATACGTCGAAGTTATATATGATTACTATAGGTTGCTAACTTTATGTATGATTTGATCATTGTTATATGGATATTTTTTCCTACTAATCCTAGATTCTTTTTTTCATATTTATAAATTGATATTTTCGTGCGTCCATATATAAACCCAACCCAATTATTTAAATATATCGTACTAATTATATTGATGCTCTTTTTCATGTACGACTGGATCATTATATGTCAAAAACTCAAAATCAAGACTAACCGTAGATTTTACACGTACATATTTTATATATATATATTTTTTTTATAATGAAGACATGATACAAGTACTAAGTTCGTAAAATTGATATATACCCACTCTCATTATTTTTTTGATTGAGACGCATGACACTAAGTAGTAATACTGATACATCAATACATCATATACATATCCCCTCATATGATAAATGTATGACTGTATATACTGTTTATAAGTTTTTATTTTGCTGTGTATATACAATATATGTAAGTAATAGAGTTTGCTTTTTATAGGAAAACAAGACCAAGGCTAACGTTCATGCTTTTGGTCGAACATTTCATCAGTGGATTACTTGGGTTTGTCCTTTTCACTTGTTCATGTTATTACGCTATTTCCTCTCCTTTTAATGTACTTATTCACTTTTTAAAAGGAAAAGATAGAAGATATTTTTATTAAAAATCTACAGACTCTACTTTGTTTCTTAAATTTATCTTTATCTTCTTTTTTTTCAAATAACGCAGGGCAAGTTTGATGCAATTTTTCTTTTTGCTTGGGCTATCGTATACGTCACCAACTGTTTCGATGGCTCTAAATAGCACGTTGCCCGCTATTACCTTTGCGTTGGCCCTCATTTTCAGGTAATGCAACCACTTTAACTAGTGATTCGAATTTTGAAAACTACAACAAAAATTATCTCGTATTTCTAACTAAAAGAAAATTGCAGAATAGAGAATGTGCAAAACCTGAAGAGCAAAGCAGGTGTGCTCAAGGTATCAGGAACCCTAATTTGCGTACTAGGAGCAATGTTCTTAACATTTTACAAAGGTCCACAGTTATCACACCATCATTCTCATCCAGTGGCTCTTCACAACAACACATTGCATAACAATGGTCACGACCAAACAAAAAAGTGGCTTATTGGCTGTCTTTACTTGATCATTGGGACCGTATTATTGTCTCTATGGATGTTGTTTCAAGGGAAATTAAGCGCTAAGTATCCTTCCACTAAGTACTCAAGTACTTGTCTCATGTCAGTATTCGCAGCATTTCAATGTGCCATTTTGAGTCTTTATAAGAGTAGAGATATCCAAGATTGGGTCATCGAAGACAAACTCGTCATCTTTGTCATCTTTTACGCGGTAAGTTTTTGTATTTTTCATTAACACGTTTTATATGATATTTATAACACGTTTTGATAAAATTAACGATTAATAACACAGGGAATAGTGGGACAAGCCATGTCGACAGTGCTGACGTCATGGTCAATAAAAATGACGGGAGCAGTTTTCGTGTCAACATTCATCCCCGTCAGTCTCGTCTCTGCTACGTTGTTCGATTTCCTCATCTTACACTCTCCTTTATATCTCGGAAGGTTTTATTCTTTTCTCAATCATCATACTGTATATAACCTAAGGTCGGCCAATATATATCTAATATGGACTGATATGTTTATATCTTCATCATTAAAAATACAGCATACTTGGATCAATAGTGACAGTAACGGGCCTCTACGTGTTTCTTTGGGGTAAGAAGAGTGAGACACATCAGTCTGATTCCAATAGTTTTCCCACTTCCAATGTTTGTCAAAAGATTGAAAACGAAGACAAAAATGACAGCAATACTAAATTGCCCAATTGAGGATCATAATCTACAACTTGGTGAAAGAAATCTATGGTAGCATCCAAGATATTCTCGCCCTCTCAAAAAGCTTTATCCAAATTTCCTTTGTTGCAATTTCGAGATCGGTAAATGTTTATGCCGATGCTCTTGCTAAATCGTCTCTCCATTACCTGTCTATTGAGTTAGAACTCGGTTAATGAATGAAACGTTGTTATCGACCAAAAAAAAAAGCTACAACTAGGTGATGTCCGGTGCTGTGTGCAACACAAGTGAAATAATATTATTAATAGAAATTGTGCTATGTTTTATGTCTATTAAGTGTATAATGAGTGTAATGAATTCCGAATCTTAATACTAACTTCACTAGCTCTAATTAAACAATATGCATGTCTGGAAAAGATACCTAACTCCGCGTGTAGAGAAGTTAAACTTCGTTGTCCCTTGGTGTCCGTTAAGGTAAGCATCACATTCAAACACCATCCAGCTGAGAACAAACTTTTTTTGTTTTTTAATGACTATGAGGTTTTGGGCCTTCAAATTATCAGTTTGTTGCATGATACACATCCATTATGGGATCTGCAACACTACTGAATGAAACACTAAACAAAAACATAGCAAACTATTTGATTATATTTGTGAAAATCTACAATTGTTTTCTTGTATATATTATTCCATAGAATTTGTTATCAGTGACTCATTGGGATAAGGTCCTGTAATATATATATATTTTTTCCAATCTGGACCTAATTAAAGAGTATCCAGAATTAGTATATATCTCCATAATCGCTTTGACCTTTGAGAGCAAAGCAAAATTAGACTAATCAATCGTCCGAAAACCCAACCCTTTTTTTTTTCCATGCACACTAGTGTAGTGGGATCCCCTAGTGTAGTCGTCGATTGTTCCTTCCCGAGCTCTATGGAAACTTTGCAATGTCACTCATTTGTTTAGATGTTATCATCTTTTGAGAAGCTGATATTCAACATCATAAATTTATATCCTCTCAACTTAACTAAAACCTATTGTTCCTTCCCCGCACCATCTTTCGAATTCCATTATCTTTCCACGAAATAAAATTTGCCAACTATATAATTTTAGCTGAAATAAATAAAGGATATACCTATATATTGCCAACTATATGATTCTACCACAAAAATAGCTTTATCTCACTTTATTCTTCCTTTGCTTTTCCAAAAGAAGAAGAGCCACCAATATATCTTTGGGAAAGAAAATATTTTGAAAAATAAAAAGTAAGAACAAAGAGAGATATGTAATCAGATTTTATAAGACAATGCCGATAAGAAAAAGAAAACAAATATTATACGACAACAATTATTAATAGAAATACCAAGAAAAAAAAAATAATTTGCAAAATTTCATTGGAAATTTAGTTTCGATCTGCTTAAGCTCTGAACTCAGTTTAATTTGGGTTTAGATTTTACACTGATTGACCTCGACTAACAGAGTGAAGAATTCTAGCCTACTTCTGTACTTCACCACTATTTTTTTTTTTTTTTAATCAGTGTTAATACCCTTGTGATTATATTATATGAACTCCCAGTCTACGTTTTTTTAAGCTAGGAGCTAAAATTTACTTATTTATTTGAAAATAAACAATAGGTAACATGATAATTAAACTTGACGGATACGAACGTTGGAAAATACCATTATGGTATTTCTTGTTTGTACAGAAATAGAATGGAGAATAGTTTCATTTTTTAGTAAAAGTTTAACGGACGGCATATGAAGCATATGAAAATGATCACGGATTCACGGTTACAATAAGAAAATAGATTCTTTAATTTAATTAAAAAGACAATCGCTTACGTCAATATCATCGGTCTAATTCAATGAAACATCAAACATGTGTTTGGAAATCTAAAGAGAGCGAATACTTTCGTAAACTTTTTTGGGATAATACAACAGAAGAGTTATTTCTTTTACAAAATCTTACTTTCTTCTAAAACAATTTTTTAAAAATTAAATGAGTAAAGTTTGAACAGTGAACAAGATCTCTATATAATACCGATTTCTTCCTTCTCAATAATTCATACCAAAGCCGCTTATAGAGGTAAGAATAGAGAGAGAGAGAGAGCGATTTAATCAGTTAATAAGTATAAGTAATTAACGTTTTAGTTACATAATAGTTAACAATGGGTTACTGCGATGGTAAATGGACGCCGGTAATTATTATGGTTACGATTAATTCGGCGCTCGGTTTAGGTAATGCTCTCGTTAAAAAGGTACTCGACGGTGGTGTTAACCATATGGTTATCGCAACATACCGTCTCGCTATTTCCACCATATTTTTGGCGCCAATCGCATTTTTCTGGGAACGGTAAGTATTTAGAGAGAATTCATTAATTTGTTTCTTTTTGTTTAGTATTTCATTCATTAGTTTTGGTGTTTGTATATACATTCATTACATGTAATGACTACTAACGATAGAAATTTTGTTTATTAGGAGAACAAGACCGAAACTTACCCTCAACATCTTGGTTCAGCTTTTCTTCAGTGCTCTTGTTGGGTTCGTTCTTCTTTAAATTTGCGCTGCGAACTCTTTAATAGTTTGTAGAAATAATTGGATTAAAAAATAACTAAATGAAAAAAATTTGCTAACTCTTTCAAACTTAAGGAAATGCATTATGTTATCCGGTTACAAATTTTAAATTATTATGGTTACGGTTATTCTTGTTGGTAGATTTTAAATTTTAAACATAGAGTTAGAAATTCGTTTACGGTTTAGTTGATATTTTGTCAACTAGTTTTTTGGGTTCATTTTAGTAACTTAAAGTAAGCTTGTGAATTGTGATTTAGGGTCTAAGTTTTATTTGTAGACTATCTCGTGATTGGTTTTAAATATAGAAAATGTTACTAAGTTTAATATAAAAACATTACAACTTCTAAAAGTTTCACGTATAGTTGTATCCTAGCATATTTCTAGTCTAGTGAGAGATTTTCTTATACTGATTTTTCAATTTTTTCGATTTTAGGGCAAGTTTGACTCAGTATTTCTACCTACTGGGGTTATCATACACATCGGCTACGTTAGCATGTGCTTTTATAAGCATGACGCCTGCCATTACATTTATTTTGTCTCTAATATTCAGGTAAGGAAATGTATTTACCAACTATAACCTTTTTTTTTTTTTTTTTATACAATTAAACCCATTTGTTTGGGCGTAGGATGGAGAAGCTAAATATGAAAAGCAAAGCAGGTATTGGGATGGTGATGGGCACTTTGATATGCATAGGAGGAGCTTTATTACTCACAATGTACAAAGGTGTTCCCTTGACAAAGCTTCACAAACTAGAAACTCATCCATCTTTCAACAATAAACCCGCAATGAAACCGGGGAATTGGATAATTGGATGCGTGCTTCTCTTTGCGGGTAGTAGCTGTTTTGGGTCCTGGATGCTAATACAATCCAAAGTGAATGACAAATACCCTTGTCAATACTCTAGTACCGTCATATTATCCTTCTTTGGCACCATCCAATGTGCCCTTTTAAGCCTAATCAAATCTAGAGATATTGCGACATGGATCCTCACAGATAAACTCGATATCATGACCGTTATTTATGCAGTAAGTTTTTGTTTGTTTTTTTGTTCTTCATAAAGAAAAAGAAATGGTAAATATATATTTGACAATAAAATTTTGTTATAATTGGTTGTGAACTCGTTTTTTCCCCTGCTAAATGGTTTTGAACTAGTTTCTAGTATTAATTAGTATCTGTTAGGCTCGATTAGTGGCAAGGAAGAAGTTATTGTGATACTTTATTTTTACCGCTATTGTTATTGGTAAGTATATACACGTTACAGATGCGTTAAAGGCTTAACAATCAAATCTGTTATACAAACATATACAGTCTATCACAAGTTCACAACGTGTTATAGGGAGCGGTAGCACAAGGAATATGTACGGTGGGAACATCTTGGTGCATTAGAAAGAGAGGACCTATATTTACTTCTGTTTTTACTCCGATCGGGCTTATATTCGCAACCCTGTTTGATTTCTCGATCCTTCATCGACAAATTGGCATAGGAAGGTACGTCGAATTACTGATATATGCACTAAGATTACTCACTCATGATACCTATAATTACTCTTATGATTATTCTCATTCATCTATATAATATTTAGTTTCTCTTATTTTATATTCTCGTAGGTCTTGTATGTATAAAGACCTCTTGTAATCATCTTGATACCTAACACAATAATACAATTCAATATACACAAACTATATATGCATGGATTGAATGTGAATGTTCTTTTATATGTGTAGTGTTATCGGAGCTGGGATTGTAATCTTCGGACTATACATATTCTTGTTGGGAAAGGTCAGGCAAATGAAGGAAGAGAGTACTGCAAACAAGTTCCCTTCTCATTTTAGTGAAGAAGAAAGGAAAGTGGATGAACATTACAAAAAGAGTCCCCTGATGGTTGTTCCAATGACTCCTTGATTTGTCTAGACTTCTCTATTTATTTCCTTGTCTTCGTACATTATTTTAAATAATAATCGATCAAATCAAACATTCCAAGACTCTTATCTATTGGATTCAAGATTTTTTTTTTCTCTTTGAATAATTATGTGCCTATTGGACTGAATTCCACGCTAGTAGTGTGAAAACAAATTATACGAATATGCAAAATTAAGGTAACTAGAAACTAAATTTATTAGAATACAGTCAGAGATTAAATTAAATTTACGTACGTTGCACTAGTCAAACTAACAACTGGTGTATGTTTCTTACGTACGTTGTTAACTAATTAAGGCCAATGTCATTCCAAATACTTAAAGTTCGATAAAACTAAATCATTTTCATCATAAAGCAAAGTTTATAACAACGTCCCATGGTACCGTTGTGTTTGGTTTGCTCAAGCATTTACTCGTCACTCGTTCATTATCTAGCTTCCATTAGACTATATATTGACAGACTCTGGCATTCGTGGCTGAGCTTATCTATGTGGCGCACTCCACGAAATTTAAAGCACATGTTTGCTTGTTTTTACGCATACACGGTCTGGTCGGATTAGTGTGGGAATTTGCTGGGTCCTTGCATTAGATAGATAGTAAGACACATATGGCTTTAATATTTGGGTAAGTTTATCACTAATCACCATGCATGTTTAATATTTTAATTAAAAAAGTTTTCCTCTATGTTATTTTTTTTTTTCAATTTTCAAGTGTAATCTCACTCTCTTTTTGAAAAAGAATTACAAGTTCGAAAAGTTAAATATGAAAACAAAATAGTATGAGGCATCGTTTTTTTTTTGAACTACGTGATAAGCTTAGTGGAGATTTTTTGCATGCTTTATAGATCTTTTGATTATTTATGAAAATAAATAAATACTATAGCAATAGTCTTTCTTATAAAGGTGAGGGTAGGTTGGGCTGCTAGGCTCGATCAATATGCTTTTTTCTTCCTCTCTTTCCATGTATACTATTTATATTATTATGTTCATACTTTAAAAAAAAATCTCTTTATTTCATACAACCAAGAAAAGAAGTTTGTAGATTGCTTTTTCTCCCTTGTGGTGAGGGATGGCACACGAACGGTGAAAGTTGGAGCACTTCAAAAAGATTTTTTGGATCCAAAACAAGTGACACACCCATATAGAAATTCGAAACACAAGAGGTCTATAAATGTCAATCATTACTACAAGAGGTCTAATTGTCTAAACCAAGTGACAAAAGGCACTCTATAATTTAACCCCAAAAAAGAAAGGCTTTCTATAAAGCATGTGTCTTCTCTTCTATTCATTAAAGTTTATCCTATTTCTATCTATGTGAGAAGGCTGATGTTTGGCCTGGCTCGTATAGTGTTAACACTTTTGAAGAAATCAAAGTAATTTTAGCAATAGTTTTTTTAAGATTACTAATAGCACCCACTACACGACACTTCGGAATATGTAATCATGACTAATTCTTTTCCACGTCACTAATAAATCACAGATTTTTTTTTTACATCTCCTTTTTAATTTCTTTTTCGTTTACCATGTCCATATGATCTATTCTGTTTATATTTTTAACATATAAATATATTATATCAAGATTCAGAATATTTTCGAAATAGGTATATGTTACATATAAAATGAACGAGACCCACAATATGAATACATGATTGACTCGTGATTACTGGCTCTTTATAAAAAAAAAAAAAAAAAAAAAAAAAGACTCGTGATTTAGGGGTTGATATCTATGGTATGAATTTTGTTTTTTTATCCAACTTTTATAAACAATACTAGTTTTTAGCAATGTGTCGGAATGGAAAGATAGGTAAGAAACTGTATTTTTTAAGATATATAATGGATACCCAAGGTCCCGGTTATCTGACCGATTTGTTACTCAAATCTAAACTCGTGTAGTTATACTCAAGTTATTATTTAAAATTTTGAAACATTTAAATACTTACATAATAGTATTCAAAATATTCAGCTATCGTACAAAACAAATTATCGAAAGCTAAAAAATCATATTTAAACAATATAAATTTTCGAAAACATTATTTAATTAAACTTCAAAAGCATTTAAATATTTGCAACACGTCCATATACGTCCGTCCAAATATTTGCAGATACATTTTGCCAAAACGACAATTAATTTGAAACGGATGAAGTATTAATTATGAGTCAATCATAATTAAAGCTTTAAGTCACTGGTTAAAATGAGTAAGGTTCTCCGCGCTCAGCCCTAGTTAAAGCGATCAGTAAGTTTTTAATGTACATTTTTGTTGTTTGATCTCTATATAGTAGTCACGGTTAAGGAAACGAATCAGGAATTCAATAGAAAAGCCGGTCAACTATAATGAAAATACTGTTTATAAAATAATTATTAAAAGTTGTAAGAAATTGCCTCGTGATAATTTGGTGTACAGTGTGTAATACAGAAAAAAGCATGACGAGTATCGGTTGGAAAATATATTGACCATTTTTCAACAAAATAGTTGAATCGATCGGAAATCCGTTAGAACTATCAAAGAGAATTAAAATCGTTGGAAATCAGTTGGAAAGTTCCAGTTACCTAATCGTGGATGTGTCTGCTAAACATTTTTCGATAGCTTTGCTTTTTTGCATGGGGAACCATACGAGATTTTCTTAATTAACCAATAAAGCCATATAATTAAAGCTGGGAAAATGCATTAGGAGCACGTAATTCAAAGCTGTAGTAGAGTCTGGTAGTTATATTATACTATTATACTTAATAATTAATATCGAGTCTTTATTGACCAGCGGCTTTTAATTACTTGACTGATATAGTGATCAGTGACATCGAAATTATTGAGTTTTCTATATCAAAAGAATTGAGTATTTGTTTTTTTTTTTTGGGGTCAACCAAAATAATTGAGTTTATGACAAAGAATGTCATGCAGATTTTGTTTACCTATTGTCTTTCTAAAAAAAGTTTGTTTTTTCAGTTTTTTTTTTTTTTTTACTTAATATATTTCCTTTATTCATCTTCCCAAATGGGATACCATTTGAATACAAGAGGAGGAAAGGAAACAGAACATACTACGAAGAAAGGCTAGAAAAGATATACAGCAACAACTACCTCTGGAAGAACTCAAACCAGGAACATATAAAGCTAGAAGAATCCGCCACATTGGAAGAAGACTGAGCTGATAACTGCAAAGCTAAATGTCTGTCCATTCCTGCCAACTTAGCTCGGAGATTGAGTTGAATCTCTTTTATCACCACTTGATAAGTTCTGGGAGGAGAGGCATGAAGTCTTGAATTTCTTTCCTTCCAAATTGCATAAACAACTGCCTGAAACAGAAGCTTACAAATAATTCTGATTTTGCCTCTCACAGAACTCGATCTAACCCACGTTACTAGATCCTGACTGCCTGTTTTTTCAGTTTTTGCTGCAACTATCACAAAATACACATATCCTGTCGAAGAGCTACGTTCGAAATTTGCCCACAATCAAACCGACACATTAAAGTATATTGATATTAACGTATTACGTGTAATATTAGGGTTTCAAAACGTTACCTGCATTTATTTACAGTATAACTGTATAAATGAAATGAGTAGTATAATTCTTAGTTTTTCAGGAGAGGAAACATGCAATTCTGACCAAAAGACCAGGAAACAGTTCCCGATCCGGTTTTGAAATATTATCTTTTGAATGTAATCCGGTAGTTTGGTTCTGAATAACAGTTCACTTTTGAATGTCACTACTCGGCTGCAGTGTGGAACAAAGTGGGTAAACTGGATTCCTCTTCTCACCCCTCCCTACTCCTGGCTTGATTGGTTGGCAAATGCCTTTTTCCAAGGATGGCAAGCATGTCTCTGTGAAATATAAGAGTTTGAAGAACATATTTTTGGCTCTGAAGCAGATAGGAACAAAGCTTTGTTCTTCACTTCTTCAATGTTGGCAAAACTGATCTATCCCCTTCCCTTGGAAAATATGACATCTATATGAGTCTTTAATAAAATATGACGTATACTAAACACACTAACATTTACTGTCGAGAAAGTTGACTTATACACAGTAACACCTTAATCGCATGTCAAACCTTTTTTTCCTAAATAAGGTTGTATTACACATGATTTACATTTTACACTGCATATATAGTATCTAGTTTAAGAGTTTTATACACCATTTGTTTCATTATAATTAGCTATACGTCAGTCATTTTGCAATTCTTTTAGTTACTAGAACACTATACATATATACAAAAGTTGTTGAGGTTGTAGACTTATAGTATATAATTTCTTAAATGTATGCAAAACTTCAAGACATCAATATTTTAAACGGGAAGTACGTTCTAGTTTTCTCGTCTTATTAAACTCTGCAACACTAATCGAATTAACAGTTGTGTACTATTTACTCACGTTATTAATTAAATGAGTCTAATGTAATGATTCCATAAAATTAAAGTTGGACAAAGCTCAATCATATTCATCAAATAAAAGCGGAGTACAAAGAAGTTTAATTTGCTAAGCACAAATCATTTCTAAAATGCACTTTAAGTTTCTTTAAAGTTAGAAATTAAGACACTCGTCAAATTCCTTTAGAACAACTGCTTTAATTTAGCTAATTAATTTTTGGGGGATTTTGATAAATACCCTAAACTTTAATAGAAATTTACAGCATATATTGAATTTGTTTTGCAATTTGAGAATTACATTTTACAAATGTATAAATACCAACATATCTTTATCTTTATTTAACTAGTAGTTATAAAAATTAATTCATTTCAAAAGATCCTGGTACATTAAACAATGAGGACCTATATTTACCTAAGCATTTAGTCCTGTCATACCTTTTTTGGTAAAAAGTCCTCTCATAACTTATCTCCGCAATTTTAACTGATATCTTGATTCCTTCATCGTATGACTTATTTGGGAAGGTAAAATATGGACCTACAACATAAACTTATGCATATTCAATCTTGTAAGAAATCTTCTGATGTTGAAACTTGAAAGAGTAAGAAAATCATTTTCACTCATTTATATTACGTGCATGTTACTAACAAAAGTTGTGTTGTTGTTGCAACATTATTGGATCTCTGGTGGTTGTGATATATTTGTCAGTAGAACAAGAAAATGAAGAGGAAGGCATACAAATGTTAACAAAGGCCAAATTTTGGCTATTTATGACTCCCCCAAACTCTCTTTTTTTTTTTTTTGGTTTTCATGTTAAGATTTATACCAAAAGAGAACCAGAATAATATTTACAAGCTACAAAAGGAAAAGCTTACCTAAAAGAACTTACCCCAAAAAGGAACAGGCGATAGTTTTTTCATAACGGATATGAGATACAAGCAAAATAAGACTCTAGAAGAGAAGGAGTGCCATCCAATGAGGGAAAGGACAAGAGCCGGTCCCTTATAGTGCGGTCCACCACGTTCTTCAAGGCAGAGAGTGTCGTAGTCGTTGTCGTGAAAATCCTCGCATTCCGCTCTCTCCACAGAGCGTAGACAGTAACTTGGAGAAGCAGCTTCATGAGAGTACTCGTGTGAGCTGAGGATGAAACCGGAGGAAGCAACATGGCAGCTAAGACCGAGACCATAGAAGAGGCTGCAGTTTGCCTGCAGAGACGAGCAGCAAAGAACTCCCAAAGGTCATGAGAGAGAGAGCATTCGAAGAAGAGATGATCATGCGTTTCCCGATCTGAAGAGCATAGAGGACAGACCTCCGGCACGTTCATCCCCCAGCTAAGCAGACGATCACGAGTCGGCAGGCGCTTGAGAATGACCAGCCAGAGAATAAATGAAGCCCGAAGGATTCCTCCTTGAACCAGACCGTTTCTTCCCAAGTCACCACCTGAGATCTAATCCTCAATTGTTCCCAGGTTCCCTTGGAAGAGAAGGTTTTGGAATAGTTACCCGACGGCAGGCGCCAAAGGAAGCTGTCCTCACCTCCGGTCAGAGAAGGAGCAGGGATGGTTGTGAGATGTATCTGAAGAGCTTGGACCGCATCCGACCTCGCGTTGGGAAGTTGCCAATTCCCATTTCTCACCGCATCTTTAACCGGCGCATCAAGTCTCAGACGTAGCATACGCGGGCCACTTTGTCCCACAAAGTAAATAAGAGGACCTAGCGTGGTCCACGAGTCCCACCAAAAAGCAGCCACCACACCATTTCCGATCTCACACTTCAGGAAAGTAGCTATGAAAGGTTTCAGCTGTAGCATGGCTCTGATAGTCTTTGAGAAGCGTGGGGAATCCGGCGTTGCCCAGAAGCCTCTTCTACCAAAGATATTTCCCCTCATCCAAGCCACCCAGAGAGAGCCCGAGTTCGCAAAGAGGTTCCACACTTGCTTCAACTTAAACACCACCTCAAATTCATGCAGATTACGCACCCCCAAGCCACCTTCCGATCGCGGTTTACACACATCCCTCCAAGCTACTCGAGCCCCACTTGCCGAGTCAGTTTTGTTTTTCCAGAGGAAAGCAGAGCACATAGAGTCCACTTTAGTGTAGAAAGCCTTGGGCAAGCTATACACTTGGCTCCAGAAGTTGACCATGCCATAAATCACCGAAGAGACCAACTTAATTTTCCCTGCAAAAGATAAGAAACGCACAGTGAAAGAGTTTAGCTTGTTCCTTATCTTCTCGATGAAAGGCTGCATGACTGAGATGGAAAGCCTCTGCGAGCTCAGTGGTAACCCCAAGTAAGGGAAACTACCCTCCTTAATGTCTACTTGGCTGCTTAAAGCAGCTGCCTCCATCTCCGTGTAGCCGCTGAAAAAAATTTCAGATTTAGCTGCGTTCATGTCCAGGCCCAAGATGCTCTTAAACACATTCAGCACCTCCGAGATACCACTCATCGAGGAGCTGGAGCCATCCGAGAAGACCAGAAGGTCGTCTGCAAAAGGAGATGCGTGATCATTGGATTCTCGCATTGCGGATGCAGTACGATACATATGTCCTAACGAACTAGAGGATAAGAAAAAGATCGTCTGATTATTTATAGGAGTATCGCTTGTTTTGCAAAGTTTAAGATTTTTGGCTTTTAATTCTCACGGATGTCATTTGGATATTGTAATTTTTTTTAAAACATCATAACCGAATATGACCTCATCTTACTGAACGAATGATTCATTATAAAAACAATCTAGACAAGCAAATCTGTATTAAATATAGTAATTAGAGCAGTTTTCTAAAACCCTTGATACGTGGTCGTCTGTTAATCATTCGAAGTGCCAAGGCTTTTCCAAATATTTGAGTTTTTTTAATAAGTTGTTGGCAAGTTTTCTTATGTGATGGTTTTAGTCTTTGAGATAAAACTATATACTTAACTAGGGGGTGACCGCGCTTCGCGCGGAATTTATATTGTTGTGTTAGTTTTATTTTTTTCCGAAAATTGAATTTATTTCTATAGTTTATTATTGTTTCAAAAATATTATACACATATTAATTAATTAAATATAATTAGGTTAGGCAAATTTCCGTCTAACCCTATCCCATCCCATTTTGTTCCTTTTAATCATATCCCGTTCTTTTCCGTCACGTTCGTCATGTCCGCCCCATCTAGTCTCATCTTATCCTATTATGTTCCTTTCCATTTTGTCATATCTCTGTCCCGTCTCTGAATATAATTAGGGGTAGGCAAAATTACTGTCTCATCCCATTATGTCCCTTTCCATCTTATCCCGTCCAATCCCGTCTCATTTCGTTTTTTTTATCCCGTCCCGTCCAACCTTTCCTTCTTATCATGTCTTGTTCTGTCTTATCATGTTCTTTTCTTGTCTCATTCCTTTCCATCCCATTCTGTTTTGTCCCGTTCCTTCCCGTCATGTCCGGTTTCATCCCATTTCGATATTTTCCCTTCCGTCTAGTTCTTTCTCCTTCCTGTTCCGTTCCGTCTCGTTCCTTCTCGTTTCGTCGTTCTTTCTCGTTCTCGTCTTATTACTTCATGTCCTCTCTGTTGCTACCATTCCTTCATGTCCCTTCCCATTCCTTTCTATCACGTTATTTTCCATCATGTTTCTTCGGGTTCCATCTCATATCGTTTAAATTATATAATTAATTTTAACAAAACTAAAATCGTTAAATTTTTATTTATGTAGATCAGTTGATATGATTCTTGTTTTATAAAAACTTTTTCAAATTCTTGTTAAAGTTATGACATGGTAATTATTATGACAATTAAAGTATAATAAAAGCAAATAAAATAAATCAAATGGAGAGTAGAGATGGCTGATGTGGAAAAATGCTGAATTTAGAAGGGTCTCTTTTGCTGAGGTGTCACCAGCAGAAGAGAATCACACCAACTTTATATATATAGATTTAGTAACTCCGATGTTTCTTTTATCACGCATAATTTAAAAATAATATGAATTTACGTCTGTTTTTTTTAAAATAGCATGGTATATTTTATAATATCATAATATAATACATATCACTTCTTAAAACAAATAGACGCAATATAAACAATTGATTACCATTAGTTTCAAAAATAAAAAACACACACAATGGATTATATATGAAAATTTATATTGACACGTTGTTTTACTAATTTCAACTCTACATATGGTTATCTACTAAATCACCCAAACAGAAAGAAAACAAAAAGTTCATGAGAGATTCTTGTGAACCGCCGATACCTCCTCTCGCGGATTGTGTGGAAGTACTGTGACGTCCTTATTTATGATAATCATGATAGTCAATATGGTCGAATATTAATTCACAATTCCATCAGCTGCATGAATATCCTTCTACCAACAAAAAAAAAGGAAAATTCCATCCGCTGCATGCTTTCCTGATATTTTTACAACAAATAATCGAACAATTGTATTTCTCTAAAGGTGAGGGTAAGTTGGGCTGCGGGCCTCAGTCACTAGGTTTCTTCTTACATTATTTTATTTTTTCATTTATATTGTTTATATGTTTGTATTTTATTTGTAAATATTACAACCCAAAAAGGAGTTGGTAATTGCTTGCTTTTTCTTTGTAATACTGTTTACTGTTGAAGAATGGCGCTCGAAAGGACTGAAAGCTCAAGCACTTCAAAATGATTTTCAGAATTCAAACAAGTAAAAATTTTGAGGATCAACTGCTCATGCTTTCTAAAATTTGAAGTATTGTCAGGGGCGAATCCACATTGTTATTAGGTGAAGTATGTGCCCCATACTATTTATTAACATTATTTTAATGGGCCATTGTCACTATCTCACTATTGGTCCCTTGGATCATTTGGTAATGATATCACAGAATTATGGAATTATATATGGATGGAGGAGTGTTCGATTTCCCCACTTGTTTTTATTTTCTTCTTTTTTATACAACCTTATCTTTTATTGACACGTTTCCTTTCTTTGGGCTGTCATTATTTCAAACAAACTTTTCTTAGTATCTTCTAATCTATTTACTTTTTGAAATTTAGTTATTTATTTTTCTCTTTATATAACTCATGATAAATCACAGACTTATGGAAAAGTCTACACTAAATTGAATACATCTGCTTTAGTTTAGCTAAAATATTGTTTTGTTTAATTAATCGAAAATTTGAAAGAAAAAAATGCTTTACGATTGTAAGCTAAATTTTTATAATTATTAAAGTTCTTATAAAGAAACAACTCTCTTCCACCATGAAAATATCATACTACATATACACAATACAAAATCAAAAAAAAAAAAAAAAAAAAAAAAAAAAAAAAAAAAATCATAGTGCTAGATAAATTCATAGCCATCGACTCATTTTTAAAATATTCTCTTTTCCTAAAAATAAAACTGGCTCCAGCTCAGCTTATCTGATGTATATAAATATACCCACGTAGTCTCTATGCTAAATACTCAAACAAGTAGAAGAGCAAGAGTGAGAGAGTGAGAGAGGGCGCGAGAACGAGAGAGAGAGCTTTGGTTATTAAGTAATTAACAGATAGTTAATTAACTTATCAATCATGGGTTATATCGACGGGAAATGGGTACCGTTGATCATGATAACTGTGATTGACATATGTGCGGGAACGGTTAACGCTTTGATTAAGAAAGTTCTTGATGGAGGCATCAATCCTATGGTTATTGCTACCTATCGTTTGGGTATTTCCACCTTATTTCTTCTTCCAATCGCTTATTTTTGGGAACGGTATGTCTATTTATTTTATTTTATTCAATTATTCGATTTATTCAATTATTCGATTTTCACATCTTGTACATTTACAAAAACAATTACCAAAAACGAAAATCGAAGGCACGTTTACACCCAAATTGAATTTCGTTACCTGGTTACAAAAAGTTATTAAACAAAAGTAGACAAAAATAAACTAACAGTTGATGCTAAAATTAATATTGGATTTCATGATTTGGTCAGGAAAACAAGGCCGAAGCTAACCATAAGCATCTCGTGTCAGCTTTTTATCAGCGCACTTTTTGGGTAAGTTTCAGTTTTATTCACTCTTTAGTTTTTATAATCCTCTCTTCATTTTCTTGTGTGGGTAAGATTTAATATTTGATCATAATCATTTTCTTTGCCAGGGCGAGTTTGATGCAATATTTCTACTTGCTTGGACTCTCATACACTAATGCCACGTTGGGATCTGCTTTTTGGGGCATAATGCCTGCCCTCACTTTCATTATGGCTTTAATATTTGGGTAATTTATTTTAAATATTATCATCAATTAAAGTGTCCATATATGTTTTCATTTCAATTGTTATCTTACACAATTTTTTTCTTAAAAAAAAAAAAAAATAGGTTCGAAAAGCTAAACATGAAAACAAAAGTAGGATATGGCGTCGTTCTTGGAACTTTGATAAGCTTAGGAGGAGCTTTACTTCTAACGATGTACCAAGGCATTCCATTATCCAAATTGCATGCACAATCAACGTCCTCACACGTCCACACAGGACATGAGAATTGGATCAAAGGTTGTGTGCTTTTATTCACAGGAGTTACACTTTTCAGCTCTTGGATGCTTATACAGGCCAAGATCAACGTGAATTACCCTTGTCCGTATTCTAGTACCGTTATGTTATCAGTTTTTGGTACGTTTCAATGCGCCATTCTTAGCTTGTTTAAGACTAGACATTTGGACGAATGGATCCTCAGAGACAAACTCACCATCATCACCGTCATTGTAGCGGTACGTACATTTATATATATTAATTCCTCGAGTTGACACGATAATCAAACATTGATCTATTGAATGTATGGTTATAGGGCGTGGTTGTACAAGGAATATGTACCGTGGGAATATCGTGGTGTATTAAACAACGAGGACCGGTCTTTACCTCAGCATTTAGTCCTGTCATACTTATGTCTGCAACTTTAACTGATATCTTGTTTCTTCACCGAACGATTTATTTGGGAAGGTATATACGGTGGACCTACAAAATATAATTAAGCATATTGTCTTCTTCTTTTTTATAACGGGTTTGCGTATTCAATATTGTTAGAAATATTATGCTGATGAAAATCATAGGATAATCAATTTCCTTCATTTTGATACAACATTATATAACTCTCTGGCAAATATATAACGTGCATGTTACTAACCCAATAAAAAATAAATTGTACATGCAGCGTGATTGGATCTCTGGTGGTTGTGATCGGTTTATACGTATTTTTGTGGAGTAAGAGCAATCAAATAGTAGACAGTAAGACCATGAAGTTACCAACAAATACAGTAGAAGAAGAAAAGGAAGAGGAAGGCCATACAAATGTTAACAAAGGCCAATTTTTGGCTATGCCCATGACTCCTTGATCTACAATTCCCCAAAATCTCTTGTTTAAGCAGAACGATATGTCTTAACGAATTAAATGTGAAGAACACAAGGAAATGATCGCTTGATTGTTTACTGGAGTATCTTATCACGTTGCTATGTTTAACTTTATGGATTTTTGTTTCTATGGGCTTCATTTTGATATTGTACTTTGTTTATATAAATAAACAGTATCGAATATGACCTTAACTACATGAACGAATGATTTATTCTGAATTGTTTACATAAACAAAATGATTTATTCTGAATCTTCGGATTGGTGCCGGTTCGGTTCTTCAGATCCAAAGATTATGTCCATAGTTACATCAACTACTTTAACAACAAAAAAATTACATCAACTGAGTCCGTCCTTTCAAGTTTTTTTTGTTTCGAGCGAGAAATCGAACAATTGTAAAAGGCGAGAGTGAGTTAGTCTAGGAGCATCGATCACCATGCTTTTTTCTTACATTGTAAATGTCGCGTCGTTACACCAGAAAGGCAGAAAGGGTCTCTACCAAGTTCGCTCTATAAAGCATGGTTAAAAAAAATACTATTAATATTGATATGGCTAAAAAATGACGTCATGATTAACAGTAAACTATATTCAGGAAACATGCATGTATCACACAAGTCACATTACTTATTATATTCAGAGCTAATTCCATGTTTTTATCAAAAGTTAACGAGAGCATACAGGAGTTTAAAATATATAAAATGTCTACAGCTACAGTTCTAACCAATCACTCTTTAAATTTTTTCTTTTTGTATCACATCATCTGTTTTTTAACATCTGATTGACGTTAATTTTCAGATTCTACATATTTATTTTTATCAAGATTCAATTCTACTATGATATGTTACATGAACATATACGGTGAGAGTCTGAATAGAAAACCCAAAACCCGTTTAGAGAAAAAAATATTAAAAATCAAAACCATATACTGGAGTAGAAGTGTGTTAAAGCCTAAAGGGTTATAATTTTGATTGAAAAATTATGATTTTTAATCTTATATATAAAAATTAGATTTTGGGATATTATAAATATGAGTCTTAAAGGGTTATAAACATTTTATTTATCTAATACTGAAAAATCATATACGGATATTTACGCCAATTCGTTTTTCTTTTTGAACTTTTGAATTTTGTTGGTGCTTTTCTCGCGTTTTCGCAATAAACCGGCGCAATTACCGAAAATAGTGAAAACGATAGACGATATTTATGGAATAATAAAATATGTTTGAAATCCTCTTATGGTTGGTTTTTTTTTTTTTTTTTTTTTGTTAAAGCTCTCGTGGTTGGGTTTGCTAAATTTATATGTATGGCTTTGCTTTTTTGCATGGCGAACCCCACGAGAGTGGCTTATCTTTTAGCAATAAAGCCATAACACATGTCAGAATCGCTTAGAATCGGATTTCGGTCGAGTAATTCATGCATGATGATCATTTTAAAAAGTAACTAAAGTCGAAAAATACATTATGTATACTCCGATTTAATATATAAAGTAACACGTAAAAAAGGTGATAATAATACATTGAAACTCTTTATTGACCAGTTCTCTCTATCAATGATCAATAACATCCTGTAACAAAAAAAAAAGATCAATGACATCAAAATAATTGAGGTTTTCAGCCACATCCAAAGTATTGAGTTTGCGAATTTTTTTGAAATATAAAATGTCTTTCTGAAAAGTTTTTTTTTTTTCTGTAACGTAACTATCAAAATAATAAGGTTCAAAAAACAAAAACAAAAAACTACCAAAATATCTGGACGTATACGTCCCCAAGATATACCATTCCAAAATTTGCTCACAAACGGATCAACCCATTAATATATACGTAGAGTTTCAGAAGCTTGTCCTGATGAGGTCCAACTGGCCAAGTCAATTTTTATTATGTTTTTAGATAACTGATTAGTTTGTTTTGTTTGTTTCACCAAGGTTTGAGTTATTGTTTTTCTTTTTTTTGTTCATCAACTTTACTTCTTCAAGAGGAAAAGTTCGCTGCTAAGAAACATAAAGAAAATATGAATATAAACAACTTATCTTATATATCATAGGAGAGTTGCTCTCTCCATTTAGAGTGTCTACATCAGCATAAAAATATTAAATTGTATTTAAATGATTTATTAAATATATGACTATTCATATTTCTTTACATTTATTCATATTTAATAAAAATATACAAAATAAATAAATTAATTAATAGAAAATATGTGATAATTTGATGTTAAGTTATCAAAAACTTGGAATATAAAATAGAGATGGAGTAAAGAAATATTTAACTTCAAATAGTATATATTTACCTTTTTATTCAAAGGATTTATCATATTTAAAAATATTATAATGTGTTTACAAGTTAAAAAGTTGAATATAAATTAATTAAGATAATAGAAAGCTAATGAAACGTTAGAGTTAGAGTTTGTTTTTCTAAACAAATAGAAATGGAGTTTTATATGTAAATTTAATCGTAGTGAAAAACAAGAATATGTTTACAAATTTTAACTTTTAGTCAAATGCATATACATATTTATATATTTTGACCTTCAATCAAATACATATACATGTTTACCGTCTAATAGAAGTAAAAAAAAAATAAACAAACATAATATTTATAACATGATTAATTTTAGAAATAGAAACTCGAGATAAAGCGGGGTGTTAATATCCTAATAAATTAAAATAAAAAACAAATTATTCATATTTTTTAGTGTTAGAGGTTGAGTTAACTAAAACATGAAAGTAATACAAAACTATCATAATTCAAATCAACGAGTATAAATAAAATTAAATAGAAAAACTATCGCAAACAACTTCGCGCTTGCGCGGGGCTTCAAACCTAGTTAGAACAATTAGACAATGGAAACTTTGATGCGGGTAATTTAGAAAAAGTTGAAATGATATAAAATGATTTAATTATAATATTAGCCCTAATATTAATTACGACAATGGTTAATCTTTACTTATTGCCTACGCTAAACACTACAGAATTCCTGTCTGAGAGTAGTTTTGAAACATCTCTAAAGACCGGTTTACCAAATATGGTGTTCAATTGCCAACGTTTGATAATCTATTAATTGTAAAATAGTTGTTTAATACTTTTAAAAATTGAAAAAGTCAAGCTAGTTGATATATATTTATACATTTGCAACTCAAGTTAGTGGATATAAAAAGTATTTGCAAATGGACGAGATCGTTAACATATATTTCACGAAAGAGACATGAAACATTAGTCTATAAACGAAATGCGTCAGCTTGGTCATGTTGGAGTTTTTGGTCGTTCCTTTTGAAAGAGACAAGTCTCGGAACTTTGGTACAAATTATTATTGAATTAAGGCGCAATCAACGAAAGCAATACCGATTAGTATAACACGAAAGAGAAAGGAATGACTTAACTATATATATATACTATATATATATATATAGTTGTTTCATATTTTAAAAAAATGAAAAATCAAGCTAGTTGATATTCCTCTGTCCTATATTATAAGCTGTTTTGGCATAATGTATATGCAATTTTTTGAATGTATCTGGATGATTTTAGGTCCATATACATCCAGAAAATTGCAGATACATTATGCCAAAACAGCTTATAATATAGGATAGAGGGAGTATATATTAATAGATTTGTAACTTAATTTAGTGGATATATATATCAATTAATTAGAAAAGTAAAGAAAAAAAATTGTTTAAATTTAATTAACTAGAAGGCTATATGTAATAAAGTAGTTTTGCACGATGAAACCAATGATTTCACTCGAAATAAGATAAATAGTATCAATTATTTGGTTAATAGACATGCACCAAGTGTAACTATCTATGAACATATATAATTGTCGCCTTTATATAAACTTTAATATTTATGTATAATTTTTCTCTCTTTCTATATTGATTTATCCTAACTTAGCTCCACATGGAAAAAAATTCTGCTTATCATATTCGAAACTGTCTGAAACAAAAAGAAAAAATTGTTGCTGAAGATTTTGCATAAAAAAAAAACACTTGGTCACTAGACTCACTACGAAGACTTGTGTAGTAGTTATCGGCATAAATTATACTCGGAGTAGTATATATTATTCCAAGTAGTATATGACATGGGAGAGTAAAAACACTAAAACTTGTCTTGCTATCAAAGTGTTGATATCAAATTCAGTCCGCACTCCTTAAGACTGAGTTCTCTATCTACTACGACTTTTTCATTAATATCAAATTCTATTCAAGATTTTACTTGTGTCAGTATTTATCTTCATTGCTGCCTGGAGTAACAACATATTGTAGCTAAAAAAACTCTAATTGTCTTAAAGTTTGAACTGAAATAACCAAAGAGAAAACATAAAAAGAAACAAAAGTAATAATTGTATTATCAGCCTTATTAATATTGATTCATATTGCATCTTAGGTTTTACCAGTTTTATATTGGAAAGTAGTTTGTTTTAGGTGATTTTTCTTATCCACTAGATGATCCGAACATTATTTTCTTCTTTTTATATCATCTTTGCAAATTGGTGGTAAATATATTACTATAGATTTAAATGACGTGGGAAAAGTGAGCACACGAGTAAATATTAAATAAACAAATGGTTTTTGCTTTTCGAAATGTCTTATTTAAAACAAAATAATCAAATATGCATGGTATGATTTTGTCTTTTTCGTTTTCTCAACAGATAGTATGCTTTTCTTCCTCGACATTTAACCACCGATCCTCTGAGAAATAAGAAGCAGCTTCTAGAATTTTGTTCCAACTCATTTTATAGACTAATATCATTCTTTAGATAATAATATAATATACTTCATTCGTTTCATAATAAGTGTCATTTTGATTCTTAATACATCTATCTTTATATTATTAATTGAGAAGTACATTCTAATGTTTGGATACAAGAATTAGAGAAACATCTATTTGGATAGAAGAATAAATGGAAACAAAAGTTGTTTGGATATAAGAATAAGAGAAAAATCTATTTGGATAGAAGAATAAATGGAAAAAATTGTTTGGATACAAGAATAATAACTTAAAATAAACCGATGGTTTAGAAAACTTCCGTTTTCCATCTCTTAAAAATCTGCAAAAAAAAAACTTAACATAATCTAACGATAATTCCAAATCAATAGAATATGCTTTTTGGATTTTCGGGTTTTTATAGACAAGTTCGGGTTTGGGTGAAAATCTGAGACATAATTTTATAGAGATATATATAGAGATATAGAAATTGTTCGGGTTTCTTTGAAAATTTCTGTTCGGGTTAGGTTCAATTTTTTTTTTCAGTTTAGGGTTTTCCGGATTTTTTAGATTTCTGGTTTTCGGGTTTAGATATATTAAAAAAATTGAGTATTTTAAAATTTTGATTAGGTATTGGGGTCGGGTTCCGGGTGAAAAAGTTTCCAGATTTTTTTTGTTCAGTCAGGGTTTTCGGGATTTTTTTGATTTCGGATTTTCATGTTTAGACCTATTAAAAAAGTTTGGGTTTTTAAATTTTTTGATTAGGGTTTTTTGTCGGGTTCGGATTTAGGGTTTAAATTTTCTACACAAAACAACAACGTCACACCGCACAAACGTGCGGGTACTCTACTAGTATATATATATATAGATACAGGCAATAGTCAAAACAAAACTGTAACGAAGGAGTACCATTCTCTATGGCCATATGGGCTTACAGTTAGAAATACTGTACATACATATTTGTAGTATATGGGCTTACAACTGAAATAACTGACGCTTGTTATTATAAATATACTTGGGCCATTCTAAACCGAAATATTTGGGCCATTCTAAACCGAAATATTTGGGCCATTCTAAAAGAACGAAACCAGTTCCTAAATTACAAAGATCTAGAGAGTGGAACGCTTTGTTTAGCCACATAAAACAAAATTTATCTAGTATTTTAAAAATACTTGTTCTTAGTTTTTTGCAAAACAAAAAAATAAAGTTATTTAAAAACCTGAACGCTGCAAGGATTATACAGATAATAATATTAACAAAATAACTGTATATACCAATGTATGGTCCTAGATACTTTGCTGATTAAACGAATCGTACAAAACCAAAGCAATTTCCCCGAACAAAATGAAAAAGTGTCTCAAGATTTTTTATCAACGATTTGGTGGTCATAATTGTATCGAACATGAAAAATAAGATATAGTGGCTTTGTGGCTATGAGTCTATCCTCTCGTACTAATACTTGCATGCGGCTACAAAAAAGAGATAAGATTCGTCAGTATAATTTATCTTTCTAAAATGCTGATATATTTCGAGCCGCGATTTCCATTGGATTTGGTATTGTAATGGATAAGATATTTTTTTTCTTTTTGTAATCAAATTTTATCATGAGGAGATCTAATCTGTAGATCCTTTTTTGTCTTCATACGATATCCCCACGGTATATATGTGTATATATATATATTTATTTTTTGATGATTGATTCTTGTGTGTGCGGATAAAGAGGTATATTTTGATTGATACGAAGTAGTTAGGTCTTCAATTCCCCCAATTCTAAGAATACGTACGTTTTCAGTTTTTCTCACCTATAATATCAAAAGAGTGTTTTGTTTTATACATCTCGGTCTCATGGCCTACTTAAATTTACATGTTCATCTGCATCATTTGGTTAGGTACTTAGGTTGCATGTGAGTTTTGGTCTCGCTTATGGTACAAACTCCAAGCTCAATAAAAAAGGATTTCATAGAGTATTGAAGAGTAAAAAAATATACTAGTTTGGACTTTGGAACAAGGAAACAAAACAAAAAGAAAAGGCAAATTTCTTTTTGGAGGAGAAGAATACTGTTGTTTGCCCTAGAGACCAAGGCACTGAAATCGAGTTGGTATTATTAGGACACATAACGTTTGGCACCCATGGCCTTGCCCATGTGCATCGTTCGTCATCTTCTGAAAGGATGTTATCGTCTTTTTGAATTTTGAAAATACTACGTCGACACACCAAATCCGGAAATATTTATATGACCCATAATGTTTATGTTCTTGCTCGATTGAAAGAAAGAAAACAAAATAAAGGAAACATTTGAAGTAAAAGACATGAAAACCCTTTTCTGGAGAAAATTAATTATCTGAATAAATAGAAGAAGAAGGAGAGGAAGAAAGAGAAGTTTGGTCTTCTCTTCTGAATTCTGATCCTGAAACTGTCTTAATAAGAGTGAGAAGTACTGTTCGTGGAAAGTGTGTCCCTACCAAACAAAACTGTCTTCGCTGCCATCTTCAATAATACTTTACGGGACCCCTCTCTCTCGTCCTAGTCCCAACGCACCTTCTCATTGTGTCTATACAATGTTATACAGTATTATATACAAGCTATGCGTATCTAGCCCAGTTCCTAATAGTTAAAAGACAAACATATGGTAAGAAAATTAAATAAATACGGTTACTATGTAACAAGATCGAAACAAATCAAAATACGTACTAATCAGCTTATACATACGTACCGTTTCACATTTACAGCATTTAGAGCATCTTCAATGGACCCTTATTCCTTTATAATATAAGGGATTTTGCATTCCAATGGACCCTTATCCCCTTATATTTTAAAGGGATGAATAATACACCCTTAAATATAAGGGTTCACTATTTATCTCCTTAAAAATGTTTTGATTTTGCATTTTAGTCCTTGTAATTATACAATCTTACAAATAACATTTATAATACTTTTTGTGATCAGTTTAGTCTAAAATTATATATTTTTTTTTAACATTTACTCTCTCTAATAAAAAATTTAATTACAACCACATAAAATCAAATAAAAACATTCATTGATTGGAAGATTATGGAAACAATAATGTAATTTTAGTTTAATATTTTTATATATAATTTTATGTTTTAATATAATTTATATTATTATATAATGTTTTAATTAATAATATTGTGTAATATTTTATTAAAGTGTTTTTCTTGTATTTTGTGAAAGTTTTAGTATTATAATTGATTCTAGTTATTTTTAAGGACTATTATGCAAAAATATTTTTTTAAGGGACAAGGATAAGGGTCTCCATTGAAACAAAACTTACAAACCCCTTATTTTAAAGGTGTGTCCCCTTTATTTTAAGGGTGACTATTGGAGATGCTCTAAACAACAATAGTGCCACCATTTGGATTTGAGAACCTAATTAAACAAAGAAAAACAAGATTGTAAACATTTGATATGGAGGACAGGACACCGACGTATATTTTTGCCCCAAACTTTTGAGTTATCTCATCCCTTTATACTTTGATTTTTTCTTATCTGTTCCTAATATTATTACTTTACAATAATACATACAGACGCATTTTTAGTCATATACTTGTTTGTGCTTAGATATATACGACTATATGGAACTGCACGGTTAGAGTTTTTTTTTTTTCAGCCTTTGTTTTATACATGCACCGAACCCTTTTCTTCTCTCCTCTCAATGCATATGTGGAAGCTGCATTTATTAAGATCGATTTAGAAAGTCTTAACCCTGAAGGAATGTTTTTGGTTGATAGGAGAGAGAAAAAGAAGAGGAAGAAGAAGAAGTTGTTCAGTTTGAAGACTATTTTACTTCAGAAGAAGTTCCATTAGAGAGATTCCTAGCTTCAATTGATTCTCATGTAAGCCTCTTTTGTAACTTATTCTTGATTTTATAAAAGAAATTCTCATAGAAATCTGTTTTGTGTGCATTTACTCTTCTTCTTCTTCCCCCTACTTTCAAAATTCAGATGATTAATTAACATTCAATGCAAAATGCTTTCAATTCCTTGAAACAAAACGTATCCAAAATTTCTGCTACTTTCTTGTTTCCTCTCTCTCTCGGTGACATTCCTTATTTACCACCAAATTTATTGTCCTCTCCTCGTACCTCCTCTTTGTTCTGTCTTAAAGAAACAACCCACCAAACCATTAATATCTTCTAAAAAATCACTTTATTAAAAAGGTAACCTAAAGTTGAATCTTTCTCCATTCTGCTTCAAAGATTCAAAGTCCCCAAAACTAATATTTTTTTCTATTCCTTTCTTAAAGCTATGGAGGGATTAATGAGGTTTGGGGGATTCGAAGAACAATTTCCTCAGATTGACGAGAAGATGCCATTTCTGCAAATGCTTCAAAGCATTGACCCCACTTTTCCATCTACAGAACCAAATGAGATCCTCCAATCACTTCTCCAGATCCAAACCCTAGAACAAGAGAGCTGTCTCACCCTCGAAAGCATCAAAAGAGATCCTGACCCGGAAAAGGATCCGAAAATAGAAAACGGAGCAGCAACGGTCAAAGAAAAATGGAAACGGAAACGGACAAGAGCTCCGAAGAACAAAGATGAAGTTGAAAAGCAAAGAATGACTCACATTGCCGTCGAACGTAACCGGAGACGACTAATGAACGAACACTTAAACTCCCTCCGATCTCTCATGCCTCCTTCCTTCCTTCAACGGGTAATCAAATTTTCAATCTTTTCTAAAAAGTTTCCATCTTTCGACTTGACCCATTATAAAGTTTGTTTTGTAGGGTGACCAAGCTTCGATCGTAGGAGGAGCTATAGATTTCATCAAAGAGCTCGAGCAGCATTTGCAATCTCTAGAAGCTGAGAAACAGAAGGAAGGATCTAACGAAAATCCGAAAACGGCGTCGTCTTCATGCTCTTCGTCTCGTGCATGCACTACTAACTCTTCTGTTTCGAGCGTCTCGACGACGACGACGCCGGAAGCTGGATTGACTGCGAGAGTTGGCGGCGGAGAGACCGCAGAAGTGGAAGCAACGGTGATACAGAGTCATGTGAGCTTGAAGGTTCGTTGTAAGAGAAGAAAAGGACAGATCTTGAGAGCTATTGTCTCCATTGAAGACCTAAAGCTCTCGATTCTTCATCTGACTATCTCTTCTTCCTTTGACTTTGTCTTCTACTCTTTCAATCTCAAGGTAATTCAAAAATCTCTAAAATTTTTAATTATCTATTACAATTTTCCTTATCAAATTTGTATGTTACGCGTTAGTAATCTGCATTTAGAAATATTCAAAATGCATGACATAACATAAACAAAAATCTCTATAATTTTTTTTAAAAAAATCTTAATCTTGTTTAAAAAAGTTTTTGTTAATATAGTTACTAATTTTTGAATTTCGGAGAGATGGTAATTGTACGGTGCTATATATTGAGCATGCAGATAGAAGATGGGTGTAAGATTGGATCAGCTGACGAGATAGCGACAGCCGTTCATGAGATCTTCGAGCAAATCAACGGCGAAATGATGTGGTCAAATCTTAGTTGACTTTTGACTCTTTTTCTTCCTAGCAATGTGTGTGTGTAACTTTAGGTTACATAAAGGGAAGTATAAAAAAAATAACAAGTAAAAAACCTTATAGGTGAAACTTTTGCGGGCTTTTATTATAGCCGCATGATGGTTATTTCCTATCATCTTTTTGTTTTGTTTTGGTGCCTGGAATATTCGAACTAACCCACCCATGAAGAAACTTTATTTCTCATGGAGTAAATGTCAAGTATTTGACGAGTTTGATGGTGCGTATTACGGTATTATAGAATGGTTACGGAAATGGAAACAAATACAATTAAAGCTGTGAACATGAACATCATTACAAAGAGAAAGTCGTTTTCACACTGTACTTCGCATTCTCTTTATTACAGTAAGATTTTAATTTTTCACTCCATGCGTCTGACAATTGTACGCTATATTATTATTTAAAAATACCTTTTTCTCATTATATATATTTTTTAATTCCAATAAGACTGATTTCGGTACTTTTTATCTGAACATAGAAAAACGATGAGAAAGGTGGCAGAGAAAATTTAACATTCCAATGCTTTTAAAGCATCGTAAAAGGAAGTCTACGGTCAGAGTCACATTGACACATCCGACTCACTAGTACAAAACCTAAACTTCTGCCTACTCTACATCACTTTTATATTTTTAAAATAAACGTTTTAAAACGGGAAAAGTAAAATTAGATAACACTAATTAAAATACGTGAACAACAAAAGTAAAATTAGAGACCATTAACTGAAATACGTGAACAACAAAATATTATACGGAGAACAATTATTAATACATTTATTTAAATACATATTGGGTGTGATGGACAAGATCACACGTCACGTCAGACATCATCTACCTTGGGCTGAGAAGTGGGAACAAATCTGATCTCTTTCAACTTTTGGTCAAAGTCAAGTCACTGCTAAATCCTACACTCAAATTAATAATTAAAAAATATATTCGTTTTCTTTTTGGGTTGCAAGAGAAATGACATTGAGAATTTGTTACCACTTTAAAGCCCAATTAAGCTAGACATTGGCCCGTTTAAGACCAGATTAAAAGAGTCGAACTTACCAACCACGTGAGACTGACAGGCGCGTGTTTCTTACGCTCTTTTTGACGCGTGGTATTCGAGTAAAGATTCCTTAACTTTCTTCTTTTGTAGGCCCTCAAAGTCTTATTCGTGAAAGCGATATTTTTACATGGGCCTTTCCAGCCCAATAAAATACTCACGATATTTGGTCAAAAGGTTTTAATGAATTTGTTTAATTCGATAAATAGATCATATTGATTTATTTTCTTTTGACACTTTTGCTTTTAAAGAATGTGTATAAAATTACTTTACAGAATTAAAAAATCTATTGACGCACGTGGTTAATGACAATAATTAATTGAACTAAGTTTAACTTTTAAATAGTACTCATTAATCGAGTGAAAATATGTGAAAATATCAGCATGTAATATACAACAATTCAATTCCTTTTTTTTTGTCTAAACTGTGGTTCCTTTTGTTTTGATGTCAATCGGACTGCTGATTTCATACATAAAATATTGATTTGCGCATATAATATAATAATGATGTCAGATTAAGAACATGGTATAAACTTACATCCTGCGTACGACCATTCAAATCTCTTCTAAATCCACGACGAATTATAAAAGCTCATCATAATTATTGACGAATTATACATCGAGACTATCAAATGATTCAATTCTCGTCATTGAACTTTTCTTGAACGTGCAAGCGACTGCCAAACGCGTATTAGAGCATCTCCAACTCAGCTCCATATTTCACCTTTATTGCTATTTTGGAGCCAATTTTGCTCCAACCCAACTCATTTTCAATCTCAAAATGGCAAAATGCCATATTTTTTTCCCAAAATGAGATTGATCCCATTTTCATCTCCATTTTGGAGTTGAAGTTTTTAATTTATATAACAGTCCTTGAAGTTTTAAATTAATTCAGTTTAAGATATATAATTAATTATTTGATCTTTATTTTTACTCTAAAATACAAATAACACATATTTAATAAGAAATTTAATTATTTAAGCTAATAATAAATTTTAAAAAGAACACTTTTATTAGAAATAACATCAAAAAGAAATTTATTAAAACAACTTATTACTGATTTTTAATTTAATTTAGTTTCCGGATCCACCAATATCACTAAAATATTGTCCAAAAGAAGTAGTTTGTGAGAGTTCCTGTTGAACTTATTACTTACATAACATAACGACTACATGTATAATTTTACATAACATGATAATCGAGGATGAACATGATCTGAGTGCACCAATTGAAACTGAAAGAGAAGCTCCACCTCCAGAAGTCGAAATAGCCGCAAACGATGATATTCAGTTCCAGAATTTTCTTGCTCGATTTAGAGAGATTAAAGATAAAGATGCTCATTTCTCTCTTCGAAATGGTTTAGTTGATCATTTATGGGAAATATATTCAAATGGTTCTAATTAAAAATAAAATCCATTTTATGTTGTTATTTTTAGTCTTGTAATAATGTATTATTAATATTTTCATAATTAATTTAAATAATTATAATTAATTGTGAAAGTTTTGAAGAAAAAAATATATGGGGCAATTTGTAATAGATATAAATATACAATGTAAATTTAGTAATTAATAAAAAGTTTTTCAAAAAGAATATTCTATTTATGAAGCAAAAAATGAAGCAATACATTGGAGCAAAACTCAACCCCATTTTGAGATTTCTTCATTTTGGAGCAAAATATGAGACAATACATTGAAGATGCCCTTAGAGAAAAATCCGGGACACCGAAATGGTCCGAATACCATTCCAACAATTGCAAATAGTCTATTTTCACGTTCCAACATACAAACTAAGCAACGTTTTTTTTTTAAAAAAGCATAACATTTTATATCTAAACCAGTTATATATATTTCACATACGGAATTTTCACAAGTTGTAAATTATTTTGATCTGCTAGCGTTGAAGCAACAATCTTGTGAATTGTGATTGTCTAATCGATTAAACAAATTTTCAGGCTTTTTTATTATTTTGTGGCCACATTAAATTTAGTTTTGTGGCAATCCTTTTTTTTCTTGTTTATCAACAATTCTTAAAATCCAACTAAAATATCATAAACTAAGATTCACATACGACGTGCATGGACCAACCATAACATATCCTTGTAATGGCGGGTCCCAATTTATTTTATATCTTTTCACCATGTGAGCATAATCTCATTCTCAAGAATATGCCCTCCAAGTCTCCAACGAATTACGTTTGTACATGATTTTTTGAAAAAAAAAAAAATGAATAAAAACGCTTGTACATGATTTCTTACGTGTGACACTACTACGTAAAGCCAGCATGTTTATTTAGTCTAAATGAAATTAATGGGAACTTTTCCAAGATTCGATTTATTAATTACTTATAGAAAATACACGAAAGTAGTAAAATCAACGTCTTAGCCACACGACTAAAAAAAACATTAGAAAGAATAAATAACATTATCAGCAGCTTTCTTGTTTCACAAGAAATCAAGAGAAAACCTAACTTAGAAGTCATTAGAAGGAAGTGGTTCATGCCCATCGCTACCGATAAAGATAGTGTCATAAACTATAGCTGCAATGGCTGCACCAATAAAAGGACCAACCCAATAGACCCAATGATTCGTCCAAGTCCAGCTAACCACGGCCGGACCAAATGACACCGCCGGGTTCATTGACGCACCGTCGAACGCACCACCAACAAGAATATTAGCTCCAACGATTAACCCAATCGCTAAAGGAGCAATGATTCCAATATCACCTTTCTTGGGATCCACGGCAGTAGCGTAAACCGTGTAAACCAACCCAAACGTCATGACAATCTCGAAAACCACTGCGTTCCACGGTGTGACTCCATAGGAGAGCGAAAACGCTGCCGTTTCCATCCCACCGGTGCTTATCTTGAGCAACAAGCAAGCTACGACTGCTCCGAGTAACTGAGCGATCCAGTAAAGAACCGCTCTCAATAACGTAATGTTTCCACCGATGAAAGCTCCAAACGTAACCGCTGGATTCACGTGACCGCCTGAAACGTTGGCTCCGACGGACACCGCAACGAATAACGCAAACGCGTGAGACAGAGACGCAGCCACTAAACCAGAAGGTGTAGCTGGTCCGTCTCCGGTTAGTTTCCCGTAAGCCATTCCCGAGCCTTGACCGGCGAAAACGAATATAACCATCGAGAAAAACTCAGCGAAAGCCGCTCTGATCGCATCTGGACCACTAGCTTCTCCTGGCGACCCAATCGCAATTCTGCTGATAGCCATTGTTACAAAACTTTTTTGGTTTAAGATCGTTCTTGCTTTTCATTTTTTCCTCACTAAGCTTAAATAGCTAAAGTGGGAGTGCCACGTGTGTGTTGGAGAATCGTTCAAGAGACTGAGATTAGTGTTTTGCGGTGGGCCCCAGGTTTGTCGAAATGGAACGGTGATTATTTAATAAGGATGAATTAATCAATTAATTTGCGATTTAATAAAGCTTAACCCGTTTTTATCGCTTTCTATAAATAACGTTATGGCTCTCGCAATTGAAGACCACGCGCTTTACTGTTTTCTTTCTCCATACTTTCAGCAAGATTGTTCTGTTCTTGAAACGATTCCAAGGTACGACTTTCTTTAATTCTTGATTGTTCTTAGCTCTCAAATTTTCGATGCGTTTCGATGTTTGATGCTATGGATTCTGCTTTAGACGGAAAATCAATCGTGAAATGAAACAAATTCGACACAGATTGTTAGTGATAAAACTTAAAATCGTTACTATTTAGCTTAAATCTTCCGATGATGTGTTTTGTTTTGCAGACTTTTGACTAATGGTTTACTTATTTCAGTTTCTTGAGATGAATATCAAAGTTTATTTCTTTAGTTTTAAGATGATTGATGGATTACGATCTGTGATAGGGTTTTGTCTATTCATCATCGTAGGATAATCTGATTTAGATGCTTAACTCTCTGAGTCTGAGTGATAGATCCTTTATATTCATCACTATTTATAGATTCTTTCCCGATTTAGACATGAACTCATGCAATCAAGATCACTGAATCTAACATTTGTTTTTGTTTGGTTGACTTGCTCTGTTATTAGATGTCGACTGAAGAAGTGAAAGAAGTGAAGAAAGAGAACAAATCTGAGAAGCTTTCGAGACCAACTCCACGTCTTAACGAGAGGATTCTCTCATCTTTATCTAGGAGATCGGTTGCTGCACATCCATGGCATGATCTTGAAATCGGTAAATTTAGATTCTTGTAAAGATCTTGTGTGTTTGAGTCTTGTAGGATTAGAGTCTTTTAAGTTATTAACTAAATTTATAAATATTTGCAGGACCTGGAGCTCCAGTGATTTTCAATGTGGTAAGTCTTATATGTGACAATTCGATTTTATTTTTTTGTTACAGAGAAGATCATAAAATCATTTGATTCTTGATTGAAAAAATAATCAGGTTATTGAGATCTCAAAGGGGAGCAAGGTCAAATATGAACTTGACAAGAAAACAGGACTCATCAAGGTAAAAAAATATCAAAATCAAACTTGGAAAATAATCAAATACAATGATCTGAATTTAGATTTATAACATATGGTGCTCTTTTGATGAAATCAAAACTCAAGAAGTTGACTTGTCTCTCAGGTTGATCGGATTCTGTATTCATCGGTTGTGTATCCTCATAACTATGGTTTTATTCCCCGCACTTTATGTGAAGACAATGATCCTATCGATGTTTTAGTTATCATGCAGGTTTGACTTTAATCTAGCTTAAACCATTAAAAATAAAACAAGAATTTATACGAGTAAAATAGTGATTAATGGAGTTGTTTATGTTCAGGAGCCTGTGCTTCCAGGTTGTTTTTTGCGTGCTAGAGCTATTGGATTAATGCCTATGATTGACCAGGTAATTGACAACTAAAATCTCTGTTTTTGTTTTTGTGTTTTGGATCCTTCAAAATTGGTGTAATAATTTTGAGTTTTTTTTTTTTTTCATGTCTAATTAAAGGGTGAAAAAGATGATAAGATCATTGCGGTTTGTGTTGATGATCCTGAGTATAAGCACATCACTGACATCAAAGAACTTCCACCTCACCGTCTCTCTGAAATCCGCAGATTCTTTGAAGACTGTATCCTTTTTAATCTTCAATATTTAAATTCTTGATTAGCAAAACAAACCACTGCTTTTTTTTTGCTATCTTTAACCAAAATTTTAACAGACAAGAAGAATGAGAACAAAGAAGTCGCAGTAAATGATTTCTTACCAAATGGTCCTGCTGTTGAAGCCATCCAGTACTCAATGTAAAGTTTCCAATTTTTCCATCACAATTATTTATTTTCTTTAGTTTCAACTTTTTAACAGTTTTCTTGAAACTGAAATCATTTTAACAGGGACCTTTACGCTGAGTACATTCTTCACACCCTGAGGAGATGAAAAGGCATTTCTCAAGAACATTCCTCCCAAATTTTCCTCTGCAATCTCAGATTCTGTAGCAGAGGAAAAAAAAACATATTTGGCTTCTGAATAAGCACGTGTTCTCTTTTGTTGTTGTTATTGTTGTTGTTTTCTTCTTGGGGATCTTTTGTCTGAACATTAAAATCCCATTTAAGATTTTTTTTTCTCACTTGTATTGTATTGTTTGTCTTCCATCATTTAAAAAGTTTCGATTTCGTTCCAATGAAACCAGATTTTTCATTTTTTTTAATGAATGTCACTGTCACTTTTAACAGAGTCTCGATTCCATTTCGGTTTCTTCTTAAATCCAAATCCCAATTAGATTCGCAGAATCAGAATAAGAAATTGTCAGGTGGTGGATAACTTTTCTTCTTTGTCAGATAGTCGGATCTGCCGCCCACCCGAAATGGGCCTGGCTCTGGCCCAGTTAATATCACTAGCAATCCTTTTCCTACGAAGAAAACTACGGCGCGTGAATGTCAAGCTCCTTTCTTACATTTTCTTTTCATTTTATTTTTATCATATCGAAAGATCTAAATCGAGAAAAAAATCAAGTCGAGCATTTCAATAACATGCAAACGCAAAACCAAAAGATTACAATATACGGTTAGTAACATTCCTGGATTTATTAGAAGCTTTCATACATGGATTAATTTGTACATGTACATCTCATAATTTCAAAATGCCTTATTGCACTTTGATGTTGATGTATTGTAAAATTTTGGACCACAAAACATGGACACACATATAGAAACCCAGGCCTACTTTCTACTTGAGTTTTAATTTGTAATAAACATAATCAGATGAATTAGTCAGTAAGTATGTACTTTTTCTTACATATATAGTTGATGAAGAGTATCGATATATATCTGACTTTCTTATCTAAATATTTATTTCCTCACTGTATTTTATCCGGCAGGATTGATAATCCATGTGACTTGTTCAGTTGTAATAAAAAGGTAAAGCTTACGACTAAAAGCCAGAAGAATACAATACATAACCTATAGTAAATAACTAAGAGGTTGAAAAGAAAATCTTAATAAGGTACACGTGTTCAATATTTTTTGAAAAATTAAGACAAGTACAAATATTTTTAAAAAAAATTGAGATACTAAATCAATTACCAAAAAAAAAAGAAAAAATAAAAAATATTATAAGACTTTTGGTTATCACCTGTTACAGGAAAAAAAAAAGGAAGAAATGGTCATCACCTGAGAAAATAAAATATTAACTGATTTTTACTGGAAAAAAATATTTAAAAGTTTACTAAAAGTATAGTATAAACTACAACATCTTGAAAACGTAGGCATATATACTGCGAAGACAATTTTCAGAAAGCATTGTGAAAATGTTTTGAACCTTTTTACAGCTGAATAAAGTATTTCCCATACTTCTGTTTTGGTATTCTTTTTATTTGTTTTATAAAAAAACTGCAATATTTTAAAAACAAAACAAAACTAAAAAACTAAATTTGTTTTCACAATGTATTTATATGTGGTTATATTAAAAATTTAATTTAATTTTTAAAACTTAACAAATATTTAACAATTTGTTTTTGTCTACAGGAGAGAAAATCTAGCATCTAAAATGATAAGAACACATGAATTACATGGAGTGATACTTTAAGAAAAATATTTGTAAACATCTTTCCTTGGTTTTATTAAGATTTTAATGTTTGCAAACTAAAAATAGATAAACAAAAATGTTTCAGAATTACAAGAAACTAAAATTAGTGTTTCCATTTTTTTTAATAATATGTATTTTGATATTACCTTAATTTATGATCTCCTAAAATTGATTTATGTTTCTAATGTTTATCTTAAAAATCTACCATTAAATTTGTTCATGTTCACTTTAGATATTTTGTATACATGTATCAATTAAAAAAAAAAATTATCTGGCCAAATGTCTATCTTATAGTCTATGATTATTTCTTTTCATGGTTTTTAAATCAGTTTTTTCCACGCGTACGCATATGCCTTTGAGGAGATCTAGTAAATTTACACACTAGTACTATATTGTACTATACTGTTGTACGGTTTTCTATATTTTGTGCACACAGATTAGTTATAATATATGAGTAATGACTATGATTAGCTAAAAATAACTGGTAAGAAGAAACCAACAAACCAGAAACAAAACAATAACTATAAAAGATCTGGTATGAATAAAGAGGTAACCAAATTAAAAAATACAGATATCAAAAGCCAAAAGGAGAGCAAATAGTCTCATAATAACATTGAGACACTTGCCTCATGTCCTTTATACTATACATGTAAGTATAGATTTTATATCTATATAAATAGCTAGAGTTGCCCCAAGTCTATAGCTAATTGAAAAGGACAAGAAGCTCTCACATGACTCGAACCACATCATTCATGGGCCCCTTTTACTCTCTCTAGTTTGTGATCTTCATCTCTATCATCGAGAAACTCTCTCAAGCCACTATTTTTCTTCACCCTTTAAAGTCATTTAGAGAGAAAGTGAGACATTAAAAGAGAGAGAACCCGATTTAAACTTGAAGCCATTGATTTCGTTTTCATTTTTTCTTTTACCTTTTGGAGTCAACGAAAAGATCAGAAGCAGAACCAAACACAAAGAGTACGTCTGTCTTCTTCTTCTTCTTCTGTATTCTAGGGTTTTGTTCTTCACTTGATATATAATTCTTCGATTTCAACTATTCATTTTTAATCACCCATTTTTTTATTTATTATTGCGGTTGTGATTTTTACTTGGTTTCTGATAAATACTATCTCATGTTTGTTGAAGGATTTTGTATTGGGTCATCATCTTGTCAAAGAGTCACTCAGATCCATTTTGAAAGATAGATCTTGAAGTTGGTACTCATCTTCTTATCAAGAGTACTCATTAATTAGAATCCATTGAAAAATTAAAAAAAGTTGTATACTTTTTGAAGATCTTGAATTGGGTCACACCAATCTTCTCAATAACAAGGTTGGATACACTTCTCAAGATCTAAATTTTGGCCATCGTCTGCTCAAGAACCCATATACCAAAATTTGATACTTTTGATGGATATGTCGACAATAACAAGCCCTGACCACGATCTCACCGAGATCGGAGCTAGTGGCTCCGGCAACAACAACACCACCAACACCAACTACTTCAATTCGGCAATGAGAGAGCACATGTTCGACAAAGTGCTAACACCAAGCGACGTCGGGAAACTAAACCGACTCGTGATTCCAAAGCAGCATGCAGAGAACTACTTCCCGTTGGACGACAATCAAACCGGAACGGTTCTTGATTTCCAAGACAGAACCGGCAAGATGTGGAGGTTTCGTTACTCGTATTGGAACAGCAGCCAAAGCTACGTGATGACCAAAGGATGGAGCCGTTTAGTCAAAGAGATGAAACTCGAAGCCGCAGACACCGTCTCTTTCTACCGTGGCTACATCCCCGACGACAACGAACCGGAGAACCAAAGGAAGCTTATGTTCATCGATTGTAGGCATAGAGCCGACATAAACCTCGCACACAACGTGAATCATCATCATTACCCGTTTCGGACGTATCCAACGGGTAGTTATTACCCGGTGGAATATTCTATGCCGCATTACCGGAGTTTTCCACCGTTTTATCATAACCACTTTCAAGAGAGGGACATTTTAGGGTATGGTTATGGTAGACATGTTCATGGAGGGCGTTACTACGCAGGATCACCGTTGGATCATCATCATGAGTGGAATCTTGGAAGATCTGAGCCGTTGGTTTATGAGTCGTATCCTGTTTTTCCTGCGGCTAGGGTAACTTCTTCGTCTACGGCGATGTTGCCGCCTTCTCCTCCTGCTCATCAGCCGGCGCCGGAGGGGACGGTGAGGAAGCTAAGGCTGTTCGGGGTCGACGTGGAGGAGTCTTCTTCTTCAGGAGAGACACGTGGCGAAATGGGTGTCGCAGCAGGGTACTCTTCGTCTTCTCCAGTTGTGATCAGAGACGATGAATCGTCCTGGAGGTCGCCACGTGGCGAAATGGGTGCATCGTCTTCTTCGGTTATGCAGCTTAGCGATGGTGAAGAATATAAAAGGAAAGGGAAGTCCTTAGAGTTTTAGAAAAACAAATCATATTTATTCACCATTTTCTTTTATAGTTCCTTTGTTTCATCTTTTTAAAGATAGTTTCAGCTTTCAAATCATTACTTTGGCGATTGGGGAATTAGAAAGTAGTGAGGAACTTTAACTGGGATTATGATTTTGGTTTTAAGATGTTTGGTTTTGAGATTTGGTTTCAACATGTTTGTTCTTTGAGGCTTGAGCCCTAGTGACCTTGTTGAAAACCACCATCTTTCAATATTGTATTAAAGCTTATATATATATATTAATAAATGTATCATCTTTATATAATCTAGAGAGTTTTAGTTATATATCAACTCATCTTGAGATGTATACACCAAAAACTGCTTCATCTTTGTTTTTCGGAAGGATAAAAAGGCATAAGTGTTATAAATTGTACTCTCTGTGCCTATCTCTAGCTAAGCTGACAAAGTTTCATGGTACATTCTAAGCTAATAGACAGTTCCAAAAACTCTCTCTCTTTCTCTCTCTTACCCAACCCATGGTCCAATCTTAGTTTGTTTGGTTACTATTGTCTTTGCTTGATTTAAAGAGCTTTGTAGGTTATGGGCAGAGAACACAAAAGAGAAGCTATGGAAGGACAATTCCGATTTATGACAATAATTTAGAAGAAGAAATACAAAAGGTATGATCTGTTCTTTCACATTTTTTTTTTTTTACTTTATCCCAAAATGAAAATTTATACTGCTTCTTATTTACTTTTGTTAGTTCTTGTTATGTTAATTGCTTGTAACCGTTAGTTCGTACGACTGTACGTGTCTGGTTTGGATTTACAAGTTAAAGATTTATTTGTGTAGCTAAATTAGCTCTCTATAGTTGACATCAGAAAGAATCAATATCATATATGCATATCATCCAGGGCTTTAAACAAATCAAATATAACTTTTTGAATGTCAGTATATAGCTAGAAAAGGAGCATCTAGAACACTAAACAAAATATTTTATAACAGTAATAGAAAAAAAAACTGTTATAAGTAACAAATTTAACTTTATTGGATAAATTATGATGACTTTTTTTTAAAAAAAATTATTATAATTTATTTATTTTGATTTTGGTATAATATTTATCTATCATCTACAATGTGCACAGATCCTCATCAAATTTGAACTCGGATAATTACATAGTGCAGCATTAATACAAACCATGCCACATGTTTCAGTTTTGTTTTTGGTATAATATATGCTCACACTTATAGCCATACATGTATAATGATATTAAACCAACTACTGATTTTACACTCATGTTTGCAGCTATTAAGCTATACACAAAGTGGTAAGTCGGGAAGTGATCGCAAAGGAGAAATATACGCTTAAACATATCGATCATATATGATCCAAAGTTTTATTTCGTTTTAGTAGTGTAATCCAAATAATATGAATCGTATGTATGTTTTAATATATAACCATTGATCATGGCGTAAAAGAAAAACTCCCCCCCAATCGATCTTAAGCAAACATATTTCTAAAAAATGATTAATATAAGTTTATCTTGGATCTTCTCATCACACTTGTGAAATTGACGACATTGGATGTGTTACATCTGCATACCTATTTCAAATAATCAACTAGCATATGTATGTATGTTTCGTTGAGATTTATCTCAAAAGGCATTTGCATTCCAAGATTGCATAAAACCCAAGGGTGATTAGTAACTTAGTTAAGAATACTTAAAATGGCTAAAGCAGTCTCTAATCTTATAGAATATCAAAATGGTTAGTAGTTTCCTTTACAGAATACAGTACTCTTCTTCTCTGACTATTATTAGTGGTTACATTAAAAAAATATCACTAATTTTCCCTAGATTTCTGACCTAAAAAAGGACAGATATGTAGCCAGATTTAGGCTTTTATAAGCATATATATATAATTGATGTTGATAAGATCATTTTCCTTTTTTTTACAATAGAATAATAATTATCATAATTTCTTAAGTTCAAATTGAAAATTCACTTTGACTTGTATGGCTAATTGGCTATGTATATCAGTAAAATCCCAGACATATTATTATCTGACTGTAATTCCTTGCAATAACAAATGGTTTTTATAGAAACAAAAAAGTGAAAATCTAGCTACGGTACCTGAATTAGACTTCGGCCCAAAAAGAGGAGCAACAAAGGCCCATTATAGCCCAAGCTGATACCCGAATAAGGATCCGGTCTCATTCATTACCCGGAGAATCCGGAAATGAAATCACCATTAGAGAGAGAAGAAGAAGAAGAAGAAGAAGAGAGAAAGAGAAATGGCGAGAGAGAAGAATTGTGTGGAGTGTGGGCATAAGGTTAAATCATTGTATATTCAATACTCTCCAGGGACTTTTCGCCTCATGAAATGCGTAAGCTTTTGTCAAATTAGGGTTCTTACTTGCTACTGGTGATTTTCGCAGAAAGTTTACAGATTTTCTTAAATGTAAATTTTTCGATAGGAGAATTGCGAGGAAGTAGCAGACGAATATATCGAGTGTGAGCTAATGGTAATGTCTTATCTTTAGTTTTTTTCCATTTTCAAATTTCAACTGTTGAATTTCTGCTTTTGCGATTCATCGATTTATTTATTTATTTGATTATGTCAGATTATTTTCATTGACTTGATTCTTCACAAAACAAAGGCATATAGACACTTACTCTACAATGTCATGAATCAAGAAACTGTAAATTTTCAGGTAAAAACTCAATTATTTGATTTTCATTAGCTTCTCTACATTTTGAAACTGCTTTATTAAGTATATTACTTAGTGATCCCTGTTTCTTAAAAAATCTAATTTGAAACTGAAAATTTAATTAAAAGATTTAGTTTTTTTTTTTTCTGAAGTTTGATTCTAAATAGAGATAATGGATGAATGAATCTACAGTTATCTGATTTGGCAGCAACTGTTGTGGAAATTGGTCTTGGCTTACCTTCTTCTTGATACTTGTATCCTTTTATTTTATCACATATATTATAATATGCACTATAGTATAGTATACATGTCATTTTGGAGAGCCTTTAACAATTTCAAAAGATAGAAGCTTGCTGCTGCGAAGAACCAATGATGAATCTATGAGCTTTCTTCTTGCATCTCTAGAGGTTGGTTCTGTTTTTTTCCTTGAAGTTTTGCAAATTTGGGTTTATGAGAATGTTAATAAAACGAACATATGCATTTTTTTACAGGTTATTGTCAATGTCCTATCTGCAAATTTCGCATTTGTTTTATCATTTGCACTTGCTGCTAAAATGTTTATGTCAATGGGCGCTTCCAGGTTTACATATGTTTCCTTTATTATGAAACTTTGTGAAAGATTTTATCTTTGTTTCCTCTGAATAACTTATAGTATATGATTTGCAGAAGAAGAGAGATTCTTGTGGGGATCTTAATATCGAGTTACGTCAAGATCTTTCTGTTTGCTATGCATGTATGTTCATATATCTCTCAGAATCTTATATCATATAACAACCGACATAGCTTCTTCTTGCTCTTTAAATGTTTGAAGTGTTGTAATACTGGTTATACAGGTGTGGGAGTTACCGGTTTCAGTGATCTTCATCGTAGATATGCTCGTCTTAACATCGAACGCAGTTGCTCTTAAAGGTTAGATTCTTTGAATCTGCGTTACCTTGTTGTGCTTAGATTTTATCGATCTTGCAGCTAACAACATTGTTGTTTTGTTCTGTTTTGTGCATTTGACCAGTGATGACTAAATCAACGACGAGCAGATGCTTGGCCGCGTGTTTCATGGCACACTCGATTAGATTCTTGGCAGATCATCTCACTGGGTCAAGGTCTGCATGCGATGTGTCTGCCTCTTCTTTTCAGAAACTCGTGATCTCATCATAATCGTCCTTAGGTCTTGAGTTGACCATATACACATGTTTATAAAGATAATTGTAGGAATTTGAGACACTTTTTGTTTACTTGCCTCTTTTAAGACGGTTCAAGAGCTTTCTTACGAGCCCTAAAATGCATTAGCGTAAGACACAAGTAACATGCTTTTTCCCAATTCGAAGATGTACAAAACACAATCCTCAAAGCCCAATTAAAAAGCCTAATTACGAAGCCCAGTAAGGAGATTCGTTTATTTGATCTTCCCTTTCCCTAAACCCTCTCAGACTGTAAAATCTAACGTCACGTCGGTCATCGATTCCCTCCGGCGAGTTAGTTATTCATCGTCGGCTTTTTCCTTTATGTGACTCTTCATGGAATTAAGGCTAATTGTATCTCTCCATGGATTTCAGATAACCGACAGCTGAATTTCCAACTTAAAGAGTGATGGGACTCGATCAGAACGATCTAGAGTATGTTTCTCCGTCGATTTCTTCATGGATTGTTCGTTGATTCGGATTTTAAACCCAGATTTTCTTACGCTTTCTTCGTTTTCGTCCATTGGTGTTTGAAACAGAATGACGAACGATGAGCACTTCGTTGACAAGCAAAAACTTTCAGCTCCTATCAAGTCTACAGCAGATAAATACCAGCTCGTTCCCGAGTTCCTGAAGGTACTACACAGAGCAAACAGCAAAAATCTCCAGCTCAAAAACATGGTCGACTGTGTAAATAATCGTCTTGCTTTGTAGGTGAGAGGACTTGTGAAGCAACACCTGGATTCATTCAATTACTTCGTCAATGTTGGGATTAAAAAGATTGTTGGTGCAAATTCTCGTATACATTCCACTCTCGACCCAAATATTTACCTATGGTATTGGTCATTCCTTCTTCTTCTTCTTCTTGTTTCATGAAAAGAAAAGTTGAATGGTTTTGGTGGCTTTGTTTGATTTCTTTTCTGCTGTTTTGGTTGCAGGTTTAAGGATGTCAGAGTTGGTGAACCCTCGGTTTTAAGCGTTAACAAGCCGGATCAAATCAATCCACACATGTGCCGTTTAGCAGACACGACGTAAATACTTCTTCTATTTGCATATATTTTTCCCGTTTCTGCCTTCTTTTGCAGCATCAGTAACTTTTTAAAAATATCAGATATGCTGCTCCAATATATGTCGATATAGAATATGTTCGTGGAATTGATGGACAACTATCAAAACATATAAAGGTATATCAAAACAATGAAAATGTATTATTACTACATAATGCTCTGCTTATCAATAAAATTCAGGCTGAAATGTGATCTTCTTTTATTTCAGGACAATTTAATTATCGCAAGGATGCCTATTATGTTGCGGAGTTGCCGCTGTGTATTAAATGGAAAAGATGAAGAGGAACTTGCAAGATTAGGTTTGTATTGTACCCTTTATTTTCAGCTCTTTTCAAGCTTTCCTTCTTCTGCTTCATCACATTTGTTGTATTCTAGGTGAGTGCCCACTTGATCCCGGAGGATATTTTGTCATCAAAGGAACTGAGAAGGTAATACTTCATGCTTCTTATATGTAATCTTCGTAGAGCTATCTTACCGAGTCTATAGATTAGCTAGTACATGAGTCGCACTTTGACTTTGGCTTATATGTTTTGTATTATTCAGTTTCTTTTGTTCAGACTCGATTGTGAGCTTATTTAACCGTTAACACCGTTCGCTACAGTTTTTAGTTTTACTCCTGTCAATAAAGTTATGTGACCTGAAGCTATGTTATTGCATGTGTGGTGTTTGCTTTTCATTTCAGGTGTTATTGATACAAGAACAACTCTCAAAGAACAGAATTATAATTGATTCTGATAAAAAAGGAAAGTAAGTGATCTCTTATACGATTTTAGTCCTTGTAGTGTTGATTAGGCAAGCATCCTCATAGCTATTATCATTTGTCAACCCAAATCATTGTATCCCACCCACTATGCACATACCAATTTCACTGTTTGCTGATTCTCTCTTACTGCTTATTGTCAGCGTAAATGCATCTGTCACAAGCAGCTCTGAGATGATGAAAAGCAAAACAGTTATACAGATGGAGAAGGAGAAGATATATTTATTTCTTCATCAGTTTGTAAAAAAGGTGTAGTTACATTATCACACTCTTCTCTTTAATTGTACATCTTTCAGGTTTGGATTGTATTGGCTGAGCATCTGATTTTGTCACAGATTCCAATTATAATTGTCCTAAAAGCTATGGGAATGGAGAGCGACCAAGAGATCGTACAAATGGTTGGAAGGGATCCCCGTTTTAGCGCATCACTATTACCTTCTATCGAGGCAAGTATTATAGCCACCTTCTTTTACGTGGTGTCTAGTTTATGGTTTTTTTTGTAGCGATGTTGGTGTCTGACTGAGGCTTTCAAGTTAATATGACACTGGATTTAGAAGCAGCTGATTAGTTCTGTGGATGTAAATGTTCATTGTAGGAATTTTTGAATCTGTTTCGTTTGGTAAAGTAAACTAGGAAGCAGCGATTCTTGCGTGGTTGATTGTTTCGTCCTCACAATCTCTTATGCTTATTTAATTTCAGGAGTGTGTTAGTGAAGGTGTGCATACACGACAACAAGCACTGGACTATCTCGAGGCTAAGGTGCTGTGTTTATTTATCTTACAGAGTTATTTAAAAGTTTCTTTTCAGTGATTCTAGAGGACAGATATTGTCTACTTCCAAAATTATCTAGAAAACATATTACTGTTCCGCTGGTAAAGTGCTCTTTCTAGTGTTAATAAGATAGCTCATCTCTCTCTCTCTCTCTCTCTCTCTCTCTCTCTCTCTCTGCTTAAAGGAAATCCGTCATAGACTTTATGGTGGTATAGTTAGTTGCTTCATTTTTGTGATGTAACGAGAGCAAATCTTCCATTTATTTCCATGCTGTTGCAGTTTTCCATTGAAAAATAAACACACTGAGAAAAGAGTAGACTATAGGTTATGTTAGTGTAGCAATAGATTCCGATTTTTGTCTGCCGCAATTAATATGTGATGTATTATTTTCTTTGGTAATTTCTACAGGTGAAAAAATCATCATACGGACCTCGACCTGAGAAGGTTTTTATTCTTTACTCAACTAGTACACTCTAGTTTAATTATTCACAGATGGATATTTACAAATTTGAGGAATACAGAGGAATTATATAAGTGGAACAACAATAAGGGGAATTGATATTTTTTCCGCTTGCTTTTTCCTCTCCACTTTAGTAGAGGAACAATTTCTTGAGGAATTGACCATTATTCCTCTTATTATGTTGGTCCCACTAAAAGTTAGAGGAATACAAATTCTACCTAAATATTAAATAGTTAGAGGAATTCAGAGAATTGGTTAATTCCACCCATTTTTGTTCCTTACAGTGTCAACCATTATCACCCAATATGTTTTTTTCCCTGCAAATTTGAATGTGAATGTTTCTTGCTGAGTGAAAATTTTGCATTGTATATTTACATTGTTTACTAGGCTGGAAGAGCTCTATACATTCTCAGAGAGTTATTCCTTGCACACGTACCTGTAAGTATCTTAACTTCTTTTGGTTCTTAAAATTTTAGTCTTTACTTACTGCTATATTCTTCTCCTTAAGGTACGTGACAACAGTTTTCGTCAAAAATGTTTCTATGTTGGGGTGATGTTGAGACGAATGATTGAAGCAATGTTAAACAAAGATGCCATGGATGACAAGGTAATACCATAACCCTTCTATCTGGAACAGTTCTATTGTACATGTGGAGTACATTGGAAGTCTGGTTATCTGTATGTTAGATTACCCAAAACTGGCAAATGAAAAACAGGGATGGGCATGCTAAATTGGCTTACAAATTGTCTTGGCCGTCCGTTAGCAGAGCCATTAAAATTTGAGACTTCACCTGATGATGATGGCTACCTTGCTAGTCTATGACCTGAGATAAAATATCATATTGCTTGTATGTTCTCAAATGTGTACTTATTTTGTAGGATTATGTTGGTAACAAGAGATTGGAGTTATCTGGGCAACTAATATCTCTTCTCTTTGAGGTATCGCTGGAACATATTACCAGATGCAGTACTTTCTCTTCCTTTAACTTATAAGGTTCTGTCTGGTCCTTACCTATTATTTTCCTCCCTCTCGCTGCTACAGGATTTGTTCAAATCGATGATCGCTGAAGCCGTTAGACAAGTGGATCAAAAATTTAGCCGATTTGATTTCTCACAAGTAAGTGTAGAAATATTTTGCCCTGCTAGTTCAAGTCTTGCAGTCAAATTTTTTTTAACCATAAAAACATGTGGCCTTAGACACTTCCTATCATTTGGATTTGTAAATGGTCTCATGTTTTAGATTTTATTCTTTGTTCGTCATGTAGCTATGAATCGGTCTTCTTTCATGGTTCTTGAAATAACTAAAAAGTAATGGTGATTGCAAGAAGCTCATTATTAGTTGTTAGCTAGGTGTTATTAAGCCGATTGGCAATTGCTTTATGAACTTACATCTCCCTTGGAAATTCCACTGAAACTTGGATTCCCACCATTAAAATGTTTATTGTTCTCTGTAGCTTTTGGCTTGGAAATAACATGGATTGAGTCGATTTTCAAAAATAGTTACTATGGTGAAAAGAACTGATAGCACAACTCCAATTTTCTTTTGTGATGTGCTTGTAGTGTCTTACTGGAGAGAAGCATCATAGTATTACTCATGGATTAGAAAGAACCCTTTCAACGGGAGATTTCAATATTAAAAGGTTCAAAATGCATAGGAAAGGCATGACACAGGTCAGTAACTCTCTCTATATACATCTGTGTGTATGTCTCTAGCCTCCTTCAAGTTACATTACTCTGAAAGAAATTGTTTCATACAGGTCTTAACAAGGTTATCTTTTATTGGGAGTATGGGGTTTATTACGAAAATTTCGCCACAGTTTGAAAAGTCCAGGAAAGTAAGTGGGCCTAGATCTTTGCAACCTAGCCAGGTAATGATGCTGTCTTTATCAACCTGTTGAAATTTTGTAAACAAAGCTATTCCTTCTGCTTGAACTTCCATTGAATCTGATTTTTGCATTGTGGTCTGCTCTCTAAGTGGGGTATGCTCTGCCCCTGTGATACCCCAGAAGGCGAAGCTTGTGGGCTTGTCAAGAACTTGGCTTTAATGACTCATGTCACAACGGATGAAGAGGAAGGCCCATTGGTTGCTATGGTATGGGTTTGCTAATTTTTACCACGGTTATCTATCGTTGCTATGGCTTTGAGAAGGATACCACAATACCCTTCTCACTACTTCGGCTACTCATCTATTTTTAGATTAATTCTTTTTAACTAGGTACTGAATCTATGGGTTTTAAATGATTGTTCGGAAACAGTGCTACAAATTGGGTGTCACAGATCTGGAAGTATTATCAGCAGAGGAGCTGCATAGTCCAGACTCATTTTTGGTCGTATTCAATGGGCTAATACTTGGCAAACATAGAAGGCCACAGGTACTTTATAAAAAGACACGGGTCTGCAACAAACGCAATACACATCTTTGCATCTATTCACTGGTTTCTATTGTTTCAGTACTTCGCCAATTCACTTAGAAGGCTACGGAGAGCTGGGAAAATTGGCGAGTTTGTTAGTGTGTTCATAAACGAAAAGCAGGTAATGCCTTGATCAGTTTTTTTGGGGTGGTCATCTAAGTTTTTCCATGTGCACCTTATAGCTTCATAGCTTGTCTTCATTCGTCCATCAAGCATAAATCAATTTATTAACTCGGCTGTGTTCTTGTCTATTTACTATCTAAGCTTTGTATTTGGTAATATGTATTGGTAAAGCTTGGAGTGAAGATTAAGATTTCTGAATTAATATCTATTTGAAAAGTCTTCAGTAGCCTCTTCTGAGTGATTTTCGGAGTAGAAATACAGCTGAGGATCTTATTTGAAAAAAATACGATTTTGTAGATTGTTGCTAATACAGGCTGAAGAAAACGATTATTTTTAAATCTCTGCCAACTTTTTCTCTTGAACTCAATAATGTTAACTGGGACTGACTCTGAAGAGAAAATGTTTATCAGCATTGTGTATACGTTGCTTCTGATGGTGGGCGGGTGTGTCGACCACTTGTTATAGCCGATAAAGGAGTATCAAGAGTTAAACAACACCACATGAAGGAATTACAGGTACTGGTGCTGTACGGTCCCAGAATCATGCATACTTGTCTTACTGGTATAGGTTTAAGAAATTGGTTGACTGATTTGTGTTTCCTTGAAGGATGGGGTTCGCACTTTTGATGACTTTATTCGTGATGGCTTGATCGAGTATCTTGATGTCAATGAGGAAAATAATGCATTGGTTCGTGCCAGTCTCCTTATTTTCTATATGTATTATATTTTATTGCACCATAGGGAGCCGAAAATGATACACTACTCTATTTCCTTGTTTTAAGATTGCTTTATACGAAAGAGACATTGCTACGGAAATGGCAGAAGCAGCAGAAACGGTAAAAGCTGCAAAAGCAGCACACACGGTAAAAAAATTAGCAGAAGATGCGGAAAAAGCAGCAGAAGCAGTAGAAGCTGCAAAAGCAGCAGAAGCAGATAAAATAATGGCAGAGACAACCCACATTGAGATTGAACCTTTCACCATCTTAGGTGTTGTTGCTGGTCTTATCCCCTACCCTCACCATAATCAGTCACCTAGAAATACTTATCAGGTTTGTGTTTCTAGACAATCTGACATAGATGCTGCAATTTCTGTTGGTTTGCATCTCCTTATTAGTCCTGTTACTTTCTGAGCAGTGTGCTATGGGAAAACAAGCTATGGGAAATATTGCTTACAACCAGGCAAGTCCATTTATGCTCTCTATACTGTTTCTTTGAGGCATAGCCTATTGCTTTCCAGTTTCGTTGACTTAATTGGATCAATTGTTGGTTATGCAAAGTCTATTTACTTTAACGCCTCTATCTCCTCCATTGCATCGTGTTCTAAACATCTAGTATATCTTGCTCTCTCTCAGACACTTGTTTTGCTTTTCAAAATCTTTGTTTTTAGTTAAACCGGATGGACACATTGCTTTACCTATTGGTGTATCCTCAGCGACCCCTTTTGACAACAAGGACAATTGAATTGGTAAGTTATTTTGCTCTACTAGGGCTGTGTTGATAATATGGTACTAAGAATAAATGTTTGTTAACAGGTTGGATACGACAAACTTGGAGCAGGTCAAAATGCTACAGTTGCTGTGATGAGTAATACTGGATACGACATTGAGGATGCAATAGTGATGAACAAATCTTCCTTGGATCGTGGTTTCGGCCGCTGCATCGTTATGAAAAAGTATGTAATGATTTTTCTTTGGGGCAAAAGTCGCTATCGTCTCTTACATTAGCTAATATTGCTTGACGTTTTGTTGTTTTGTGAAACAGACTTGTTGCTACGTGCCAAAAGTATACGAATAATACAGTAGACAGAATACTCAGGCCACAAAGAACAGGCCCAGATGCAGAAAAGATGCAGGTGGTACATTTTGTCTGCTTTGGGAATTAGTCTTGTTGCAAATGCTAATTTTTCCGGATTATTTAGATGCTGTGGAAACAGTCCTAGGTAATTCATTTTGAGTACATAATACGTTTTTGGCCTTATTGGAGGGAGTAAGCACGATATGGTTGCGTATTTGAAATTGTACTTTCTCATGACTGTCTGTTTCTCTTTCTCAAAGTAGACACTTCATTAACAAAATTTGACACTACGTAGAATTTATGACATAGATGGCTAAATCTAACAGCTTCTCTAGTGAGAGTGATTTAGCCAGTTTCCTTTCCTTTGCTTTATTCCCTTTTTCTTATATAATTAGTTTCTTGTTTACTTGGTTGTGCCTTCGCTAAAGTATGTTGAATAAGTTTTCATGTTGATCTTTTTTCTCTTTTAGATACTGGATGATGATGGAATTGCTTCTCCAGGGGAAATTATTAGACCGAATGATGTCTATTTAAATAAACAGATCCCTGTGGACACAAGTCAATATCGTCCGGCCAGAGAGTATTTCAAAGGTCCTGAAGGGGAAACACAAGTGGTCGACAGAGTTGCTCTCTGTTCTGACAGGAACGGCCACTTATGCATCAAATATATTATCCGACATACTCGTCGACCAGAGGTGAGAAATTTGGTCTTCGATACTGTTATGTTTCTACCCCTAAGTCTCATGTTCTACAGTGTTAAATGAGTCTTGGTCTGGCCATTTTTTAGCTTGGCGACAAGTTCAGCAGTAGGCATGGGCAGAAAGGTGTATGTGGTACAATCGTTCAGCAGGAAGATTTTCCATTTTCCGAGCTTGGAATTTGCCCTGATTTGATCATGAATCCTCATGGTTTTCCAAGGTTATTAAATATTCTAATTGTGCACGTTGGATGCCTTTTTATAGTGTAGAGCCAAAAAAAGCTTCCTTCATTTTGTGTGCGAATGTGTGGGTTTCATCTGAAGTTCTTGTATCAAAACTGACGAATGGATTAACATTTTTCTTCTGGCAGTCGTATGACAGTAGGTAAGATGATAGAACTCCTTGGAAGTAAGGCGGGAGTTAGTTGTGGTAGATTTCACTATGGTAGTGCTTTTGGAGAAAGAAGTGGTCATGCTGACAAAGTTGAGTCTATAAGGTATCTTGTCTCTCTCTCTCTCCCTTTCTTGTTCCATATCTAAACTTTTGTTTTGGGGTTTAATGTCATCGGATTTCTATCATTTCAGTGCAACCCTTGTGAAGAAGGGGTTTTCCTATAGTGGGAAGGACGTGTTATACTCAGGTATTGCTTGATGATTGATTCTTGACAGAGTTCAGAATTTGCAAATTATATGTTGAAATGCATTCTACTGTCCGTTGTTAGATTCTTCGAATACAAAGTCGTTTAGGATCTCACTAAGATTAGACTAAGACACTATCATTTAAAATTTATAAGATTCGGTCCTACTCAATTCTTATCCAAAACTTAGTGTTTGTGGTTACTTTCTTTGTACATGAACCTGATGACCTTGAGAGTCTCGCAGGTCTCAGTGGCGAGCCATTACAAGCATACATCTTTATGGGGCCAATCTATTACCAGAAACTGAAACACATGGTAAGGTTCCTCTTAACTTATAATGAACCATTCACAAATTTTTCTTTGTTTTGGTCGGAAACAATATCTGTGTTTGGAATAGGTCCTGGACAAAATGCATGCGCGAGGGAGTGGACCACGTGTCATGATGACAAGACAGCCTACTGAAGGGAAATCTAAAAATGGAGGTATGGTTTGCCTCTTATGTAGGAAATTAAACGTCGTTTAAGGCTTGTTAATAATTTTGGGCACTTTATTAATCTCAAAATTGTGTCAAATACTGTTGAACAGGTTTACGAGTGGGAGAAATGGAACGAGATTGTCTGATTGCGTATGGAGCCAGCAATTTGATCAATGAGCGGCTCATGCTTTCTAGTGATCCTTCCGAAGTTCAGGTAATAATAATAAACTAGGAATCATAATGCACTTTTATTTTGTTGTATCAAGTGGCAAAGTCTGAAACGGTTTCATCAATTACTAATGCAGGTTTGCAGAGATTGCGGTTTATTGGGATATTACAACTACAAGCTGAAGAAAGCAGTTTGTTCAACTTGTAAAGATGGCGTTAACATTGCTACTATGAAACTCCCATACGCATGCAAGCTCCTCTTCCAGGAAATCCAGTCGATGAATGTTGTTCCTCGTCTCAAACTCGAAGAGGCTTCTTGATCTCAAGTAAATCTTGTCAAACTCCATCACTAACTCTGACGAAACCTACGAGTCTTTGACCATATTCATAAAGATAAATGAAGGATTCTGAGAGTATTTTTGTCCTGATAAAGATAAATGTAAATGTAGGATCTTCTTGAGACATTCTTGCTTAATCCTAAAATGACATTAAAAGCCCTAAGATTCGTTTAACTTGTTCAAATATACAAGAAAGATATACAAGTTGAGAAGAATTAAGCTTCATCTATTTCTCATACATTAACACACATCTATTATTAGTTTATTATATTACACATTCCAAAGAAAACAGAATCAGAAAAAAAAGGCAATTAAAAACGAGTGCTTCACCTGCTTTGCCTCTCCTCCCCGACATAGCTTCTTCTTGCTCTTTAAATGTTTGAAGTGTTGTAATACTGGTTATACAGGTCTGGGAGCTACCGGTTTCAGTGATCTTCATCGTAGATATGCTCGTCTTAACATCGAACGCAGTTGCTCTTAAAGGTTAGATCTTTGAATCTGCGTTACCTTGTTGTGCTTAGATTTATCCATCTTGCAGCTAACAACATTGTTGTTTTGTTCTGTTTTTTTCTCCGTGCATTTTACCGACGATCAGATGCTTAGTCGTGTGTTTCATGGCACACTCTGTTACATTCTTGGCGGATTATCTCTCTGGGTCAAGGTCTTTGAAACACTTAGGCTCTGTGATGTGTCTGCCTCTTCTTTTCAGAAACTAATTGTGATCTCATAATCTTCCTTAGGTCTTGATCAGACAGTTTGTTTAATATTTGACACTATGTTCATAAAGATATAGGTAGGAACTTGAGACACGTTTGTTTACTTCACCCTTTTAAGATGATTCAAGAGCTCTCTTACAGAGAAAATGAGATTACAAGCCCTAAAATGCATTAGCGTAAGACACAAGTAACATCATTTTCCCCAATTTTCAAGAGATACAAAACACAAATACAGTCCTACAACCAAACATGTAAGCTATACTCTCTGTATAAATACATTATATAACAGATAATAACATGACTTCTGACTGTACAGCATCTATACATCGTATATACAAGAACAGATTCTTGCGTCCTTCTACAATTCTACTCTACCTATGGAATGTTTCTTTGCAAAAGTTGTATTTGCTTGCCAATAGAGTCTCATCTCTGCAACTTCAGAAGTGTTTATTTGAACTACCAACACTATCTCATCGTCTGCTTCACCGACGCAGAGACTGATTCAGCATCACTATCTTGATAATCAAGAAGACTGTCTTGGGATGTACTCGTCACAGTTCTTGATCAGAAAACAAATAATCAACCTGCCCGCGGTTAACATGCATCAATCCACCCAAAAACTCATCATCGTCTTGGGCTAAGTAAGGAGTTTGTAGCTGCACGCTAGGGTGGTTGTTGTTGTTGTTGCTGAGAAACGTATTTGGATCCTCTTGTTCGTTCATTAGCAATGTGAAATCATTCACAGACAAACCAGAGAAACTTTCTTCACCTTGCTGCTCAACCTGAAAATGTAAAAGAAGTGAGAGTAAGGCTGAGAGATTATTACTTTGTGTTTATAAATAAAGAAACATCTTAGAAAATGGACTTACTTCAGGCGGTGTGCTAATCGCTGGGACAGGAGTTGAATCAATGACCAAAGACTGACTTGGTTCACTTGAGTTACTACCGGATGGGATGTCTTCAGCTTCACCCCTATAAATTATTTTGCAGATAACATAGTTCCTCTGAAAATCCCAAAGGTACATGTACAAATAGGTAAGATGATTTCTTGTTGTCAAAAAAAAAAAAAAAAAAAAAAAAAAAAAAAAAAGGTAAGATGATTTCTTTTAGAGTATTTTTCAAGTAATGAGTAATGACTAGTGAATATAATTTCTCACAACAAATTTGTGGTATTTTTGGAATTTTAAAATATTGGTGGTAACTTTAGCACAAAAAACATAAAAACAGAGAAAAATTAAACATATTAATTAGTACTCTATCCTAAGAAGTCCATAATTAACCATCAAATTGAGCTATAAGAAGTAGGGCAAGTGATTGATTGTTACCTGATGAAGAGGCAAGCAAGTGATGTGATACTCGTGCATAACCCACGGAGTGCAAACGCCACTAGAAACCCTACCTTGATGGTACACAAGCGTCTTTTTAATCCCAACTTCAACATCATTTCTTCTCTTCTCTCGAATCTTTTGATCCCTACCGGTCACTTTCCAATACCCAAACCGCGTAGTCCTCTTCATTGTCTTATTCTTTGCGGACGCGTACACCTTCGGAGAGAAGAAGTACCATACCAGATCCTTTGATTTGAGCTTCGATAACGCTGCAACCAAATTTAATCAAATCACACAATATTATATCAATAGACCTCTTTCAAAAAAAAAAAGAAAACAAAAAAAACATAACACGGAAATATAATAATTTTTTTTTTTACCACAAGGTGAGAAAAAACTCACGAGGCAAAGACAGTGGTTCGTAACTACAGATGTTAATCTCGTAAATCGCATCGTCGACTAACCATGTTTTACCTAGAATTTTGTTCTTCAGATAATGGTTTATTAGCTCCTCTCCCGTAGGATAAAACCTATTCCCCACTATATTTGTATCCATTTTATTACACCAAAAAAAAATGTGATCGAAAGAAACACACAAAAACTCTCCGAATCGCGAGTGGAATTTTCTAAGGGTCTATGAGTCAAGGTTTTTTCCTCCGTGTTGTCTAAATCCTCTGTTTTAAATGTTTTGTTTGATAAAGTATATGTGTTTGTTTTAAAATGCAAGCTGCGTGGAGGAGGTATTTATAGCTGTGGAATTCATCACAATTCAGTGTAATTTCTCAGAAAAGTAAACGGGATTGACTTTTTTTTTTGGAACAACTCTTTCATTAAGATAAAAGATAAAGAGGACCATTATATTTTAAAATAATGTGTTTTATATTAGGTCAACAAATGAATAAAATAAAGTATGTTTTTTCAGATGACAAAAGAAAGTTTTTTGAGTTTGCCCAAACGACATTTTTGGTTTGCAAATTATCCTTTTGATATTGTGAATATACACGTTGCAAAGTTGCAGTTTTGCTTTCCTTGCATGTGATGGAAAATGATTAAATCATAGACTCATAGTAAATTAGTAATACATGCATTATTTAAACTGAATCTCGAACTATACTTTGTGGATGCCACCATTGAATTTGGCGACGACATTGGTAGTTTATCACGTTCAGCATAGTCCATTATTATTAAGGGTAGAATAATTCACTTAAAATTTGAAGTATAGGAAGAGGAAATTACAGAGGTTGCCAATTGACATGAGTCACACATGACATGACATGACAAATCTTTACCTTAATCAACAATTTAAAAAAAAAAAAAAAACCCCAACAACAACAAAAAGAGCACAGCAAATCTTTGGAAAGAATAAATAAGAACAATAATCTTTGGAAAAATCCTCTATATGTGTTTGTGAAAAATCCTTAATAACTTGAAATGGCCATCTATTTGATTAATAAACTATATCGTAAATTAGATGTTTATATTCAAAAGAAAATTGTATCTTGGGGATAAATCATCAATCCCATATAAAACTAAATAAAATATAAGATCATCCAAATTTTATCATTGTATGCTATGATTAGAAGTTATCTGGTTACTATTTTCTTTGGTATGCTTTTCCATTTGTTTTTCTCTCCGTTACTCTTTCTCTCTCTCCAAGAGCCAAAATAATTTCCTCACGAGTGGGTCCCTAAGACTACCACTCCCAAGCTCCTCCCTTTTTTGTTTGTTTTGTACTTTTGTATCCAACGTTAGAATTTTCTCCCCTCTTAGGACAAATTTAATTCATGTCGTACGACAAATTAAAATTACGAGCTTTTCGGACATATTTATTTTATACTTTAGAGTTTATAAAGCACCTCCAGCGGGCGTCTCACACATAGTCTCTTTCCATTAAAAAAATAAAAAGAAATGAAAAAGGTGGAAAGAAAATTTGGAAAAGTGTGATACGTCTCTGGATAAAGAGAAGAAGACCATCTCCATTAGTGATACCCTCATATGAGTATCACAACATTTAAAATTAGTTTTTTTGTTAATCTTTTTTGTTCAAGAGATTTTGGTTTGATATTTATATTTTCTCTTCCAATGGTGATACCCTTATAGAGTATCTAAAAAAAATGAAAATGCTTTGTCTTTAAATGTATATCACATTTCATGTTTCCGGACCGTTAGATGATTTTCATTGGTAATTGGGTAATCACTGAACGGTAGAGATCTTTAGTCCAAGTATGTGGGTCCCAGTTCACCATGGAACGTGTCTGAGGAAAGAATTTAGCCTTTTCCACTTTTTTAATGTTTTAATTTTTTAAACTCAACCAACCAGAAGATGCCACGTTAGGGTATCAGAGAGGCTGAAAAGTTCCTTCGTTTGGATACGTATCAGACTTTATTTCGGATTAAAACTTTTCTTTTTAAACAAAATTAGTCTGATACCCATCTAAAAACTGGGCTGATACCACCGCTGAAGATGCTCTAAGAGACTACAATGAAATGTGGCATTATATTATTGGTTAGCTTCTTTTTTATTTTAAATTTAATTATCTTTTAAATTTATATTGATTTAATATATGGGAGAGACTCACTTGACCAAAAAAAATATTGGAGAGACTCAAACTACGGTATCAACCGATGGAGATGCTAAGTTGGGCAATTCTTACATCTAGCACACAAAAAAACACTCCTTCTCGTATATGAAGGAATTTCTCAACTAAGTTTATGGGTTTTCTTTTAGAGGAATTCCCCCAAATAACATGAATTCGTAGGCTTTATTTTTAGTTCGTGCTGTTGACCAAATTTATGTGTTGTAGTTTCTAAGGACAAATTTCATCCATATCATAGACCAATTAAAATTTTTTTTTGGTAGATAGATTGATTTATATTGTGGATCAGAAAGTTAAACCTACGAATTTACAGATTGACTATCTTAAAACAATTTCTTGGTTCGCTAGCGTTTGTTTACAAAATATAAAAAAAGTTAAGGTAATCGAACACCACACATCATCTGTGACTATATATACCGAATAAATATGTGTCTAACCAAATCGCTTAATATTGTGCTCCATTCACCAACTCTGACGAAACCTACGAGTCTTTTTTGACCATATTCATAAAGATAAACGAAGAATCCTGACTCTTTTGTCTTGATAAAGATAAGTGAAGGATCTTGAGACACTCTTGCTTAATCTTACTCTCTTTTGGATGATTCAATACCTCCTCTCTTACATTAAAAGATTTTACAACCAAAAAAAAAAAAAAAAAAAAAAAGACATTGAAAGCCCTAAGATTCGTTTAACTTTAGGCACAAGAAAGACCTTTAAGATATACAGGTTCAGAACAATTGAGCTTCATCTATTTCTCATACATTAACACACATCTATTATTAGTTTATTACACATTCCAAAGAAAACAGAATCAGAAAAAAAAAGGCAATTAAAAACGAGTGCTTCATCTGCTTTGCCTCTCCTCCTCGCCATCAAACTCCATCAGCAGGTTCAGGTTTCGACGCTTAGTAAAACAGATATGACATTTTGCTAGTGAGAGCAACCAGGAGGATGAAACCAATGATCATGTTCATAAGATAGATATATCTTGGAGTCTTGCCTTTTATGTGCATTGCATCCTCTGTAATAAACCATCCCTTCTTCTCTGCCTTGTCTATAGTTGCAACAGCAATTTTAAACTTACCTTCTTTCACCTGACAAGGAGATCACATCATAATATGTCAAGAGACTATAAGATACAATACAAGTACCCACAAAATCAGTATAAGAACAATTTTCTAGAGTCAAAACCTCTTGTTTCTTTGGTATGGTGCGGCATGTGAGTTGAGACTCCCAAGTTTGTAGATCTTTGCTTGAGTCTGGATCACTTGATCTAGATTCAGCATCGCGATTACTATCACAGCTACGATCAACAATGAACACTGACAAAGATGTATTTGGCCTGTGATCGTTGTGGTTGGCTTGCACTTTGACTTCTGGCTTAAGGAACACATCTTCATCATCATTCCCTCCGCTAGAACCCACCAGTCCACTCGAAAACTCATCATATTTAATTTTCCATCCGTTGTTGTAGCTGTCGAATGACAAAAAGTTGTTTGCATTAAATCCCTCACACGGAGAGACATTCTCTTGATCGGAAAACAAATGTTCGACGTGCCCGCGGTTAACATGTTTCAATCCACTCAAAAAATCATCGTCGCCTTGTGCTGAGTAAGGAGCTTGTTGCTGCACGTTAGCGTAGTTGTCGTTGTCCATCGACTTTGTCAAATCAGATAAAACTAGTCCACCTTGCTGCTCAACCTGAATATTAGTCGATACTAATGAATAAAAATGAAACAAAAATCAAATAAAAAAACATGTAAGAAACTAGACTCACCACAGTGTTCAAATCACAGGCCAAAGAGTGACTTGGCTCACTCAAGTTTCTGTCTTCACCATTATATGTTACTAGGCAGATAACGTAATTGTTCTGAAACAAATTCCCAAAATACACACAAATAAATGATGTGATGTGAATTTTCATAATGGTTTCCTTCAAATAAATTATTTTTTTATAATATTAACCGTGTGTGTAACGTAAAGTTTTCTTGTGTGTGTAAAATAAATTCCCAAACAGAGTTTATAATATTAATCGTGTATTTTCTTGATGGTTTCCTTCCTAAATTCAATTTGGAGGAGAAAATAATTTACACACACAAGAAACCTTTATTTTATTATTTTACCTGATCATTAGGCAAGCAAGTGATGTGATACTCGTTGATAGCCCAAGGAGTCCGAACTCCATTAGGAGACCTACCATGATGGTACGCAAGTGGCTTCATAATCCCGATCTCAACACCATTCACTCTCTTATCCTTGATTTTTCGATCTTTACCGGTCACTTTCCAATACCCAAACCGTGTAGTCCTCTTCATGTCCGTCTTCTTCGCGGACGTGTACACCTTCGGAGAGAAGAAGTACCATGCAAGATCCTTCGATTCGATCTTCGATAACGCTATACGAATACCAAAAAAAAAAAAATAATAATAATAATAATAATAATAATAATAGAAATGATCGATGATGATATGAGAGTCTGAGAGTGAAGTGAAAGTGAGACAACGTACAAGGCAGAAACATTGGTTCGTAACTACATATGTTGATTTCTTTAATCCCATTGTCGACTAGCCATGATGAGTTACCAAGATTCTTGTTCTTCAGGTAATGGTTTATCAGTTCCACTTCCGTTGGTTGAAATCTATACCCCACCACATCTTTCTCCATTTGTACAAACGATATCCAAAAACAAAATCAAAAATCTCCGAATCGCAACAAAAACGAAACAAATTATAGGGTTTTTGAGTGAAATGTTTTTTTCTCTGTGCTTTCTTATTTCTTTCCTCTCTCTTTTTTTTTTCTTCTGAAATACGCAAAAGCAGTAGTCGACTTGGTGTATATTTAATGTAAGCGTATATTTGTAGATATGTAATATATATTTATTTATAGGATATTTCTTCATTATCGGGCTAAAAAAGTCTATAAATTTAATGTTTTTCTCTCAGTGTTTAGTACATTTTTCTTTTTTGGTTAGTTTTAGGTTTTTAGCATATATCTAGAAGTTTATACTGAATTTCGTGTTTACAAAACTTCTTAATTAATTAATTCCTCCTATTCAACTTACTTGTTATTTGCAGAAATATATCTGAAATGTTTGTAGATATATTTTAAGTTAGCTGAAATATATCTGACTCAAAATACATTCATGTATATTTTATATACATTTTTACAATTGACAAATAATTAGAAATGGATGGAATAGTAAGTTCTATTAAGAAATGGTGTGTTTTTAATTAATTAATAACAAAGATGTAATACTATCACAAATAATAAACTGGAATCCAATATGCTCTCCAATAATAAGGTTATACACTTATACATATGAATGTTAATTTATCTCCCAGAATAATGTTTTCCTTAAACATTGACAAAAAAAAGGATTCTTTCCCCATAGGAGAGGGACAATTTATAATTTGTTGTTTAGTGTAAGTAGTAGAGACGTGGTAAGTTGTTGGCGGTTCAATACGAAGAATTTGGAACGAGATTTTTTGGAGTATTCTTTCTGGTCCTGTAGCCGCCACTATTGACAAATGACGACAGCATGGATACATGATAGAGTATATACTTCATCACTTCCTACAATTTTGTCTAATTATATCAATTTTCGGTCTTTCCTTTTAGTATATGTGCTAAGAGAATAATTATATACATAGAAAATGTAACATTTCTTTTGAAATGAATATATGTGTTTGTTTAAGAATTAAGAGATTTCTTGAAGTCGAGGAAACAGAAGAGTAATTTTCTATGTCACTAGCCAAGTGAAGTAATACTAGGTTATGATTATATCTCACAAATTTTTCTTATTGGTAGACTGTAACCTTAATATGTACATAACATGTACATACTTGAAAGAGGAAGCTTTTGACCTTTTGAAATATATTAGGCACAATAATGTTAAGAATTACCGCTACAATTAATTTTGATCGATCTATTCTTGTTCGTTGTAATCGGTTATGAATTTACAATGAGTACTTAGAAAGCTGCATTACATATATTTCTCCGGCTACTTAGAACTTCAGCTCGTACTCAAATGTCAAATATATCGTCATCTCATCAGATTTTTCATATATTTACGTTCTGAATATCTAAAAAATCATATTAACCACACACGGATTCAAATGTTGAAAGTGGTGCTTTGCACGTGCCGGAATCTTTTCACGTTTTAAAATTTCTGACGTCACACGTATGACGTATCTGATCACAGTCGATGGTTTTGTTTTTGTTATGGGTGCAAAATACAATCGATGGTTTAATTGTAGTGAGACACTCTTGCTTACTCATTTTTGGATGATTCAACCTCTTATACTGAAATGACATTACAAGCCCTAAAATTCATTTAACTTTACGTACAAGAAATTAAGACCTGTAACTGTAAGATATACAGGTTGAGGACAATTGAGTTTCACATATTGTTCATACATACATACACACACACACACAATTATTATCACACATTCAAAACAAAACATAATCAGAAAAAAAGCCAATTTAAAACGAGCGCTTCTATCGATCTGCTTTGCCTCTCCTCGCCATCAAACTTCATCAGCAGGTTCAAGTTTTGAGGCTTAGTAAAACCGATATGAAGTTGCCAATGAGAGCAACCAAGAGGATGAAGCCAATGATCATGTTCATGAGATACATATATCTTGGAGTCTTGCCTTTTCTCTGCATTGCTTCCTCTACAATAAACCAACCCTTCTTCTCTGTCTTTACCATAGACAACTCCTTGTCTATAGCTGCCTTAAACTTGCATTCTTTCACCTGAAAAGGAGATCACAAATGTCAAGAGACTATAAGATACAAGTACCCACAAAATCAGTACAAGAACAATTTTCAAGAGTCAAGACCTCTTGTTTCTTTGGTATGGTGCGGCATGTGAGCTGAGATTCCAAAGTTTGTAGATCTTTGCAAGAGTCTGCGCTTGAGCAACTAGAAAAGTGTCGATTGGAACTACCAACGCTATCACCTGGACTTGATGTTTCTTGGTAACTCTGTTTATACATTAGAATGAAAAAAAGGCTGAGACTATTACTCCATGAGAAAGTATTGGATACAGAAAACGAGAAGATGTTGGCGCTTTACCGTTGCAGATATAGATTCAGCATCGCTATCATCACCATCACTATCGCTATCAATGAACCCTGACAAAGCTGTCCTCGGCCTGTAATTGCTGTGGTTCTCTTGCATTATGAGTTCTGGATTAGCAAACACATCTTCAAAATTCCATTCGTTGTCATCAAGCAACCTATTCACAAACTCATCATCGTAATGAGTTTGTGGCTGCATGCTATTGTTGTTGTTGTTGTTGTTGTCGGTGAACAGTATGTTTGGATTAAACCCATCACTCGGAGAGAGATCCTCTTGTTCGTTCATTGGGTTTAACAACTCATCCACAGCCAAACCATAGAAATTTTCTTGACCTGGCTGCTATGTGAACAGAGACTTGAGTAAAGTGACGGTATTCAAATCAGATAATGAAACATGACAGAAAACTAGACTCACCTCAGGCCCTGTGTTAATGGCTCTGGCAGTGACGGTATTCAAATCAGAGACCAAAGATTGACTTGGCTCACTCACGTTGAAGTTACTATTACCATTCAAAACGTCTCCATCTTCACCTTTATACATTACTTGGCAGATAACATAATTCCTCTGTAACAAATTCCCAAAAATACACACACATAAGCTCGTTGCCAACCAAAACACATCCCTCAAACAACTTATAACACTTAAACCTCAAAATTGTGAGCTTTACATCAACAAAAGAACCTCAAATTTTGCTAAAGTTAGCATCCAAAATACATGAGAGAGATGAATCAAACCCAAAAAGATCAATTTCAACTAACACAGAAGCTCAAATTGAGCTCCAAGTAGCATCACAGGGGCAATTATAGCTAACAATTAGCTTTGAGAAAAGATGGAACAAAAAGCCCCAAATCAATTTCAACAAGAACATGTCTAAAATGAAAAGCAAATCAAAAGCTCTGAATTTTTTTTGTTGTTTACCTGAGCATTAGGCAAGCAAGTGATGTGATACTCGTGCATAACCCAAGGAGTCCTCACACCATTAGGAGTCCTACCTTGATGGTAAACGAGCGTCTTCTTAATCCCGATCTCAACACCATTCCCTCTCCTATCCTTGATCGTCCGATCTTTACCAGTCGCTTTCCAAAACCCATAACCTGTAGTCCTCTTCGCCGCCGTCTTCTTCGCGGAAGTGTACTCTCTCGGAGAGAAGAAGTACCATACCGGATCCTTCGTTTCCATCTTCGATAACGCTAACCAAAAGTTGAAAACAAACAAACCCCCAAAATTAGAAATGATCGATGATAAGAGATCGATGATTGATTTGAAGTTGAGAGAACTTACAAGGGAGAAGCATTGGTTCGTGGCTACAGATGCTGATTTCGCTAATCGCATCGTCGACTAGCCAATGTTTACCCAGAATTTTGTTCTTCAGGTAATGATTGATCAATTCCTCTCCGGTTGGATGAAATCTATACCCGACCACTACCATTTTTACACACAAAAAAACCAGAGAGATCTTCGAATCGCGACTAAGTTTTTTTTTTCTAGGGTTTGAGTGAAGAAGAGCTTTTTCTCTCTGCTTTTCCTCTCTCTCACACTGTTGTAGACTTGGGGGTGAAGAGAAGCAAAGCAAGGGTTTATACTATTTATGTGTCTAGTGACATTTTAAAAAAATAAAGATAAGACTAATTTCAGTAGTTGCTCAGAAAACACATAAAATGAGACGTGGCGAGTTTCTATAGGCCATGAGCACATGTTACAAACTGAAAGCTGACACGTTTTATTTGTCATTTAATTAAGCTTAAATGCTCTTAAGTGCATCATGTGGATGCTTTTAATTTGTCTCTGAGAATAAATGTTTTCCATTCCTTGACAAAAAAGGGTGTTTTTGCCAGAGGAGGAGACGTGGCAAGTTACTGACGGTTCATTACGAAATTGTCGGAGCTTCGGACAGAAGTTTCAGCTTTTTAAAAACAAAAAATCGAAGGATCTATTACGGAAATATTATTTTTGGTTGTAGCCGCCACCGATGTCGACAACATGAATATACATCATCACTTTCACCAATCTAGTTGTACTTCCGAATTTTGTCTATTTCAATTAAGTTTTTGTTCTAGGCTTTTATTTTTATTTTTTTGTGCAAATTGTTCTAGGCTTTTATAATAATTTGAGAACGAAAGGATTTCAGGTGATTTAAAGTAGCTTAACTTGACAATTTTAAAAGCTAGACTCGAATCAAACACGAGAACCTCCTATTATGAATTAAGTCTTACAATTGTTTCGATGGCTATCTATTCAAAAGAGAGGTAAAAGTCTTTTAGAGACCGTTACAATTTGATCGGAGAGATCAAGAAAACACGAACATTTGAAAACAAATAAACAAAAACTTGGTGATACTCGAAGAGAGCAAAACTCACAAGAAGAACCTCCTCCTGCTAGTATCCATTTCAGGCTGCAATGAAACAAACACACAAAACATGAAAAGACGAATTAATATCATAGCAAACTCTAACGACCAAAAACATAAAGCTAAAATTCGTAACTTGTGTTGTGATTTTACCTTATGAACCCATTCAAATTCTCCGCCTCTAGGATCAAATGTTCCATGCTGTAACGTAACTAGCTTAAGCGTGAATCGAGGTCCACATTCCTGCACATTTCGGGATACAAATATTGAGAATATATTGATGGAATTGGATCCAAACACAAAAAGAGCGGTAAAATTTTCGATAAGCTAACCTGAAGACGAGCTTTAACTTTCTCTCCATCTTTTCCTTTAGTCTTGGTTTCCTTCGCCTCGAATATGTAACTGAACACAATTGCATTTGTTCAATATACGTTTCAAAGGATGAGAGAATCAAAAAGAAGAAGACGAAGAAGAAAAAGCTGAAATTATATACCGATGATGTCTGAAGAATATAAAGTCACGCTGATTGTGAAATGTTACAACTCTCCTCCCACGGAAATTAGGTTCTTGAGGAAAGAGCGACTGAAAAAATCTGAACAAAAACAGAAATATAGCATTAGCGAGAGAGAGAGAGAGAGAGATCAAAGAGTGATATGAAGTCAAAAACTTTGAATTACCTCCCAACACGATTTCCTAAACGGGTTGAAAAGTTCTTCAAAATCAGCTCAGGTTCATGGCTTGTAGGATTTCCATGATTCTGCAAAACAATATTCAACAATCCAATTCAGTAATTCACTAAACCAACACTCAACATAGAGAAGACGAATATGTTTACTTTCCATATACATTACCTTAATATCCTTCCTTAGAACAAGATTCGACAACTTGAAATGAGCAGTTGGACCATTTGGCAAACCGATGATCAGAAGCGCATCTACATATCAAAATACCAAAACCTTGAAACAAAACCATATAAAGATATGATAATCAAAGATCACAAAGCTTGAAAACTAACCAGGTTCTCTGCGATTTGTATGCACGACAATAAGAGATGTAAAGTCTTTCTTCTTTGCGTACTCTACAATCTGCAGAGTCATTTATATATCTAAAAGGTTATTATAGTTGCAAAGAGATGAAACTCTACAAGAAACCTTTGATAACTAATAGCAATCATACCTTTTTCAAATCGTAAGTTCCTCTCTTGTGATAAGTAGAGTTTGGGATCACTGAAAGCAACTCCGATATAAACGCAGGTCCTCTCTACAATCCCAAATCAACACATAAACGAATCAACAGAGCTCCAAGAACACTACTCTGAAGCCAAAAAATCTGCAGAATCTCTAGTGAAACTTACAGTGGAATTGAAACGGCAGGTTGTGATCAAGACTTTAGGAGTAATCTCTTGTCTCAGGACTGGATTGAATTCATCAGCATCGATATCAGCAAACAACTGCGAATTTTCAATTTCCACTTAATCAGTGACGAAGAACTAAATCGAATTGAGATTAATCACAAAATCGGAAACATACTTCTTCGTCGTCAGGTCTGCACATTGTCTCATCAGCTTCTCTGGTATTCTCAATTGTGTTCGGAATCATCTTTTGCGGTGGCTGCAAAACGAAGAAGAAGACGAAATTTTCGATTTCAAACTCAAATCAGCTTTAAAAAAAAACGAAAAATCCCCCAATATTAGATTTCTCTAGATCTCTTTACCTCTTCCCCAAGCTCAAGAGCTCGTTTCTCAGCGGCATCGCGAGCTTTGATCTTCTTCTGCTTCTCGATTTTCTTTTCATGCTTCTGCTTCGCGTATACTTTAGCTCTCTTATCTTTGTTCTTAATCATCGAAGGAAGTATCACGTTCCTCTTCTCCGAACCGTTGAAACTGGGTCTTCCGCGATCTTCTCCATCCATTTCCTCATCATCACCATCGCCCTTCTTCCTCTTGTAACCCATTTTTTCACAATCCACGAACTGTTTCTTCTCTCTCGATATGAAAAAAACGGCAAGCGCAAGTATGAAGACGACGGAGGAGAGAGACAGCCTTAGGGTTTATCGACTGAAAACTAACAACTTATTTGACGAATATTAATGGGCCTTAGCTACAGCCCATTATAATAAATCATTTGTCCAAATACCTTACGACGCCGTTTTGACCTTAAATTAATGCGAAACGACGCGTTCGTTGCTCGGCCATCAATTTTTTTCTCAGTAGTCACTATGCGATGCGCTATGGAAGAGCAAGCGCCGTATCAGCTTCAATTTCCGGTCTATCTCCGGCGAAAAATTCACCATTCCCACAGCTTTGCAATGTCCTCGTCGTCGCGTCTCTGTCCAAGACCTTGTCTCAGTCCGGTACAAGGAACCTCGACGCCAATTCAATCCCGATTTCGGAACCTGTCGTCCTCCAGATCCTTCGTCGAAACTCCTTGGACCCGTCGAAGAAGCTAGATTTCTTCCGATGGTGTTTTTCTCTCCGGCCGGAATACAAACATTCCGGATCAGCCTACTCTCAGATATTCCGCACTGTTTGCCGGACGGGGCTTCTCGGAGAAGTTCCCGATCTGCTTGGTTCAATGAAGGAAGATGGCGTTAATTTGGACCAGACGACGTCCAAGGTATTGCTAGATTCTCTAGTCTGCTCGGGTAAATTCGATTCAGCGTTAGGAGTTTTGGATTACATGGAAGGATTAGGAGATTGCTTAAACTCTAGCGTATATGATTCTGTTCTTATTGCTCTGGTCAAGAAAAGTGAATTGCGTCTTGCTCTCTCCATTTTCTCTAAGCTTTTAGAAGCTTCTGATAGCAATAGTGATAAGACTGGTGAGGTTATTGTAAGTTATCTTCCCGGAGCGGTTGCTGTGAATGAGCTCTTGGTAGGTCTAAGAAAAGCTGATATGAGATTGGAATTCAAAACGGTTTATGAAAAGTTAAAGGGGATGAAGAGATTCAAGTTTGATACTTGGGGTTATAACATTTGTATTCATGGATTTGGCTGTTGGGGAGATTTGGATGCTGCATTGAGTTTGTTCAAGGAGATGAAGGAGGTCTCTGGATCTTGTACAGGTCCTGATATATGCACATATAACAGCTTGATCCATGTGTTGTGTTTAGCTGGAAAAGCGAAAGATGCGTTGATTGTATGGGACGAACTGAAAGTATCTGGCCATGAGCCTGATAACTCGACGTATCGTATACTGATTCAAGGATGTTGTAAATCTTATCGGATGGATGATGCGATGAGGATTTTCGGTGAGATGCAGTATAATGGATTTGTTCCTGATACTGTTTTGTATAACTCTCTTCTAGATGGGACGCTAAAGGCAACAAAGGTCACTGAGGCTTGTCAGCTTTTTGAGAAGATGGTTCAAGAAGGAGTTAGAGCTTCTTGCTGGACGTACAACATTCTGATTGACGGGTTGTTTAGAAACGGAAGGGGTGAGGCAGGGTTTACTCTGTTCTGTGATTTGAAGAAGAAGGGTCAGTTTGTGGATGCGATTACTTTTAGCATCGTTGTGTTGCAGCTTTGCAGGGAAGGGAAGCTAGAGGGAGCAGTGAAGTTAGTTGAGGAGATGGAAAGTAGAGGTTTCTCTGTGGATTTGGTTACGATTAGTTCGCTGTTAATCGGGTTTCACAAACAAGAGAGGTGGGATTGGAAAGAGAAGCTGATGAAGCATGTAAGAGAAGGAAACTTGGTGCCTACTGTTTTGAGATGGAACGCTGGAGTTGAAGCTTCGTTAAAACGTCCACAGAGCAAAGATAAAGATTACACTCCAATGTTCCCAAGTAAAGGAAGCTTCTTAGATATCATGAGCACAGTGAATTCAGAGGAAGCTGAGGATATCACACCGGTGGAAGAAGATCCTTGGTCATCATCTCCGTATATGGACCAATTATCCCACCAGAGGAATCAACCTAAGCCCTTGTTTGCTTTAGCCAGAGGGCAGAGAGTTGAAGCAAAGCCAGATTCGTTCGACGTAGACATGATGAACACTTTTCTATCTATTTACCTGTCCAGAGGCGATCTCAGCTTAGCCTGCAAATTGTTTGAGATATTCAACGATATGGGCGTAACCGATCTCACGAGCTACACATACAACTCCATGATGAGCTCGTTTGTCAAGAAAGGCTACTTCGAAACCGCCCGTGGAGTGCTCGACCAAATGAGTGAGAACTTCACCGCAGCGGACATCGCAACGTACAATGTAATCATCCAAGGGTTAGGTAAAATGGGAAGAGCAGACTTAGCGAGCGCGGTTCTCGACAGACTCACGAAGCAAGGAGGGTATTTAGACATTGTCATGTACAACACGCTGATCAACGCGCTCGGGAAAGCAAACCGGTTAGACGAAGCGACTAGATTGTTCGATCATATGAAGAGCAGTGGGATAAACCCGGACGTTGTGAGTTACAACACGATGATCGAAGTGAATAGCAAAGCTGGGAGGTTGAAAGAAGCGTACAAGTACTTGAAAGTGATGTTGGATGCGAATTGTTTGCCTAATCACGTAACCGATACAATCCTGGATTATCTTGGGAAAGAGATGGAGAAGTTAAGATTCCAGAAAGCTTCGTTTGTACGGAAGAAGAAAGAAACCGAATAGTGAATGATTCTTCCTCTCTTGTAACTTCAAATACAGAGCAGTAAAGAAAAGAAAGAGGAAAAAAAAACACTTTCTTTTGAAAGATTATAAACAAATCGCAATCTCAAAACCCTAACAATCTCTCTCTCCATTCAGAAGAGGCCTAAGAGAATAGAGAACCCAAGAAGCATGAGCCAGACAATGTGGATCAGAAGCAGAGCTTGTCCAGGAACAGACAAACCGACGCCATTACCAACATCGCAAGCTCCTGGTTTAGCGACACGAACGCCGTGGCAGAAAGCATCTGCGCAACCGCACCAGTAAGTAACGCTGTCTTCTCCGCAAACCGGATCCGCCCTGAAACACTTGACCGGACAAGAAGCCGGTTTAGCCGTTCCTTCGCAGAATTCGCCTCTGTTTCCACCGTTGATGATCTTCTCCGAAGGTAGCCTGATCTCTCCTCCCTTGGTGATCTCCGTCGTGTGATTAGCAGAAACCGAAGATAGATTGAGGACGATCAGAAAAAGGAGAGTAATTGCGGCCAATGACGGCGAAAACGTCGACATTGCCGAGATTTGGATCTTGAATTTTGCCGGAGAATCTGTCGCAAACTTTCAAACCCAAATCCTAAAAATCTGAATGCGGTTTTCTCTTTACGCTTTTTTGGGTTTTTACTTAGGATGGGCAAAGAATCTGAGACGTTGTTTCCTCTCCTTTATCTGAAAGGAAACAACAAAGTAGAGAGGAAACAAAAAAAGGAAAAGAAAAGAATGATTCAGGAAAAATCTTTGACAGAGCAGAGAACTTTTGTATTTAGCATAAAGATTTCTTAATTGTTGACCAAAAAAGGAATGTTAAAATTAAAATTATTTCGAGTACGAGTATGGAACAGTTGGTACAACGGTTACCAAACAAAAAAAACAGCGCGCATGCTTACGCTTTTACAGTTGGCTCCCACGTGCGAACTCGAAAACTTAGACAGGGAGCACAGAACTTCGTGGCGTTATTGCTTTACACATATGAACTCCGTGCTGTCTGCTAAACCGCGTAAGATCTATGCACTGATGTGATAATTACGTACTTTGAAACTCACAATCTACTGTTTTGTGATTTATATCCAACTTCATTATATATTATATATATCCAGTCCAATGCATGTTAGGAAAAAGGTAAACTGTCTCGTATAAGAATCTTCAGATATTTTCTATTTCAATTTTTTTCAATGTTAATTAGGAAGAATATAGTTATGTGCTGTAAATACTAAATACACTTTCATTGTTAAGATATATTTCAGTATATCCAATATTAATTTATAGGATTGTAACATCATCTACCAATTAATATCCAAAATATGAAAAAACCATAAAATTAATGTAGACTAATTATAGTTTCTCAATTATAGTATACTAAATATAATTTCTCAGTTATAGTAGTATGTGACTATGTCTTGATAGATATCTTATCTAGTATTTATTGATGAAAATATATATTGAAAAAACACTGAGTCTAATTGCAACGAATGTCAAACCTCTAAGAAAAATGATTATACAAAGGAATATATTGTAAATGATTATACAAAGAAAAATGATTATACGTAAATGAAAAGTTCTTGATATACATGAAATGAATATAGGGGGACTAGGTAACAATAATTTCTCAATAGCAGTATGTGTTTAGTTGATAACAAAAAAAAAGAGTATGTGTTTATATATCTCTACTATATATTGTTAATCTGATTGCAACAATTGTTAAACAACTTTCAGGGAAAATTTTATTTTACAACTGTACAAGACTATAAGATAATGAATAAGAATCTATAAGATAAAAGTTACTTATAATATTTAAACTAGTTTGTAAGAAAAATCCATGACTTATACAACTGTAGTATAGATACATTTGTCAACAATAATCACAAAGAGAAGTTGATAACTAGTGCTATCTAAGACTGGTAGTGTCTCGAACATCTCACATTTCCATAAGTTTTTTGTTGTTGTCAACGTCTAATTACTAGCTTAAACTTTTAACTTCAACAGCAAATTTGAAAGATAAACTTTTAATTAACCATTTGACAAATGTTGCGTCTTCAATACATTATCAGAAGTTAGACAACAACAATAAGTTGATAACTCTTTAAAGACTTTAAATTTACATCATTGCCAATGTTACAATACGAGTCTATTGTGTTGCTTTGTATTAGACGTAAAAACATTATGAGGTCCGTTGACATGAGTCACAGATCAAAAGATTGAAAACTAAAATTTGTTCTCACTAAAAAAGTGTGAACAACTACAAGATACATCCACACACTTCAAAATTTGGAAGAATGTGAACCAAAAGAAACATAACCGAAATCGATTTCAATTTTGCAATTTGATTTATTGGTTATAGTAAACCGGACCAAATTGACCAATCGTTTTTTTCAGGAGAGGGTAAAATAGTCATAAACCCCAACCATTAAAAACCCTAGAAACAAAAGGTGAATAAAAAGGGTTGCGCCACTTCTCTCTAGCAACATCACTACATCATTCTTGTTTTCTTTGATTTGGCGATAATAGATCTGCCTCCTTGAGTAGCTTTATGAACCCTAGTCTTTAGGCCATTTCATATTGGCTTAGTTAGGAGGCAAAAATCAACCAGATCATCAATACGTTTTGTATTGTTTTTGGTCGCTTCGGCTTAAGCTTCTTTTTTCAATTGTGGAGGAGCTTAAATTCTCTCTAAATCAAAGGAGCTTCAGACATAAATTCCATTGTTTTGTGAATTGACTTGTGCAAAAGATTATGTGATAGCCTCCGAATAACGAGAAGGTGCAGTATAGGAACACCTTCTGGTTCAGACAGAGGCTTATATCAAAAGAACACGAATCAGTTTTGTCGGTGAAAAAGCTCCACTCTTTCACCATCAAAACCTTCTTCCTTTCCTTGGATTGATTCGAATATCTATTGAAATTCGTTTTTTTTTGTGTGTAAATTTTGGTTTTTGGTGAAGAGCTTTTTTTTGATATTCTGATTGCATTTGCGGCATTGTATTTGACAACTACATGACATTGAAAGATAAACATCACCGCCTGGTTCTAAAGTTAGGCGGTTTGCTTTATCCTTTTGAAAAGCGTTTTCGTCTGCCTCCGATCTTGACATGGGTGCCAAGTTTTCCTAGTACATATATATTCCGTAATGGTTGAACGAAAATATCAAAGACATCAAAGTAAACATTTGAGACTTTAAGTGGTTCTTGGTCTAGTTGTTTAGTTTTAATTGAAATAAAAAGATCCTTAAATGAATGAATGCAAAACAGTTGCTAATCCCTCTTGTAACCAAGAAAACAAGTAGAGATGGCTTTAAAATTTAAACTAAGGTTAACCCCGGTTTTTTCACTACTGAAATTAAGGTAGGTAGCTCCAATGTAAAGAGCAACAAGACTATTGTACTCGGTAATGGATTTTATGAAGTAAATTTGAGTTCAAGAAAGAAAAACAATATATAAATATCACATTTTGATCCTAATAGATTTGAAGTGAATTTGTTTGAAGCCAAAAATTGAGTTGTCAATATATGATTGATCCTTCAAACTGAGTGTAAACTAAAACTTCAAACTGATTAGTTGTTTTAAAAAAAAGGACATGCGTAGCTTCTCTTGTCTGCAAAACTCGATCCTTTCGGGAAGAAGAAGATGAAGAAACTTCTTCTTAATACATTGGTTCATCTGTTGGCGAAAAACAAGAGAAACAAAGTTAGTTAGAATCATTTCTATGTTTTGAAGTAATATAATCATCGTAATTAGAAAAAGAGAGTTAAGATGATGCTTACTATCACCATCTTCCGCCTGGTTATAATCGTCATCATCATCATCAAAGTCTCGATTCTACACAGAAAACATTCAACAACTAACTTGAGAAAGAAGAATCACACAAGTTTCATATGAACCATCAAGTGGGGGAAAATAAAAGCAAGAACCTGCTCATAATCATCGTTATCTTCATAATCAGATACTTCTGATTCCTTCTCCTCTCCATCATCATCTTCTTCATCCTCTTCTTTTCCTTTTTCTTTCTCCTTTTCTTTTTCTTCATCATCTTCTCCTTCTGAATTATCTTCTTTGCCTGCAGCCTAAACCAAAACAACAATTTCACTATGTTGACTTGCTTTGTATTGGGATAACGACAAGAGATTATATACCTTATATTTTGCTTCAAGCTTCTCAAACAGGTCCAATTTCTGCAAATCTGGCAACATAAAGCATAATCTTTTTAGTGTTCTTGCTTGTAACATTGTTGGAAAAAAAACAAGAAACTACTACTAGTAATAACACAAATGTACCTGCGTCTCGAGTCCATTTAGCTCTCTTCACAGGCCGTTCTCTTCGAGTTTCTGAAATCGCATATAAATATAAGCAAACAATCTCAGTGACTACTACTACACACAAAAAAAAGCTAAAATGTGCATGAGAAGATGATTGATGATTCCAAACCTCCAAGAAGCTCTCTAGGGAAGTTATCAGGTCGAAGAACAAGAAAGTCATAGAAAGAGCCAGTCTTGTTAGCCTTCTTCTTCGGCTTCAACGAGTCTGAAAACCTCTCAATGTCCAAACTCTCTTTCTCTGATAATTGCAAAAGAAGAAAAAAACAAAAATCTTGAGAAGAAGAAAGAAAAAAATCAAAGCTTTTAAAGATATCAATCACAAAAGTGCTTACTTTGCTTTGAAACACCATCGCCTAGATGATAATCCGAATTTCTCCAGAAACTCTGGAATTTAGAGTAGCTCATAAGCAATTCCTTGTCCGTTGAGATAGATTTCGGATCAGGCAACTCAATTTCCTGAAGAACAACAACAAAAACACAGAATCGGCTATTGAAGAGGAATCGCCATCGTAAACAATAAGAGATCACACAACAGAATCGAGTCAAGGTTTTTGAACTTACAGGGAAAGTCACAAAAGGTTCTGGCGCAGAATAATCACTGCCACCGCCACCGCCTCTGCCTCTAAACCCTCCTCTTCCTCTTCCTCTGCCTCTATAAGCCATCTACGTTGGGTTTCTCGAACGGAGATTCACCGTTTCCTACGGATCAGGTATCGGATACTTGATTTCCGACTGAAATCAGTGAGAAATTGTGACGGCGCAGCTCCAGAGATAGAGATTCTTGTCGCCGATTCGTAATCGGAGAAAGGTAATTCGGCAAATGGCGGCGAGAGAAGAAGAAGAAACGATTCGATTGAGGAAAACGCAAAAGAAATTTGGGGGTTTTATAAGTATTTCAGTATAGTCCTTTAACTTTGCAAAGTTTACTTTTTGGTCAATTAACTTAAACTTTACCAATTATCACCTTTTCCCATCAAATTTTACTTCAAATCAATTCAAAGTCTTTCATTTTGATCAACTGCTTTGCATAGTTTTGGAGAGAGCGAAAATGGTTGTGTGCACTTTGGATATTAAAATGTCAAATCACGAATAGCTAGGTTTTCAAGGAACATAAATATTCAATATTATTCATTATATTCCCCTACGATAAGATAGAATACGAATCTTATTACCAAAAGAACAATTAAAGGTTCATTTGCGTACAACCCACGAGCCTCCAATCTATATTAATACCATGTAATGTGACAATGTGTCATCTATCTATCACCATCCATCCGTCATCATCATCATCATTAGGTAATATCATGAGTCCACAGTACAAGACCGTGAACGAGAAAGACTTGACGGCTAAGCACAAGACCAACAGTCATGGCGGTCGTATTAACAATCCTTACGTCCAAATCACTCCTCCCACCTCGGCTTCTGATAAGAGTAAGTATACGATGTAACTATTTTACGAGTGTTGTGTCTTCCTTATGCATCTCTAATTAATAAAATTAAGAAACCTATAAACTAAAGATTTTAGATTAATTAATAATAATAATCTAGGGTCCAAGGATAAGGTTCTTGAGGTGTTAAATCGGTACGGGAAGAAGATGGAGGACGTGACTCGTAAGGCGGAAGCATTAGCCGACGGTTTAAAAGACCACCGTACGTGACATTGTTATATACGGAAAAATTGTGAATTTTATAGAAATTTCAGATTATTTGTTTGGACTAATTTTAAGTTTGGTTTCCGGACATGAACAGTGAAGTTTAGTCCAAGCATAAGTGATGCGGCAATGGCTAGGCTTACCCAAGGCACTAAAATGTTCGTTGAAGGAGGACCAGAGAGAGTGTTTCAAAGAGAGTTTGGTCTCTTAGCCGCAGAGAAACTCTTAGATTCGTTTGTTTGCTACATATCAACCACTTCAGGACCAGTGACCGGAATGTTATACATTTCGAATAGAAGGATCACATTTTGCAGCGATTATGCCATCCGTCTTCCTTTCTCCGCCGGTGGAAACGGTGTTGCCGCATATTACAAGGTCGTGCCACGATCTTCTAGTTTTTTTGTATATCCATAATAATAATCTATCATTAGCAAAAATAATTAAATATGTGATATGATAATGTAATATTGATAGGTGGTGATGGAGTTGGAAAAGATAAAGAGCATTAGTTCATCAACGAGCGTGTTAAAGCCAAATGAGAGGTATGTGCATGTGGTGACGCAAGATGGGTTTGAGTTTTGGTTCATGGGCTTCGTCTCCTACGTCGATGCTTTCAATTGCCTCAACAAAGCTCTACTTAATTCACATCGTGATCATTCCATGTAAACCAAATTCCTAATTAAAGACTTTTTTGTTATTATCACTCACTAATAATAAGTCTTTGTTGTCTACAGTCACATAATATAAGTTGTAAGAATTTGGGTTTGTTAATGTTATGGTGTGTGTCTAGTAATAAAAGTTTGCGACGAAAAAGAAAAAAAAGTTGGAAGACAAATTAATTTACACAAGACAAGTTTATTGCTTATTCAATATTCATGGTTGATTGGTTTGTTACTGCTATTGCGTAACAAAGGGTCCAACTAGATACGTGTAAATGTGTAATGATGCAACGTGGCGAACATCTATAGCTTGAGCCGCCTAGATTTTTGTAGATGAGAAAACTAATCAACAAGATCTCTTCTTCCCCACTTCCTTTGGCTCCTAAAAAAACTCATTGGTTAATTCAGTTTCCCAAGAAATGTCTCCGTCATGGTTCAGTAGATAAGCCACCACTCTCTCTCTCTCTCTCTCTCTCTCAGTTTGCTAGTATAAAAGAAGATTCCCCAATTGCTGAGTTTACTTCCACGCCGAGAGATCCTTTTTATCCATCTTCTGGGACTGGGATTCATCGAACAAGAGAGATTCCATGGCTGATTCTACTACCAAACTCTGTTTGGTCTCTGTTTTCATGCTCTTCGTGCTTCTCTCGTCTTTCGACTTGCAGGTAACTTTCGTAATCTCTAATATCTCTAAATCTCTGTGGATTTGATTCATGTAAGAAAGAAGATTGAGAATTGTGGAGTTTTTTAGTTCAATTCGTTGATCGTTTAGCTCTTGGGATTTGACTTGGTTCTCATGAAAGAATGAGACTTTATTGACTGATGAACATTTGAAGAAAGATTGAAACTTTGGTGACTACAATTTTCTGGGTTTTGTCTAAATCAGGGTGTAGCAGCAGAAAATCTTACCAAACAGAAACTAAACTCGAAGATACTTCAGGTTCGAAACTCTGTTTGATTGATTCGAAATTTGCTCTGTTTTTTCTGATTCTTCTATAATCGTGATTTCGATTTTGACTTTTTTCTACAGGATGAGATTGTGAAGAAAGTCAACGAACATCCAGACGCTGGATGGAAAGCTGCTATCAATGATCGATTCTCAAACGCAACCGTAAAAGATCTTCTAAAATCTCCAAACAGAGTTTCTTCTATCATGATTCATCATTTTGTATGTCTTTATTGATTGTGTTGCAGGTTGCAGAGTTTAAGCGTCTTCTTGGGGTTAAACCAACACCAAAGAAGCATTTCTTAGGTGTTCCTGTTGTAAGCCATGATCGATCTTTGAAGTTACCTAAAGCATTCGATGCTAGAACCGCTTGGCCACAGTGCACTAGTATTGGCAACATCTTAGGTTCGGTTTTAACTAACTTTTTCTCTATAATCTGTGTTGACTTTTGGGTTTACTAACTTGATCTTGTGTGTATGTGTGTGTGTGTGTGTGTGTGTGTTTTGACTCCTCTATGAACAGATCAGGTAAAAGTTTCATCCTTTTGTGTGTCTTGGAACTTTTTATACAAGAAAAAAAAGGCTGTTTCATGACATTTTGTGGGGTTTTGGTTATAGGGTCATTGTGGTTCTTGTTGGGCGTTTGGTGCTGTTGAATCACTATCTGACAGATTCTGTATCCAATTTGGAATGGTAATAACACTTAACATTTTCAGGATTAATAATCCAAAGCCTAATCTTTTGTTTGTTTATCTCCAATTTCAGAACATTACTTTATCAGTGAATGATCTATTAGCATGTTGTGGATTCCGTTGTGGAGACGGTTGTGACGGTGGCTACCCAGTTGCTGCTTGGCAATACTTTTCATACAGTGGTGTTGTCACTGAAGAGGTAAAACAAATTTTACAACTAAAACACTCAAAGTTTGGAATTGGTTTTTTAACTTTTGATTGAATGTTTTTTTTGGTTTTTATTAGTGTGATCCATACTTTGATAATACCGGATGCTCTCACCCGGGATGTGAACCGGCCTATCCAACACCGAAATGTATGCGAAAATGCGTTAGTGGAAACCAGTTATGGGGTCAATCGAAACATTTCAGTGTTAGCACATACACTGTTAAATCTGATCCTGAAGACATTATGGCAGAGATTTATAAGAATGGACCTGTTGAAGTCTCTTTTACAGTTTATGAGGTAAAGAAGAAAATGAGACCATTAGATTATTTGGCTAAGTTAAAGAAAGAATGGATCATTAATGTGTTTTGTGGTTTGATTTAGGATTTTGCTCATTACAAATCTGGAGTGTATAAGCATATAACAGGTTCTAACATTGGAGGCCATGCTGTTAAACTTATTGGTTGGGGAACTACTGATGGAGGAGAAGATTATTGGGTAAAAAGTTAAAACGTTACATCTTGCTATTCTTCTATTGAAAATTTGAAATCAAACCGAAACTTATAACTTTTTTTTTTGTTTAATTGTTTGTAGCTGTTGGCAAACCAATGGAACAGGAGCTGGGGTGATGTAAGTGTTTTTTTTTTTTTTTTTTTTTTTTTTTGCTAATTAATTTAAGAAATTTGCATGTAAATGTTGTTGACATGTATTTGATGAAATTTGCAGGATGGTTATTTCATGATTAGGAGAGGAACGAATGAGTGTGGAATTGAAGATGAACCGGTGGGTGGTTTGCCTTCGAGCAAGAATGTGTTTAAGGTTACTACCGGTTCTGATAAAATGTCGGTTACATCGGTTTAAGATCAAAGACCAAAAGTTCGTTTATGTAAGAAAACTTATATATGCTGCTACAGTGCTGTTGTGGTTGTTCTTTCCGATTAAAACATTCCGGTGACCGGACCTTGTTTTCTGGTTAGCTGTGAAATTGTTATAGAAAATAAATACTTCAACGGCCCAAACAGAAATATAATATGTTTTTTCTTAAAGTATGATTGTTGCAACAGCACTAAACCTCTGTTAATTTGGTCTTTCAACTTCTTATAACCGTATAGTAAGCCAAGCCAGATCTCTAGACACCCAATTCAATAATATTTTTGGTTTCATGCCAAACCGTCGGTTATCCGAAATCACTTGTCAACATTTGCTTATTCCAAAATCTATTATAAGGATCATTGGTCAAGTAAGATAGTTGACAAAGTTGTACTTGGTCAAATCGATTTATTACAAGTAGATGATATAATTTAAGGCGGTGACGGTAATTCAACTAATCATAAGGTCAATGGTAAAGTGGAAGATTAGAAAAGATGATTAGTATTGTAAGATGTTTGAGGTTTTTCACAAAAAATAAGAAACATTTAATGTGTAGATTACTTTTTCACACCAACTTACTTTTTAATATCTTTAACCAATCACAATTTAACTATTCAAATATTTTTAGTTAATATGTCTTGAAGTTTGTAATATGTTAGTATTAATTATAAAAAAGTACCTTAAAAATTCTAAAACATCTTACATTATGGAACAAGGTAAAATCCTAAAACATCTTATATTCTGGAACGGAAGGAGTATATAAATAATCAAATCTACAACACTTGTACGTACGTACTGTGCCATGGTACTTTATATTCTCTCTTCCCTTATAGTTTAGTTCCGTGCAATTAGCAACAGAAAGTTCCGTGTAATTCGATAGTCAAATATTGAGTTACTTAATTGATTTCATATAAACTTTTTTTTTAAGTTTGAACAACCTTATAAACTATGTATACAATCGTTTTATTGAAATGGAGAGTGATGGGTCCATGTGTGAGTTTATCAAATGGAATCAGTGCATCACCCATGTGATAAGTACGTGGACGTACCATTATATGTGCCACAATATTAGGGTATCCATAATTTATATTGCTTGACTGATAAATTGATAATGATACGTACTTATACTGGATATATTAACGTTTGACTTCGACCGTCTTAGAAATTTCAAGGTTAGGTTGAAGAGCCAGATCAAATTATATATTTAAGACATTGATCGTTTCAATTTGTGGGTGGATGATGGAAAAAACTCGAAACTGTTTTCCCAACAGTATTTGGCACTGTGTCACTTATTTTCAGGTTGACTTTAAGAAAAGCTTCCATTTCTTGATTTTTAAAGTTTAATAGTTAATACACTCTTATAAGTTATAACTGAAAACTAAAAAACACCGTTAAAAAAAAACTGAAAACTAAAAAACAATTAACTTCCAAGTATACCGAAAACTTAATTAGTAATTGATCTATTTGTCAGCGTAAGTTGGCAACTTGCAACGTACCACGGAATTTGCGTAAATGGAGGAGCACTTATCACTTGATGTCTCATGTCGTACGTTGAATTTTCAACAAAAGCTCATTAATATTCGAATTCTACTTTCATTGCCGATTGATAAGACAACTTGTCTATTATATTTGTTTTGTACTAACCGCCGTTTTACCATTCTGCTTAAAAAAATCAACAACCAAAGCTTATAAAACTTGGTTGACAAGAAATAACAATTTAAAACTTAGGGACAGAGAGCAAAGTCTATACAATACATGAAGGAAACTAAAAGCAACCACCTAAAGTCACATGCCCTTATAGGATTAACCAACTTAATTATCATATATTCATATGCTTGAAAACTCCGTATTTCACGCTTTCTTATAATCATTGGGTCAATCATCCAAATCACATTATTAGTTTCAACGTTTTGCCGCTAATTCCAAGTCATATACGCAATGATTTTATACATATATCTTAATTGAAACAAGCTCTGTGATTTTCACTATAAATAGCTGCTGATACACCATGGTCTTACTCATCCAACACAATAATCATCAACTTCTTCTTTATTCAAAGTTAACAACCTAAGAAACTTTTAAAAATGACGAAGATCATTTCTCTTTCGGTCTCACTCTTCTTCTCCATAATGTTCTTCATGAAGATCAGCTCTGTTTCTGCAGGTTGGTTACAAGCTCATGCGACCTTCTATGGCGAAAGTGATGGTACTGGTACAATGGGTAAGTCTCTGAACTAGAATTAGACATTTAGTTTTCACTAGGTTTGGTTTTTTTTCTCTACCCTAATCAGAGCTCTAAAAAAGCTTACTTCTTCCCCAAGAAACTGATTTTTCACCTTATTCTTCAGGTGGAGCTTGTGGTTATGGAAACCTATACACGGACGGTTACAAGACAAACACTGCAGCATTAAGTACGGCACTGTTCAACGACGGCAAGTCTTGCGGTGGATGTTACCAGATTGTCTGCGACGCGACCAAAGTGCCACAATGGTGTCTTAAAGGCAAATCAATCACAATCACTGCCACAAACTTTTGTCCACCAAACTTTGCTCAGGCAAGCGACAATGGAGGATGGTGCAACCCACCAAGACCTCACTTCGACATGGCTCAGCCTGCTTTTCTCACCATCGCTAAGTACAAAGCTGGAATCGTCCCCATCCTCTACAAAAGGTAATAAACAAATTACAAACAGAACAAGAATGTCACAAGTTTGAAAGTGTTGTGCTTAAAGTGGTTCTTGGTCTTATTTATAGGGTTGGATGCAGGAGAAGCGGAGGGATGAGATTTACAATGAACGGTAGAAACTATTTCGAGCTTGTTCTCATCTCAAACGTAGGAGGAGCTGGTGAGATCTCTAAAGTTTGGATCAAAGGCTCAAAAAGCAACAAATGGGAGACAATGTCAAGAAACTGGGGAGCTAATTGGCAGAGCAACACTTACCTTAATGGCCAATCTCTCTCTTTCAAAGTTCAGCTCAGTAATGGAGCAATCAAAGCAGCTCTCAACGTTGTTCCTTCGAATTGGGGGTTTGGTCAGAGCTTCAAGAGCAACATCAACTTCTGATATCATATTTTGTATCTTTTTGTATTTACTTTCATTGGGTTTTTTTTTGTTTTTGTTTTCTTGCTTGCATCACCATCGTCTGCCATATAAGCTGTTTGTTTTGTAGCTGTATTATAGTCTTGCTTCCAGAGAGTTTATAATCTGGGGATGACTCGAGCAGTGATGATTGTATTTGTAAATTTAAGGAAGATAAATGTTAACTATATATGTATGAAAGGATATCTATACTTTCAAGGTCCTCTTGTATCTTTTGTATAATTAATCTTTGAATACCCTAAAGATATTTATCAACCTTGAGATATGAATCTAATCATTGGTAAGAGATAAAATAACTAAATTCATTTTATTTTTCTGAATTAAACAAACATAGCATTGTGTTCCCGACCACGAAAACAGATCACTCTGTTTTTGAGCAATAGTCTTGTATTCACATATTTTCTTCTTATTTCCTTGTACTGTTAATCGTTACTAAACTACTGTGACAATGTCTGTTAAATTAATCTTCACTGACTTGTTAATAATTTCAAAATAAACTTCCATTTCATCATGAATGATCATGAATATATGAAGAAGAGTTTTCTATATACTCATATTCCATATAAAAAAATGTTTTTGGGACATGGATTTTACAAAATTTAACTTATGAAACAAAATTTTAAGAAAACTAAGTACATGCATCCCTTACATTCTCATAATCTTCATTTATAGTAAATATATCCAAATATACAAACTCTCTTCAAATCTCTCAATCTTTATGAGAAGCTAACAACAAATCTCTCAAATTTTGTTAAGAATCATTCTTGTTTCGGAAAGAGTATTTCTCCTTTTCGCATATATATACACACACACATGTACTTGCATAAAGAAAAAGAACAAATAAAATTCTTGATTCCACATATCCAGTCATGTCTCAGTCTACGACTCTCCTCCTCGTCCTCCTCCTATCAGTTGTCGCAATCAATCACCTCCCCGTCGTAAGCTGCAACAGACAATGGTGCATGGCGATGTGGACTGCGTCAAACGAGCAGTTACAAGCAAACATTGACTACTGTTGCAGCAACGGTGTCGACTGTACACCAATCCAACCCGGTGGGATTTGCTACAACCCTAACACTCTGTTAGACCATGCGTCGTATGCCATGAATGCTTATTACCAGAGCCATGGTCGCATCGAAGACTCTTGTGACTTCAACCGTACCGGTTGTTGGGTTTTTGTCGACCCAAGTCATGACACATGTATCTACTTCACTTGATTGTTTTTTTTGTTTGAAATTACGTTGCCTACTTGATTGTTTTTTGTTTTTCTTTTTTGGATAATTGTGTTGTGTACCCAAAACTACAAATAAATTAATAAAATGGAGAGGTTAGTGAATTTTCTTTTTACGTTTCAAAAAATCCTTAGAACTGGTAATGAATATCTTTCATGTACAAGTGAGAACAACATGTACGTAAAAAAGACTATATAGGCTTATTGTATCTATATCTAACCTGTGTAATGAAGTAGAACAAATCTTCAACATGATCTTAAGAGAAATAAGAAAAATCAAAGATCATGAATAACACTTTCAATGACTTTCTGAGCTGCATCTCGAATACTCAAAAGATTAGTTTTGATCTCACTGCACAATCTTCCTTCAACAAGCCTCACCGGTAACCACATCTTCGGCTTTACATCCACCGTGTAAGCAAGCGTCGTCCGGAAATCTTTAAACTGTGGATCCAAATCCTCCCCTTGAATCCCTTTGTCCAACTGTGCAAGATTAAAAAAAAAAAACATAAACAGGAATCGAAAACAGCTCTGAGGGAAATGTATGAATGTGTTCTTATTATATGGTAATTTACTTGTTCGATGGACCATTTGCCTTCAAACAATTGGAAATCTCCTTCCACCATCTTAAAGTCGATCTCACGCCTCCTCCCATTTGGGAGAATCTCAAGCTCCTTCTCGAAACAATCAAGAACAGCTTTGGCGTTGAATTTAAGTCCCAGTGCTAAATTCTGTTGTCCCACCTGTTGAAATCAACCACTCAAACGTTCACAAACACTACGGAAGATTCCAAATTTAGTAGCAATTTCACCATTTTCACCATTTAACATGGCGGATTCAAGCTTTAGTAACAGCACAATGCACCAAGTTCAACAAGATCAACAGAAAAAGTTTTGAATTTGAACCTAAAGATGTAATTTTTACTTGTGAGAAATGGTTTTGAGAGCAAAAACCTGGAAAAGACGAGCACGATTGCCTTCCTTCTCGACCAATTCGCTAACGACAAGGCTCGGGATGAAATCGGATAGCTTCTCGTAATCAGTCAATACGCTCCAGACGGTATCGAGGCTCGATTCCATTCCAATCTTCGAGCGGATTCGCCGAGAGCTCTTCTCTAGTATCTTCAACTCGATGAGAACCCCATCGTCGCCTAGCAGATTCTCCGTCTTCCCATCTGTCAAGCAATCAACCAAATAATCATCTTCATCGATTTCATTTTCATCGTCGCTCGAATCGAACCGACGAGAACCGTCGCCAAATCGGCAAGAGAAACATCTACGAGAGGAAGAGGAAGCTAGCAGCGGTGTCGAGGAAGGTGAAAAGGAGGTAGAGTGAAATTTTATCGCCGGGGAATGGGGAATCGCTACGCCGGGGGTGGTGGTGGTTAACGCGGCGGCGCGTGGGTGGCGAAAGGCGGAGGAGAAGTCTAATAAGATCGGAGAATATTGCATTGTTGTTTTCTGGATATGGTAAAAGCAGGCTTTGCTTTGAACTATAAGGCTTTATTTGGGCCTATTATTTTTCTTATAGAGTAATATGGGCCCATGTAAAGTATCGATTTATTTTACGTTAAAATATAGCATCCAATTCCAAATGTTTGCATTCTGATCTTGTAACATCTTTCTTATGAATGAAATTATATATTGACGTAAGAAAAAAAGTTCCAAATGATGCATACAAGAAAGATAAAAATTTAAATAGCAAGTTGGATTTATTTAGCTAATTATAACTAATGAACATATTTTAGTTTAATAATTTATACTAGATTGGTCATGTAATTTTCTCAAAAGTGTAAAGCGGTTAAGCTCCATACTTTTTTAAAATATTTTTTTTCTGATGTAACTCTATAAATTATTTTTCAGATGTAACTGTATAAGAGACCCTTATATTAAAGATATTTTTTTAGGTATATTAAAGATATATTTAGTATATTAAAATGATACATCTTTGTTCTAAGTTTTATGTGTGATGCATTGCATATTCCACTGTATAACATCATAAATAAAGTGCCAAAATTCTTTACCCACTAAAAGCTTTTTTCTAATCGACTCTTTGCCAATTGCCATTATAAATGAAAAGACTTTATATCTGGATCCAAATGAGCTTTTGTGGAAACTTATTGGCTCTGATTTTGATTGATGATCTTCAGATAAATACGAAGATGAATGAGTGTGTGCTAATGATCTTCAAGAAATCTCCATAAACATCATTAGCGGAATTTAGATAAAAGAACAAAATAAAAGTATATTATATATACTATGATCGATGAAACAAAGCCGATCTTATATAAAGATCAAACTCTCGAGAAATAGAACAAAGCAGGAGAGTCAAAATTTAATTATGATTTGGATCTCAGGATCTTAATAAGATGATCGGAACGTAAGTTTGGATGTAAACCTTATTTGAAAAGAAAGAAAGAAAGAAGAAGAGCATATTACTTCAAGGAATTAGATAGAGTAATTTTACCTTGAAGGGTTTGTTGTTCTTGAACTCTAATGGACATTTTCCTTTCGTCTTGTTTGTCAAAGCTCACAGAGGGTTCTGAAAATCTCAAGACTCAAAGATTAATATTTAATTAGAATAAATTATGGTTTGTATATATAGACAAATGATGACCACCTGTAGGTACATGCCAACTGATTCACTGTGGCATATTTCTGATAAAAATCGTAAAATATACTGCCTACCATGCTGACAAGTCTGAGTGGTTCAACAAATTTTATATTCGAAATGATTTAGTAACAAGATTTGTTCTCACAATAAGTTTGGTATATAATAAACTATTACATATTCTGTTTTGTAATTTTTTCTTTGGATAACGCAACTAACTAACGATTGTTTTTAGTTTAAATGTGTGTTGAAAACGAATAATATACATTTTTTACACGGAAATGTAAACTAAGAGTCCATGTTTATGAGAAAAAAACAAAACGAGTATGATAGAAGCTAATATTTTCACAAGTTGATCATCTGTTTTTGGATCTCAGTTTATTTTCTCTATCATTTCGTATTATATTATGTTACTTTATGAGTGGAGATCCACTGAACTTAGGCATATTGTATGTTTAAATAATCATTGCTTTACATATCACACAACTATTCAGTTATATATTTATACGAAGCAGTGAATTAATTATTCAACTTGATATATCGAAGCAAAAGCAAAATACAATTTTCTTCTAAAGAGAATAATATTTCTATTTATTAAACAACAAAAATTGTGTATTTTTATAAGCTTTTTGAATCAAATAAAACTTTAAGATGATCGCCTAAAACACCATACATAGGAAGATGTTGCGCTGCGTTTCCGTCCAATGTTGCCTCAAGAAGGTCCCGCACAACATCATCATACATGAATATAGACAAGCGAAAAAAAAAATTATCAGAGATTTTATCCGGTTTGTCACACAAGATACAAGAGTTGAAATGCAAATTCTTTATATCTCTTAAAAAAGTTCTCAAAAGTACCACAACATTAGAAAAAAAAAAAGCCACATGTTTCAGTCTTTCAGAATCCCAACACTACTGATACTAGCCACATACACAAAAGGAGTAAATTGAAACAAAACAAACTAGAAAAATTGTAACGGCCGTTGCTGTTGTAAGACATAAATTATGGATTGTAGGCCAACACCATAATGTAGAGGAGACGAGTTAAAATAGTTTTTACTTTTCCACTTTGACAATCTTAAATTATTTAAAATATAAAATAATTTTGGGTTAATTTGTTGTATAACAATATTGGGAATAAAATGAAGAATATAGCCATACTAATTGAAAAATTAAGAAACTAACAATATTTTAAATAATTTAAGATTGTCAAAGTGGAAAAGTAAAAAAGAGAAACAAAATTTGAACAGTTCTCTCCTTCTACAAGCGCTTTAATTTCTATTCCACCCTAAAAAAGCTGAAACCTTGCCCTCCGAAAATATTTTGTTAAGGCGTCGCTTATCAATGTCAACATTCGTTCATTAGATCAAGTAAAACAGTTTCAAATGAAATAGAACATTCTTGAACTGATATGATCGATGATATCTCTACATATAGCATCAGAGACTAGAATTCTGTGTATGAGAAAGAAATAACCTGCAAAATTGTTAAACAGTATAAAATTTATAAGCAAAAAATAGTATATGATTTATAGGTGAAAAAAAATGAGAATTCAAAAGCTTTGAATTACAATGTTACATGATGAGATTCTTTGAAGCAATACGAGGAGGTTTATGGCGGCACCAATCACACTATTCTCTTTAATTTAATTTAAGCTTTAAATCAAAATAGTAAAGAATTTATAAGTCATGAGCACATGAGTTTTTAAGGATCTCTTTTCTCAGTTTAAGATCAGAATAGAATATTCTTTGAGCCCAGATTATGATTCAGAAACTTGATTTCTTGTTCTTGTCGAGAGAAATTTCTAGTTTCTTCACGTTTAAGTTTGTAGAAGACTAATCATCTTCTTTTTAGCAGAAAATCAACTCACACGACTTTATGTCTAAATCATTTGGAAATCTTATAAAACTGAAGAAGAATCTGGAAAGTTTTTATGAAGAACAAGATCTATACAAAAACCAGCATCCTTTTTTCTTCCGGATACCTAATTTCTGAATAGAAATGGTTTCTCTCTCCTTCAGGGAGAATTTTGGTATTATTTCAGAAAATACACCATGTATCCTAACCATGGTCTTTTATTATTGTTAGTTACTTAATTTTCCAACTCAATATTGTCATCTACTGCAATTTCCCAATAATTTTTGTATCAACAGAAAAATACTCTATAGAAAAAGAAAAGAAAAAGGTCAGAATAATGAAAAATGAGATAGGTAAATTCACATTATATTGTTAAGACAAAACAAATTTGGAACCTCTAACGGTACAAAGACTGGATCCCAACTTCAAATTGCTTTTACAATTATGTAATTTTAGCATACTCAAAATTCAGAATAGGCCTTGTTAAAAGAAACTTAAAATATTCATATATAAAAAGGGGAAAAAAAAAACAGAGCCAAAAAATGAAAAATGATAGTGCTAAATTTACATTATATTGTCAAGACAAAACAAATTTGGAACCTCTAACCGTACGAAGACAGGATCCCAACTTCAAATTGCTTTCACAATTATGTAATTTTAGCACACTCAAAATTCAGAACATTAGCCTTGTTAAAAAAAAAACTTAAAATAATCATATAGAAAAAGGGGGGAAAAAAGAACAGAGTCAAAAAATGAAAAATGATAGTGCTAAATTTACATTACATTGTCAAGACAAAACAAATTTGAAACCTCTAACAGTACGAAGACAGGATCCCAACATTTGAATCGCTTACACAATTTATGTAATATTAGCACATTCATATTTCAAAATCTTGGCTTTGTTTTAAAATAAATAAATAAACAACTTTAAAACTTAAAATTTGATTTTAAAACAAAAAATGATCATCAAGATTGGAAATTACATGGCCCGTGTTGATGAGAATCTTTCTAAAAATAAGGCTTTATAATTTCGTAAACTGGTGAACTTTCACTTTGTGCCTATGCTACTACTAAACAATACTACGAAACAATTCGATTCGTCTACTTCCATCAAAATCTTCTTAGGCAAAAAAAACTCAATCAACCAACTAATAATACCAAATCGCTAAAACCAATCGAACATATTTTAAACATGTCTATATAAGTATATATGAACACAGTAAGAAGACTTAGCCGAATTGTGAACAACGGAGCTTCTGTCTCCAGCCACCATCGTGATCCTTGTTGGGCTGCTGTTTCAAGCTTCCACATCTCTGTATTCACACATCAATCATAATCGATATTAAAAAGCTTGTTTCAGAAGCAGGAAAGAAGTTACAGAGTCTATAACGTAATCTAAGTTCTTGAACCACATAAAAACGAAGACAAAAGGAAAATAAATTGCAAAAAACCTGTCTGGAGAACAACGGTGGTAGGCGAAGTCTTATTCTTCTTCTTCTTCGTTAAACGATTGACAAACAGCACAGTAACGAAACAGAAGGAGAAAAATCAGAGAGCGAGAAAAGGTTGAAAGCAAAGAAGTAGATGAAGAGAAATCTAATTTTTGTTGTGTGTTATCGCAAGATCAAAGCCATTGATGTTTATTTATAGAACATAAACTAGCCGTTGAGGAAAAATGGAATTCAAAATATATAAATAAAAACACCGAACGGCTACTTCGCCGGACAACGTGAAAACTCTCTTGACAAGACACTCGCTCACAGTCGGTCACAGTCACATTGGGAAGAAGAAGAAAGTTCATGGCTAAATGACTTTATTACCCTTCACGTTTTAAATGTCACACATGACGACGTCGTCTTGTGGTCTCTTCCTGAAGTAATGCTAATGGGCTTTTATTGGGCCGAAAGTAGAATCTTGGAGGACGAGTTTCTTGGTTGTCGTATCCCCACGTAAACCTCGGTTCTCCGTCTCTCCGACGTTCGTGTTCTAACGCAGGAACACATACATATTTAAAAGGAAAATTTTCTCGGGAAAATGATTCAAACCAAATTGCTGCAGCAAAAGAAGAAAATGGAAAACGAGGAAAGTCAAATTCACGATTAAAAGAAGAGAAAATGAGTTCGTGGAAACAATTAAGCAGGCTCGTCAATGGTGTGTCGCTTGTAGCCAAGGAGATCTGCAATCAGTCTCCGGAGCTGCAGAGAGCGGCGAAAGGAGATCTCGAAGGCTTAATCACGTCTTCCGGGAAAAAAGCTTTGGTAGCCGCCACCGACTTGGTCGGACTCACCTCCGGGAAGCTTCGCGAGCTCTCGAAACGCAGATCCAAGGAACCATCCGTCGTGTATTTCGACGATGAGAAGGACAAGGACGGCGTCGTATTGGCTGATTCCACCGTCGCGCCTGAGATTAGATCTACCTCCGTCGTGAGCGATTGTGTTAATGAAGAATTTGTTGATTCGCAGATCGTGATAAGTACGTCCATCGATGAAGCTAAGATTTCAAATAGAGAAGGCGAGGCAAAGGTTTCAGTGGATGAAGTCGGCGAGAGTATTGGAGTTAGAGCTGCCGAATCAGGTGAGGCAGCAATAGCATCAACTCCGTCGGAGGTAGCTCCGGTGAAGAGACGGAGACCTAGAGAGAGGAAGGTTCCATCAACTCCATTTGCAAGAGCTTATGGGTAACATTTCTTATATGCCTCTGTCGCTGATTGGATTTTCCATAGGAATCGTATAATGAAGAAGTTGAAATGTTTGTGTTATCTGTGTGAAGGTTTTTCAATTTGGGAGCTGGTCTTGCTTGGGGAGCTATGAAGGAATCAACGTATAGGATTGTGAATGGGACGCCAAACACACAAGACAACCAACCTGCGCTCTCCTCTATACTGTCTCAGGAGAATGCAGAGAGATTGGCTCTGGGATTGTGTGAAATGCGTGGAGCTGCTCTTAAAATCGGCCAAATGTTGAGTATCCAAGACGAGTCTCTAGTTCCCGCTCCGGTAAGTCACCAATCTTGGAGGAAGTGTGTGCTCAGTGATGCTTTTTTAATCACCAATCTTAGTTAGTTTGTGACGTAAAGTAGGCTCTTTTTCTTGTTTGTAGATCTTGAAGGCTCTGGAATTGGTGCGTCAAGGTGCTGATGTGATGCCGAGAAGCCAACTGAATCCAGTTCTGGATGCTGAATTAGGTCCAAATTGGCAATCAAAGCTGACCAGTTTTGATTATGAACCCTTGGCAGCAGCGAGTATTGGTCAGGTACTATTAACATAGTCTCTGCATCTTTACTTGTTTTTCGATTGAAGAATGTGTGTGATACTTCGACCTCGTGGATGTGCTGAATCATTTTCTCTTTTTCTGTATAATGGTGTTTAGGTGCACAGAGCTGTTACTAAAGATGGATTAGAAGTCGCAATGAAGATTCAGTACCCTGGCGTTGCTGACAGCATCGAGAGTGATATCGAAAATGTCAGACGCTTGTTGAATTACACAAATCTTATTCCAAAGGGACTCTTTCTCGACAGAGCTGTTAAGGTACTGTTGATACATTCGTGGCAATGTTCGTTACAAGCGATCACTTATTGACGAAGTTTTTTGCAGGTTGCAAAAGAAGAGTTGGCACGAGAGTGTGACTATGAAATAGAAGCAGTGAGTCAAATGCTCTTTCGTGATTTGCTCTCAGACACTCCAGGGTTCTACGTTCCTCGTGTCATAGACGAGGTCTCAAGCAAAAAAATTCTAACCACAGAACTTATCTCTGGTAACTTCATATCCATTTATAATCTGTTTTGATCAGTTGTTATGAGGGAATTGATCTTTTAACATGGTTTTACAGGGATCCCAATCGATAAAGTGGCATTGTTAGACCAAGAAACGCGAGACTACGTTGGGAGGAAGATGCTCGAGCTCACGTTGAAGGAGCTCTTCGTCTTCCGCTTCATGCAGACAGATCCAAACTGGGGCAACTTCTTATACGATGACACCACAAGAACAATCAACCTCATCGATTTCGGAGCAGCTCGTGATTACCCCAAGAAGTTCGTCGATGACTATCTACGAATGGTAAATAAAAACCAAAACCTTACCGATTCCGCCTTTGTAAGGAATTCAAGAACTTGAGATAGTTTCTTTCAGGTGATGGCATGTGCGGAGAAAGACAGTAAAGGAGTGATTGAAATGTCGAGGAGGCTCGGGTTCTTAACCGGAGATGAATCAGACGTGATGCTTGACGCTCATGTCCAAGCCGGTTTCATCGTTGGTCTACCGTTTGCGGAACCTGGTGGCTATGCTTTCAGAACCAACAACATTACTTCTAGCGTTTCCAATTTAGGAGCAACCATGTTGAAACATAGACTCACGCCACCGCCTGATGAAGCTTATAGTCTTCACCGTAAACTGTCCGGTGCTTTCTTGGCTTGTATCAAGCTTGGAGCCACCGTTCCTTGCCGTGATCTATTGTTACAAGTTTATGAGAAGTATCAGTTTGATGATGAGCCACAAGATCCGGTGGTCGCTTCTACAAGATCCGTTTCTTCGTAGCTCTTCTCGATCACGTAAACTGTACTATTAGCGATTGTTTTTTTACCCCGTTTTGGGAGTAAAAACGATTCTTGTTTTGGGTTATTTAGAGCAATAAGTTCATGGGTTTTTTTCTAATCATGTAGAATGTTGAATATTACAATGCTGGAGAATTCAATCAATCAATCAACAAACTTTACTAGTTATATATATATATATATATCCAAACTCTACACTTTTGGCTTATGATCAATCGCCAAATCTCATCATCGTCAACACACAAAAACAGAAAACAGATCTGTAAAATTACGAAAAATCAAAAACTCAATTTTTTTTCAAAACGGAGCTAGAGAATGCAAGTTTTTTTTCTTTCTTTTTCTTTTTTTTTTCTTTTGTGAGTAATGGAGATGAAAAAATGTGTGAGGATCATAAAGAACAAGGAGGTTGGTGATGAGTAGTAGATACAAAAGCCACAGCTTGAGCCCACGCTTTTAGTCTCGCTTTCACTTCTTTTGGATCATCCCCTGAAGAAATGCCAAATTGAATCAACATTTAGTAATGTGAAAAACAAAAAAAAATCGAATTTTTAACAAAGGGTTTCAAAAAGTTTTGATTTTTATTACAGCCTTACAGGTAAGTAAGAAAGTTTTGATTTTTGGACTAACCGGGACTGGAGATACGGTGGTTAGAGGAGATAGGAGAATTGCCGCCACTACTAGTATCCATCGTTGACCCGGAATACGAAACCCGACCCGGTTCAAGCTCAAATCCTAAATCTTTACAAGCTTTGACTTCCCCTAAATCCATACACAATGGCCTTCCTCCTCCTATCGGCCTCGTCACCACCACCACTCCTCCTCCGTAACAACCGTGACCGCTGCTCTGCTCATCGACGTAGCTCCTCCGCATACTATCGACCCACGGTGGATAGTCCGGTCTCAATTTCCTCCTCCTCCTCTGATTGTTACTATTCCCCTGTTTCTCCTTTCCGGCTTCGTTCTCGCTCGCGTAAGCTTTATCGCCGGAAACCGGTGAACTCAACGCCAAACCTCTCCGCCGTCTCCGTCTCGGTGGCGTCGCCGGAAGCGATTGACACCCCGTTGATCCTTTATCGGAATCTGAAAATTCTCCTCCTCCGACGACAATCTTCTCTTCGGAATCAGAGGGTTCTCCGTCGGCTTCATCCCCGTCGTAGTTGCGACATACGGAGAGCCTCGACAATGAATAGTGCTGCTCTTCTTCTTCCTCCTCTCTAAGGAAAGACGCCATTTTCATATCTTCGTCAAACGCCATAAGTCTCTGCAAGGGATTATATGTGTACAGTGTGTTTATATATGTGTTGATATGTTCTGTTTTTTTTTTCTTTCAGTTATTCGATTGTATCTGTTTTTAGCTTCGGATTTTGATTTTCTGTTGGTTAAAATGTTTTGATTAGCAAAGATAACGACATTGGACTTTATATATATCCACTCACTATTATTTGAATTTCCAAAATCGCCCCCAAATTTTAATGAGCTTTCTGTTTCTTTCGATATCTGTGTCATACGGATGACGGAGAACAAAAAAAATAAAAGAAAGTAATGGTTTTATAATAAACTCAACAATGTGTAATATGCTTTGTAAATTAAGACGATGAATGTTCGATAACGATGGCATATTGTATTTAAGTTGAGAATCACATTTTTGTATGACATTTAATTGAATGATTTTGCTTGTTTATATGTGATGATGATGGTATTTTTTTTTTTATATAGGTTCATGAGAAAGTTTATATGTGATGATGATGGTATTTTTTTTTTATATAGGTTCATGAGAAAGCTATAGGCCAATGTGCACTTAGTTGATTTTAGTTAAATTCATAATTTTGATACCATTTTTCTTGGGTTATGAAGATCTTTTAACAAATTAATTTGTTTGTGTTAAGATATTAGTAGTAATTTGATCGAACAGAAATATGTTTCACAATTTGCAGTTTCTCTGCAAGAAAAAAACATTTTTCTCACCTAAAGAAGCTAACAATCCAATGCCAAATTCCACGTGGCACACATTCCTCTTGCGACTGAGGACTGTGAGGATAATCCTGACATCTATGCATACAGGGGATATCCGTTTGGTGGGAACTTCGAGATTAGCAAAAAAAAATTAATGATTGATTAAAAATTGAATTATGAGTATTAAGACAACATCAGAAATCGTCGATTGACCAGCTTCTACATAAACCAACACATTTCCGACACGTAATATCTGGGCAAGAGATCATAGAAGTATAGAACCCAGACCAGTCTGCACGTCGAGGCTGTCCAAACATCTTATCACATCTCAAAACCCTAATTATTTACTTTATTTTTTTCTTGACGAATTTGATTCGATCTAGTTTACTACAGATTTGTTTTAAAAATTGCAATCTAGAAAAATAAAATATGAAAAGAAAATGAGTTTAACTACATTTGTTTTAAGGACAAGAGTTATTATTGCAAAAAAAAAAAAAAAAAGAGTAAAAGAAGTGAGCTAACAGTGAATAAGGTATATGGGATCTAGAACCGCGGTTTTCACTCACCAGTACACATGTGTTTTTATTACCATCAAGGTGATTAGTTAGAAATATAAGTGAGTTCGATGGTACATAAACCAAATTTAATTTGACGACAACAATATAGCAGATTTCAAATGTTCATTTTCCGTTGAGAATTCTTTTTTTTCCTTTTTGTTTATACCGATAATTTTGTAATATGAAAGTATGTATATACACGTTATGTTCTTGAATGGCACCAAGCACAACTTGTAATACCTAAGCAGCACCCAAAACATGCAACAAAAAAGAATCAAGCCACACACCAGGATCTAGTTACTTGCTTCACAAACGGAGCTTAGTGTAAGGACACCTCCATAAGCGGATCAGGGTGGATCTTCATCGATCCCACCGGCACGGAACTACACCGGGAACACTCTGCCGACAGATACGTTCCATCACCACTGATAGCGGAAGCCCTCTCGATCCGATCTGCCTTTAACAAAGCTTTAGAAAACGGAATCTCACATATTCTCGTCAACTCAGACGCTCAAGAGTCAAAACCTTGTCAAAGCTATCAACTCGCAAGAGAACTTCAAAGAGATCTATGATCTCCTTTTTGATATTCACACTCTTACTTCATTTTTCTCTTCGATTTCATTTCGATTCGTCTCCAGATCTGAAAATGTAATCGCCGATTCTATCGCCAAGAACGCCAAAAGCCGTTTGGTCGATTTGGTGAATCGAGCAACCGAGGAACCTACATGTGTAACTGTTGGTTTATGGTTGAGTCGAATTAATGAAATTAATGTTGGTAAAAAAAAAAAGTTCTTTTTCGTGTTTCATAATGTAATCATACCATGGTAACACATGTCATGATATATGTGACGACTTCAAATACTTTTTGTTTATATATAGATAAAGTAAGGAGCTAAGTTTTCCTTTAACAAAAAAGAAGTTTCCTTTTCTAGAATCAAATTTCTCGTGAACTCTTATCTTAGATGAAATTAACAAACGCATCGTGAACAAATCAAGCAATTTATCAGCCTAAATAATTTTATTTTAAACATGAAATTAATCAGCCTAAATAATTTATCGTGAAATTAATCAGCCTAAACAATTTATCGTGAAATTAATCAGCCTAAACAATTTTATTTTAAACATGATCAAGCAAATCCTTTAAGATGAAAAAAATGATCAAGCTTTGCTTGTTTTCTTCTTTGCTGAAAATGCCCTTATGGAATAAAGGACCTCGATCCCAATTCCCAATGCCGGCTTTTTGCTCTTTGGGAGAGCAAATGGACCGCCTTGATTAGGTCTTACACACGTGTCACTATACTACAATGATTGATTCTAGTGGAAAATCGTACGTTCTGCTTTGTACAGACAAAGATTTCGTTTTCTAAACAAAAGGATATTGCAAAAGTACTGTACTTCGAAAACACAGATTTCTAGGTTCTGAATCTTCATTTTCTGACAGTAATATCTTTTTGGATAACGGTTTTAATATTAACAAAAACAGTTCTTTTATAGTTGCATGTTTCTAATGATTACACACAACTAAAATGCGATTTAACAATTAGATTTGCTTAATGATTCCGATTATTTCGATTCTGTCATTCCGTTTGTGTTATCAACTCTTTTTGTTTTGTTATCCCGTATAACCATTATTGAAATGTCGTACTACATTTATATAAAAATGCCACACTATAGTTTTAATTATAATATTATGTGGTAGTGATCATGCCAAATACATGGGGTTTAAAGCATTAGTGTCGATAGACCATTTCCTTCTTTCTTGACTTAATTCATAGAACGGAAGCATAATATATATATATAAACTCCTGAAGAAAACACTATATGAAAAGAATGTTATTTGAATATTCAATAGAAAGATTAATAGTAGGTGAGACCGACCCAAATCAGTTTTATATGGAAGGCTAACCAATCAGCGCACCCCACGAGAGCATTGAGATTTAGTCTTAGAAGACAGACTATTTGACGGCCATTGATAATACTATAATGAAATCACATTTGAAAAAGATATATGAGTTTTTTTTTTTTTTTTTTGGTGGGTAGGATATATGAGTATATATCATTCGATATCGCCTGATTTCCAGAATTTACTGTATATAAAAGAGGATTATAAAATAAAAAAGGAGATGAGTTAAATCTTGCAAACTAAAAAATCTTGCATTTTGAAGTCTAGAGACTAAAAAAAATCATACTAGTAGTTTAGGAATTTTGTTTGTTCCACTAAAAAGTTTGCTTATTAAGTTTTTAATAGACGGAAAACAATAATTGAGAATAGATGCACATTGTCACGAAGGGGAGCTTTTGAATTTTTTATCTTGTTAATATACAGAGATGACAATCATGTTAATCGATTTATATTAGGTGTAATTCATTTTTGTTTCATATATCATATAAACTCAAATAGTAGTCGACTGAGAAAATCCTTGATTCTGTTAAATAGAATCAGAGAACCAAAATCCTTGTTTGTTCATAAAACCAAAAAACTCTCAAGATGTATAAAATCTTAACGTGCGTAAGAGAGGAAGAATCTTCTTTACCAAGCGAATTAGATGTTCTTCAGAACTTGTTAAATTTATCCGATCTAAAGGCCCATTTATCATATTTAGTGGGCCTTTCGTTAACCAACTTAATGGATATATACTTTTGCATCTCGTATGGGTAATTATCGTATATTCATTGGTTTTATATAAATTTCATTATTTCGTCATTATCCGACTTCAAGTTCAAACAGAATATAATAGATGTCACTGACAAAATGAAATTAAATAAACTAATATGTAGGCCTAACTTCACTAGACTTGCACGTTTTTTTTTTTTACAAATCCAGCTTTAGTTTAATGTTCTCTTAAACTGAACTAAAAAAACAAAGAACTTGACCAAATGCAAGAGAAACTAGTTGAAGTAGAAGGAAATAAAAGTTGCCGGCCAAAAAAGAACGATATTCATATAAAATATTTTAGAATTAGAAAAAGACAACTAAAAGTAGTAAGACTGTTCCTTAAGTTTAGCCCTGGGCGTTCGGTTTTTCGGTTCGGTTCGGATTTTTCGGTTTTTGGTTTATTCGGTTCTAGAGATATAAAAACCGTTCGTTTTTTTTCATTATATGTTCGGGTTCGGTTCGGTTTCGGTTCGGTTTTATTCGGGTTCGGATCGGTTTCGGGTGCTGGAACATGAAATAAAAAATTAAAAATAAAATAGTTTAAATTAAATTAAACTAAATTTTGCAAATAAAATTGAGTTTAAATAAATATTATTACAAGATCTGGGATATTTTAAATATTTTGGTTATTTTATTCTAATTATACCTAATATATTCAGTATAAAATTATAATTTTAGATAGTTTGGTTACTATAAAAATTAATATAGCTAGTTATTTATATATATAATTATATATTGGGTATTTTTTTGGTTTTCGGTTCGGTTCGGGTTCGGTCCAGTTTCGGTTCCGGTTTTTTGGGTTTAGAAATCTAAAAACCATTTGGGTTTTGTGCCGTTTTCGGTTCGGTTCGGTTTCATCAAAATCGGTTCGGTTCGGTTCGGGTTTTTCGGTTCCGGTTTTTGTGCCCAGGGCTACTTAAGTTCATTGAAACTTTGAAAGTGAAACTAAGATTAAAGAAAAAGATAAAGTAGTAAAGTTGTCCCTATATAAAGATACACTAGCCTTTTTTAAGAAGCTTCACCTAAAAAATGTTACAATAGTCAGTCGTCAGTCGAATAAATGCTTTGTCTATCAATATATAAAAAAGTTCTTACAAAAGAACATACACTAATACCATAATTATTCAATCTCGGTTGTCAATATTAATCCCATAATTATTCAATCTCAGTTGTCAATATTAATCCCACAGATTCCTCAATACTTCCAAGATATAACTATCGTCGATCGTTTTTGTTGTACAAAAATGAATACCATATTATTTGTAAGTAACAATATGTTAGTCTTTTGATATGTGTCTCATAATAAAAGTAGATAAACTGAACAAAATTATAAGAAACAAATGTCATTAATCCATCAACAATAGAAAACCAAAATCTCCAAGTCCAGAAAAAATGTGCTTCACAAAGTACATCAATCAAAACAAAACAAAGTGTAAAAAACAATACTGTTAAAAATTAAATGATATATAACGTAACAGATTATATACACAAACCATTTTAAAAACATGAAGAAAAAGAAGATTCACACACCTTATAATATATATACAAGAAGAATTATATATGGCCATACGCATGTTGCTGAGGCTGAAGCTGGTTACATGGCCACATACCAACATTTGTAGCCTCTGTACCGAAAAAATTGGTCTCTGATTTGATTTCACTGTACAACGAAGTATTTAAATGATTCTGTAAAGAATTATTCGATACTGTGAATGGATTTTCCTCCACTGTTAATCCCCAATTCATATTCCCAGTTCCAAAGAATGTCGAATTGTTGTAGTTACTCTCTTGAAGTTGGTGGTCGCTAATCATTGGCCCGGTAGAGAATGAGTTTTCCAATTCGATTAAACCGAGATTGGAAGATCTGTAACCGGTTGTTGAACCGTTTAAACCCGAAGAGAACATTGAACCGGGTATCACCACCGCACTAGGGACGGTTTCATCGCTGATACCCAGATGATGATGATTTCTTCCGGTTTGGGGAATCCACATGCCGATGTCAGAACCGGTCTGTATTCTTGAACCGGTTTCTATACTCAACCGTTGAAAACCGAAATTTCCGGTATAAAGATGATCGGTGGTGTTGCTGTTTTGGTTAGCACTGCCAGTGGTGGTACTAGAGGAGCCTTCTGTCTCAACAAGGTAGGTCTGTTGACTCTTCTCAACTGGTTTGGTTTTGTCATCTGTATCCGTTTCGATCTCGGTTAAGAGCTTGTGTGTAACCGGGTCAATTCCTCTCAGCCTCAATTTCTTCTTCAAGCAAGAATTCCACAGATTCTTGATTTCATTGTCGGTTCTACCTGGAAGCTGTGCAGCAATCTGAGACCACCTGAACCAAACCAAACCAAAACAAACTGTGAATAACAGTTATACACACACTGCTATGAAGAAGAGAAGAACGGCATGGAGTTAATTACCTGTTGCCAAGAACGGCATGGAGTTCAATAATGAGATTTTCTTCATCCTGTGAAAATGCTCCTCTCTTCAAATCTGGTCTTAGATAATTTATCCATCTTAATCTACAGCTTTTTCCACATCTCTGCAAACCTACAAATAAATAGAACATAAATGAATTCAAGAATCAGGAATAAGAACTAATTAAACACAATAAAAGAATAATTGGTTAAATAGTAGTATTAAAGTACCAGCTTGTTTAGGGACAGAGCTCCAGCAGCCATGGCCGTACTTAGTGATGTACCTAAGAAGCTTCTCATCTTCTTCAGGAGACCAGAGTCCTTTTCTCAGCTTCTGTTTGTAACAGCATGAATGTCTCCCCATCTATAAATTATTCTGTAAATAAACAATTAAAAGATGGATCGGCTTGTTTGCTTCAGAAAGAGCTTTGAAGTCAGCTTTCAGAGAAATATGAGGTGAGAGAGATAGAGAGAGTTTGAAGTGAGAAGATGAGAAAAGGAGAGGAGGATTTGGGGGATATAAACAAAAGGGTTTTTGTTTTGGTACGTTGAAGTTTACACGAGTCAAATTGGCTGCCTTTTGTTTCATTTTTTTTTTTTTGTTCTTGTATCTTATTCCTATGTATAATGATTTTATCTTTAGGTTTACTTTCGTTTGTTTTGCCACAATTGGCACTTTTTATTTTGGTCTGATTGGTGATAGTGTTGAATAGCTAGTTAATGAAAAAGTGAATGAAAAAGTGAATGAAAAAATTACAGCTAACGATAGAATTTATCTTACTTTATGATTAAATTTGCAGAACTACAAAATGAAGAATGTAAATTACGATTCTATGATTTTTTTTTTATAAATGATATCGCGTAACTATTTTGCAATTAATTATGTTATTAGTCGTAACTCTTATCTGTTCAAATATATACACTTTTTAATGAACATTAATCCCATATCTGTATATATATTTGGTATGAATCGGATATAGACGTCACACTTTTCAGTAACTTATGGAAACGAATATAAGTAGAGATAATACTTTTAAAACTATGAAAAGGATGTGACTATGTGCACTTATATATTTTCTTGGTGTGGAACTTAATTATGAGCTTAGTTTCTTCTTAAAGGTTTGATTTGTGAACCACACGCTATCCTTTTGTTTGGGAATAAATGTATATATTTGGAATACGTACATATTTATCTATATTGTATATTTGTATATTGCGGAAAATTGGGCTCGAAATTTATTTGGAACGTTGTTCACAGCTAGTATATTTCGCATTTATGATTTTGTAATAAATGTGTGGCGCGTCTAATTCTTCTAAATAATTATTTTTGCAACCATTTTTCCACATAAAAAGAGTATGCCACGTATAACATTTTACGGGGCTTACATGGAAAATAAGAAAGTCTCACGAATAAGTTAATGCTACTACTATTTTTCGCTGTTTATGAAATAGATTATTACTACTAGCTACTTTACAAAAATAGAACAAATTCTATATTGTAAGAATAATAACACATTAATTACCTTCAGTATCAATTATCTAAGATAGTCTACCATGTATCAAAATTTTCATCACGACTGAAAGATTATTTCGAATAAAAGTTACAAAACATGACATAAAATGTACTGTACTACGTATATATTTTCCATTTTTTTTTTTTAAACCAGGAGAGAATCAGTTTAATAATTCTCTTCAATGATTAAAGTTAACAAAACATAACAATTAATTTCATATTCACTCAACTGAATATTTAATCACTTCTGAAGAGTGTTTAACTAAGTTTGAAGCAATATAATATTGTGACAGACATAAAACACACAATGATTCCGCGCCATTATTGGTTATACATATATTTAATCTACTTATGTGCATTAAATTATAATAGAGGATATAATATTAGTACCTTTGCTAGCTCCCTTTAACTTTTATATACTTGACTTTCAAGAAATCAATAATTAACTATACCTACAACATCTAAACTAAGTAAATATCATTGCTTTATCATACTCAAACGAATAACTGTCGTTCAGAAATTATTTAACAAACTAATATTATCTTATTCAAAACACTATGACCTTAATCAGTTGGAAGAAATCATATAATATTTAACTCATGGAGAAACCGAATTTGAATACTGTATTACGTTAAGATAAACTAAAACCTTTACATGTACTTACTAATTAAGTTATTTACGAGTTACGACACGACTATATGTCTAACAATTGAAAATATTAACGTCAAAGACTTTTCAAAATTCTGAATACCAAAAGACGTACGTATATAATACTAAAATTCTGAATAGTCAGTAACAAAACTTATAAGTGAAGATTTTATGTCAACTTATTAGTTTAATTTTAAAATCTTATTAAAACATTTTGTCCATCATCATAAAATAAAATACTAAAAAAGATTTGTTGTCTCATCCATGGCCTTCACATACAGAAATGATAAAGAGGAATCTTCCTAGAATATATAAGGCAGGTCTCGGAGGAAGGCTTCGATAAATTTAACATCAATTATTGACGTACCATTATAGTAATTAAATCAACATCTCAAATTATTAAAATGTAAACTTTGTTTTCCAAAAATATCACAACATTTTATATAGATTTGTTCTTAAAAGTTTATGATGTCTAACTATTAACAGATGCTCTTTGAAGGTTCAATAAGACTTTCTCAATATTTTGAATGATAGATAAAACTAAAAAGTATGAAATCATATAGTCCTTATTATACAGTAAAAAAATTATACAATTTAAAACAAAGATAAAAAGCTACATTTCCAACCATTCACCCTATATATTTTCTTACTTGGATTATTTAACAGCGGTTTTAGGAACCTAGACATGTGTCAACTAATGATGGGCCAGTTTCGACCCCACTTTGAGCTTACCTTTGATAGTCAACGATGTCGAGAATAAATAGTTACATCTAACGGCTCAGGCGATAGATCGAACGGTAATAACAGCACTTGTGTACAGTACTTTATATAGACGCGAAGCAGGAAACTAAAAAATTGTGGAGCCCAGTGAAAACGGAGGCAATCGCATGTGCTACACTGTGGTGGATAACGTATTTCGACTCCAACTTTGTAGGGACCCTTTTCTGTCTACACGTACGCTTCAAATTTCATGAACATTTCTTCACTTTTTGTTCTTTACATCTCTTACAAGAGTGTTCGACTTTTCGTTTACTGATTTGAAAATTAAAGTTACCATGACTAGCTATAGTTACTAATAGAAGGTCGGATTGTGTTTATGATTGTTAGTATATCTAACCGATTTGGAATAGTTATGAACAAATATTTTGTTATCACTAAATTTATCATCTATTGCTTTCACTTCTGTTGTTCTCACACGTCAGAAGTACGTTGTAGATAAAAAGATAATGAGAGAAGTCTAAAAATTTAAGAGAAAAAATCTATAAAAAAAAAAGAAAAATCTATAGAAAATAAACGGGATAATGTATTTGAATGGTGGTAAATAGTTGGGTAAATAGTTGGTTAAGGTTTGTGGCTTGTTTCGACTGATCGTCTGATTTACGGCCAATTACGAACCAATTCCATTAAGGCTGCGTTATAAAATGGAAGAAGTTAAGAGATTCCCCTAAATATTTGTATGCTACTTAATTAAACCCTTAGCAATTGTCTGGTACGAAAATGGAGATGAAATTATGGACAAACTAAATAATGAATTAACTAATCAAATGAATACATATAATCAGGAATAAAATCCTTTTGGAATAATCATTTACTCTTTAGCTTATCATAATGCAAGCACATGATATGTTTTCTCTCCAGTCAACTATTGTCTCTATAACGAATTGATTAATCAATTATCCATTACCATTTTACAATATAATAACAATGGACTTTTGTTTTGTTTGATTTTTATTTTTGCCTTTGCTAATGTATATGGTCAAAAATTATGAAACTGCTAGGTTTGACACATCTTTTTATATGATTTCAGTTCGAACTTTATGTAATACACGCTAGCGATTTGTTATACAAAGTAGTACCAACGGGTGAATCTTAATTTCGAGTGAATTTCTTGGCCTACAAACTACGAAGAACTCAAGAAGCTAAGACTATATAGTAAAGTGGAAACCAAATTAATCGATTGAAACCGCTAGGATACACTAGACATGTACTTTCATATGCATCTTTAAGAATATAATTAAGTACATCTGTACATGCATGGTCCGATATACAGTAGAAACTCTATAAATTGATATTCGATAAATTAATAAACTCTATAAAATAATAATTTTCTCTGGTCTCAAGTCGGGCCAGTGTAAAAATTAGCAAAATTCGATAAAATAATAAGATAATAATATTTTTGAAACTCCTATGTAAATATATGGTCCCATTAATATCATAAATTAATAATTACCATAAATAAAATTTTATGTAAATACATATCTATGATAATATACTAAAATATAAGTATAACTTTCACTTCTTTTCTACTAAAACTCAAATATATTTAGAATTCATCCCTAATTTTAGAATAAACCTATACAAAATATAAAAAAAAATAAAAATTCCTTATTTTTATTTAATTTCATATTTATTTTAAATAAAACAATTATTTTATTCAAGATCGATGATTTAATAACTCTATAAATTAATAAACTTTCAAAGTCCCAACTTTATTAATTTATAGAGTTTATACTGTAGATTGCTATATTTGAGTATACACCTTTTTCGCCAACTCAAATATATTATCGAGAAAGAAAATCTAGCAAAGAGTACGATTGACCCTACGAGAGAGGAAGTACATAACACAGTCTTTAGCAAAAAAGAAGGTACATAACCAACTAAGGGGTAAAACAAACAACCCATAACAAGTTAAACAAGCCATCTTTTAGAAATTAGAATAGAGTAAAACAGACCCCTCTTGCTTAGTGGAATGAGAAAACCTGATACATTATTTTTGTACACCAACATACAGTACATTTTATTATCAGAAAATTCGAAAGTGTATTCGGACACACACTTCAAATCATATCGATGATGATTTTAATGATGTGTAAAAAGTCTATTTTAAAATATTTGATTAACTTTGGTCTAATGTTTATTCAAATATTATATCGCGAAATAATTATTTGTCAATTTTTTTTGCATATATTTCAAGTTTTAATAAATGTATATATATATATATATATATATATATGAATATATTGATAAAAAATTGTTCAAAGACATGTAGGGTAACTATCCACACGTACGTTCATACAAAGACAGTCACATAATACTACAATAAAGGCTACTTGGAAAAGTCGTGATGGGTATTTTTTTCCCTTCATTTGTGTTACTTCATATTTTCAACATTTGCATGCATTTTTGAATTCTTGTTAATAATT